GGAAAGAAATTGAATAACAGACACAGGATAAACTGTGCTTTTTCAGAGAGTTTTAATTCTTAACAACAAACTTGAATTAACCACCTGACTTTGGTAATTAAAAACACCCTCTCTGAAAAATTCATTGCTCTTGGCCGGTTTTTTTTTTTGTTGCAACAAATTTGCATTTTGTAGATTTGGTTATAAACAGAGCTACATTGAAGTCGTTAAATCCAAAGCAGACTCCGTTACAGTTATCTAAAATGAGATATGCTTCTCAACGTTTTTTTTTTTCGTGAATGAAAACAATCGTTTGAAAGAAAAGGAAAAAAAAAATGTAAATGTTATCGAATTAACAACACCATGTGTATGGAACCTCTTTATGCGTAATCAAACTAGAAAGAAAACGAGTCAGTCCGGCAAAGCATGAAGTAATTGTCAATATTTCAACGAATAAATGTGTTCGAAACAAAACAATTATTCCATAGGCTTACGAACATTGATTCAGTTTTCAAATTTAATGAGGCTAGCCGATATGATATTATCAAAAGTTAATCAATTCTGCAGCCTTCCCAGGTGGAAACTCAAAAGATGTCAGTTTGACATTATGGATGCGCAATGAATAAATAAGCTTCAAGCTTAGGCATCTATGACAACGCAAGTCGCAATTTAAGTATGGACTTCTTTAGAATAATATATTTTTTTCTCTATTTCCTACTCTCGTGATAAGACGGAAAAACATCTTTCTGTATTTACTACCAACATTGAAAATTACCCGTGAAGCTCGTGGGTCTCAAATCCGGACGATTAGGGAAGCAAACGCACGAGAGGTCTTTCGAGATCTTTCACGCTCCTATCGCACGCACGCTCGGGGACTTCGCCGTTCGAGCCGGGTTTTGCGACGAAGTATCGATGCAGACTCCTTTAGTACCCAACCCCTCGCCCAGGCCTTGGAGAATCATCCTGTCTGTCTCTCATGCTTTGACCTCTTCCCACGTTTGTCTCCAACACAGCTTTCTGTAGAAACGAAAGAGAGCAACAAAAATTCTAGAGATTTTCGTGGTATTTTAAACATATCGTTCGAAATACCTCAAAACAGGAGCCCATAAGTAATGGGCTCCTGCTCGATGTAAACTTTCTCGATATTCATTCTGAAACATCCTTTTAAATCAAACGAAAGATGGCTAAACCTTTTGAGAGTTCAAATCAGAACTTTTTGTCCCACATAAATTACAAGCGAATTATTTAAACAGCTCTCTTTTCAAAAAAATTTCCCGTTAATTAAATATTGTCAAATTCTATTGGTCAGTTTCTAAGCAATTGCTTTAACAACCGGAAACATGATCGTCGAGGGGACTGGTTCGAAATTTGTCGCATAGCGTATTCGAGCCGATTAAAAAAAAAACCTCATTTAAAATGTAAATTTACAGCAGTGTGGACTTTCGGTACTTATCATTAACACAAGGAAATTAGATTGCTTTGTTGAATCGCCTTATTACGACTTTTATTTTTCATTTTTCATACTTAATACCGCCCCCGAGACTTAGTAGACTTAGCGACAGCTGTCACTGTCTTCAGTGAGGGGTTCTTATCAACAATTCCTAATACAAAATATAGATACCTGACGAAGTCTTCTCTGAGAGCGATAGCAGATGTCATTTTCACCCTGCGGGTTTTTAACAACCACAGAATATCCCCTCTACCGTATCAATATAATTTCATGTTCGTATTTAAGTGCAGTTGTAGCACTTTGGTCGTTGTTTTGTGTGATCTGTTGTTTCTCGCGCATCGAACTTAAAGATGAGTTTGAGTGGGATGTATAACGGAACCCCAGGAGGAGGTAAGCGTCTGAGTCCTTTTTAAAATGGAAGTTTTCTTTTTAGCACGAGACTCGCACTATTACTCCGAATATCATTGGCTTTGTTAAAGATAGGAAAATATTACAAGAAATTTTGAAATAGCTTCAATTTTTTTTGTCAAGATATTTCTGTTATTTCCTTTTTTTATATCCACCCGCAACTGAATACTGAAGTTACTTTAATTACATCACAACGCGCTGATATGTCGCCAGCGAAGATAAATTCACTTAAAAAAAGCGATAGAACCCGTATATTCTATCAGCGGCGTTTTTGTTTCATTAGTTTATTAAGCTAGTGAAGGTAGCGGCTCAACATTTAATCACAATGCTAACAGCGCCTTAAATTGTGGCCTATTTTATATCCGTAACTTCAAAGTGCGATTCGAGAATTTTAACGGCTTTTGATATGATTTAAGTTGTACGCAGTGGGAAAAATTATCTGGCTATGAATTGACGTAGTTTGAGACTAATATCCTGCGAAGTATGAACCGTATGATCAGGTTTTGAAAGCGAGAATAGAACTTGCATAGTTCCCTTTTGTTTTCAAAGGAGAATCACCATTTCTACTGCGAACAATAATCAGAATTGTTTTCTTTCATAAATTACTGAGTTGCCTGTTGCCAAGCGACAGACGTCACAACTCACGTCGTATCCGAAGGTGGAGTCCTTCCGATTTTTCGTCACTTGTTAATTAAGGTCGGGAAATCCCCGAGCGTTTTACGAAGAATCAGGCGCGAGTGTCTGCGCCCTCGACTGCACAAGTGTAAACTTTCTTGAACTTTTTTTCTGTCAGTCTAACGGGCCATTTGAAGTAGCCACTCAGAACTTATTTGATTTTCACAGAGTATTTTTGTCGTCTCGCAAGCATGGGGTAAGAAGCTGCGGACGTTTGCTCATTCATTATTAAAAATTTCCTGTCAGGTCCCATATCAAGCTTTAGCTTTTCACCGGCCTGTTAAAAAAAATCGATCACTGACACCAGCAATCTTATCCAGAATTATTGTAATCGATCTGCTCAATCTTCTAATAACTTTTGTGACAAGGAAATGTCAGGCACGACTTTGTCGAGGTCTTCTGCAGGGCGTCCAACTAATCGAAGGCGAAAGAAAACAGGTACTCGGAAGCAGATTGTTGTTTTTTCTGGTTGAAGTATCTTAAGATGGTAAAATTCAAGTGGCAAAATGTTTTCAATTACTGAAACAATTTGAAATTGTGGAATCTTCTCTTAAAACCAGGCTAAGAATTGATTTAGATTTGTCAAGCTCTTAATCGAGAACAAAGGTATTTATGAAAAGCTTTTCTGTTTAGAGATGATACAGTACTCTCTAACAGCGCATCGAAAAGCTAGAGAAACATGAACAAATTCAATAGCAGCTGATCTTACTGAGAATTCTGCGAAAACTGTTTGAGCGAAATGACACATTTTTAATTTTTTTAGTGGAAAGAAATTAAATTAGTCGCTTAATTTAAATTAGTCGCTTATGCATACAGTTTCGACGCACCTTCTCATAATCAATTTGGTATTTTCTGTTTATAAAATATTGCTAGCTAATCAAACCGTTCACTTTGCAAGTCCGCAGCATCTTAATCATTAATTTCAATTCGCAAGGTTACCGCGTTTTGTGAATCGAAGTATTCCCGTATCCTTCATGATACAAACAACCCTGGTTAATCAACGAAACTTAGATCGAAATTGGTAATGATTATATGTATATCTATCTGTTTTTTCATTGGAATTACATCGGAAAAAGCACAAGTTGCCGCCGGTTTCCAGACATTTTAAAACTTTAAAAAGTCAAAACAGCTAAAAATTGCAAATATGAAAAAAATACGAAAATACAAAAAATAAAAATTAAAGGAAACAAAGGAATTAGCATAACTAGACTTTTCAAATAGGGGTTGTTATGTAAATTTCCAGATTCAAACCCTGGTGGCCCGTTTCTCGAAAGTCCCGGTAAATAAACAGGTCTGAAGTTGTATTTTAGAATAAAAATTTAAAGAATAGAGAAGCAGGTACTGGGTCCTTGACAAGTCCATTTTGTCTCTTTAGCTGATACTTTCATTTCATAATTTTCAAAACTTTTCAAGTCCCCATCTTGAATGATGGGGGTTTGAAAAGTTTGAAAAGGTTTGAACAGAACGGCATTCAGGGCCCGATAAATTACCGGGACCTTCGAGAAACGGGCCCCAGTATTGTGATTCAGCTCCTGCTTCATCGCACAGACTTCTCAAAAAGGGAAAATTATTCACTCGTCATATAATTGGTTGTAGAATCGTTTAATAATTGTCCTATCTATAATTGAGTTGTTGAAGCTTTTTTGTCTTACAGAGTATCTACTTAAAACTTAAATTTTATTCGCAGCTGCAGCATCGTAGGCAGATGATTTTCGCTGGTTTTCCATGCATTGTATTAGTTGTTTACAAAATGAGAGCAAATTCTCTCTCAAACTTTGATTTTTTATACAGGCATGTATCGATTTGTCTCTGTCATATGCACGTATGTTAAATTAGTGTTCTATTAGACAGGCGTCTCTAAGAAGCAGTGTTTAGTGTTTTTTCTCATGTTCTAACGGTTATCGTATGGTCACCAAAAATTAATCGTTGTAATGAAAAAAACTTATTTGTTAGATATTTATTATTAATGAGGGAAAAAAAGGATTATTTTCTTTGGAATCACAGTGGTGAACCCCCAGTGGTCAAAAAATGGACGAGTCGCTTAGTGGCGGAGAAAAGTCTTAAAGAAAATATTTTTTCCTCGTTACTCGCTTTGTTAAAATCAAATCAACTAAGAAAAACTTATTGAACCCCCTGAGCAAGGACATGTAACTATGTTAGGAATCAAGCGAAATTCATATCATCCTTAATCCGTTGAGAGGACGTTTCTTGGGAATCATTTTACCGTCTAAAAGTTAAAGAGAATTTTGGTAAAATTCATGTGTAGCAAAACGAAAAGAAAACGCTGAGATTCAAAGCCTTTATAAACGTCCTTTAAGCTGTTAAAGGATACTTCTCAAAAAGATACGCGATGTAAGATTTCTTGCTTTCGTTTTAGCGATCATACAATGTTTGCCAGGCGTTCCCAACGTAAGCTTGACTCTCCCCAATCCTCTCATATTCACTCTTTGTAGATCGAAGAACCAAGAAGGAGACTGTTTATCTCGGAATGTTTAGGGCAAAAATTCTAGTTTTGGGACCTTGCGAGGTAAGTTTCTTTGATTTAAAAACTTTTCTCTTCTACGGAGTTTTGACATTACACATTTTTATTTGCAGTTTGGTATACGTTCGAACGGAGGAAATGGCTCTATATTAAGTTCAGTTTAACGACAGCTGTATTGTTGTCGCTCGTGCTAAATATTTCATTTTCATGTCATTTTGCAGAGTGGTAAAAGCGTTATTGCGAATTTTCTTTCTGATGCTACGGAAACATCAGGGGGAGAGTATCATCCAACACAAGGGGTCAGGTAAATGTCGATCACAAAACATTTTCCAAGTCGTGGGTTATCTGAATTCATGCATGTTTTTATGTCTTCATGGAAACCGTAACCATAGATCCACGTTTCTCAATTTTCGGCCCCTTTAATCTTAGAGGTGATTAATACGTAATTTCGTTCGGTAAGTTTAAGCTATCATGTAAACAGGTGATAATAATAGATAGGGTTATCATTTGGAGGGTGTTATTTTGGAATAAGACCTATTTCTCCTGTTTAATTGACCGTGAAAAGTAAGGCAGCAAGTAGAGAGAATTACTATTTGGAGCTTGGTACGTAAAAGTTTAAAAACAATCTGATTAACACTCAGTTTCTCCTTTGAATGGACAGAATACCAGAATTTGTATGCAATGGTACAGAAATATCTCCTGTCAAAACATAGGTCCCTGTTTCTCAATTTATAAAATCCAAAGAAGAATACATTTTTCTTTTTAATGAACAGAATACTAGAGTTTGAAAGCAATGGCATCGAAATATCTCCTGGTAAAACTGCTAATTGTGAGGTAGAGTTGTGGGATTGCAGCGGAAATCACAAGTAAGCCCTGATATTTTAACGTTCACTATAGTAGGTTTTTTTTTGCATGTGTAATTCAAAAAGCACACATTAAGTCGCATGACCCAAAGGTGGGCAAAATCAGGGTGCTTTTGCCCAAGAGAATTTCTAATAGTGTTTGTTAGCAGTGTTCTCTGTTGTCCTGGCATGGGAACCAAGCAGATTAGACATGTTCTTTGTGGCATCATCCTATAGAAACAAGGGATTGGTAATGATAGTTAGACTAGTTTTTGATTGAGTGTCAAAAAAAGTCAGAGATTGCTATGGTTTTGCTTTACCATGCTCTTTGACTGGTCCAGGAAATTTGTGCCACTTTCTCAACCGATGAGATAAAACTAAGATCTAATATATAGATTTGGCCAAGCTTAAAAGCAGAGCTCGCATTTTTTCCCCCACACATCTTAAGAGCACGATGCCTTGCCCTTGCCAGGACTAGAACCTGGGTCGTCCGACTCGGAGCCTAGTGCACTGACCACTGGACTACTGAACAAAGCCGTGGCGTTGGCGTGCCCGTGGTAGAGTTAACCACGCATGTTAAAAGTAGCACCTTGTATGGTTGTACAGTCGTACATCCAAATTTTTTCAGCTTGATGGGTTACTACTATTTTGCATAATTATGGGGCTATGCTCTGTAAGCTCTGCTATCATGTCCTATTTACTTGAGTTTTCCTGTACTTGACACTGTTTAGATTCTTTTACTTTGAGTTCTAAGTGGCTCCTTGTGGTATTCTTTCATCATCTAATTGACTTTTGTGATCTCTTTGGTTTTGTTAGTATGACACTCAGTTGAAAAGTGTTCTATCGGCCATTTGGCTATAACCTACCCCAACATGTGTTTTGGATGTTCAGTAGCAAGAAATGTAGCATTCTATTCCATCATTGCCTGCAATTTTTTATCTTTCTGTAGCTCCTAATTTGAGAGTGATCGTATTATTATTAAAACCATGTATAGTTTCTAAAGTATGTAAAATGACAGAGAGAGGTAAAATTCCTTTTTTTTTTTTCAAAGAGTGTAATTAGGAATCCTTTCTTGTTGTTCTCTTAGTATGATGTGGATATATTTCAACCCAATTTGCTGTATGTTAAATGTAGCATTTTGCCTATTTAAGGTTTTCTACTTGTTGGGCAGCTTTCCAAAAGGACACAAATGGTGTTCTAATCATTTACAATCCTGATCAGTCCAGCCATGACAAGGAACTAGAGACTTGGTAAGGTAGAACTTAGACCATAGATATATGTATGCTATGTTCCCTCTTGTTTGTTTGGAGCTTAACCTGTTAATCCCTAAGAGTGATTAGCATCTAATTTCTCCTCACAATATCACCCCTGAATTGCACATGAAGGTCACAAGAATAAGGAAAATGATCACCAGCCAAAAGAGCTATTTATTGTTAAACAAATTCTCCTTGTCAACACCTTAGGAATTGTATATAGAACAGTATGGAGAATTTGCAAACTGGTGCAAGGGTGTAATGGGTTAACCCAGAAGTGATTAACATGTAATTTCTCCCTATTATATCCATATATTATCAAACAACAGGTAATGAGAATACTCAATCTAATAGGGTAGAAATTGTTAGTACATTATCCTGATTTAACATCAAATTATTGCAACTGGTTTATATGGAAATATGTAGCAACTAGAGGGGACAATTAAAAATCAGTTCTTGGGAGTTAAAGGTTTAAAAGACCTTGTATAGGAAATAGAATAATCTTATAATTAGTATGCAAGAATCCAGACTGGCTCTTGCTGGTTTGAGCCCAGGTTAGGTTAATTTTGTTGCATTCTTGGACATAATACTTCATAGAGCATCTCTCCACCCAGAGCTGGGTTTCTTCATGCACTTTTAGCTTTGTTTGAACTATAAAGCTGAGGAGAATAAACAAGAAGTAAGAATTTGCAAATAATTATGGAAACCTCTTGTTTTTAAGGTACACACAATTTGTGCAAAGTCAAGGACTCAAGGATTCACAGTGTATAGTGTTTGCTCATCGCCGACCATCTGCTGCTGATACAACAAGATCACAAATACGTAAGATAGCATTTTATTTATTTAGATATTGATAGTCTCAAAAAGAGGTTGGCTTTTGACTCAGCCTGGCCAAGGTCCTTGAGGCTTTATGGGTAACATCACCAAAATAAATCTTTGTCACAAAACATGATGAATATAGTGGGTAAGTTTCTTAAGAAATTGTGATGCAAGGGTACAGCATAATTTTTTTTCAACTGAGTTGTTAGTGTGAGATGGCCTCTGTAAGGAAATTCTGAAGCTGACATTTCAAATGTTAGCCCTTCCTCAGAACTCTGACGAAGGGCTACCGGTAATGCTAAAATCGTCTGCAGCTTTAGTAACTCTTTATGGAGACATTCACATTATCAACTCAGTTGATAAAACCAAATTGTTATCAATTTGTTGTCACAATTTTCTATTTACCTCACTCCTGTGTTTATCAAGGAAAAGATAGCAACAACTTGTTTGGGAAACTTATCAAACTCTAAGCCACTTGCTCTGATAAAAGATTAATGCTCAAAACAAGAGCTTTAAAACTCTTAATAGTGGCCAAATTGCGTTATCAATTGAGTTGATTTGATAAAACCAAATTATCTTGTTATTTCCCTTGCCAACACAGCTGCACAGTTTCTAAAGTAACTTGTCCCCTGTAAGCCAGGTAACTTGGTATGACTATTATCCCTTATATACCTTGTTGCTTCATGCCAAATTGGAATAAACTCCTGGAGTTGTGAGTAGAAACACACCTGGCAGTGTCACACAGTGATCATGATAAGTAATGCAAATAGGACTGATTGGAGTCCAATTTGGTGTGTAATCTTACAGTCAAGTGACTAACAAAATTGGACGACTGTGAATTGGGAGTTCGATTTGTTAATCACAAGTATGATTACAGACTGAATTGGATGGCATGAAGTCCTGTTACCAAATTAATTAAAACTATGGCAAAATTTTAGAAATAAATTATACATCAGTTGTATTATATTTTCATTTAAAAAAACAACAACAACAGATAACTCAGTGAAATGCATGACAACAGCATGCACTTGATGCATACTGTCCATGTACACAGGTGTGACATGTCAACTCAGTCCTATTACACTGCCCAATTACAAGTATGAGGCGTACACTGTCCTATTAGTGCTGAAATCAGGCTGGTGATAACCAATCACATTTGAGAATTTTGTTATAGCTTTGATTAACTTAATAATACTGTTGTGAATAAGTGCAAGTGATATGAAATACCAGTTGCTTTGATTGCATTAATTTAGCATAGCTGCAACTAGAAGACCTGGCATTATTTACAAGAGTTGATGCACAACATCACAGATTAAATGGCTTTACTGGTTTATTTATACTCATTTATGGAACAATTTTTTCCTTTGCATAGCATCTGTACTCTCTAGAGTAACCTGTATACAGACAAATCTGGATGAAGAACCAGAAACAGTCAGAGAAGAATTTCACAACTTCCTTGCAAAGGTTATCAGCAACTGGACTGACAAACGAGATCAGGAAGAACTTAGTATAATGAACACATGAAGCTGTTTATTGTCTGAGGAACCAAGAGTTTTTCATCTTGTGTACAGAATAGAGATTTTTATTTCTTTTTTTGGTGACTGGTCATTATCTATTTTCCATTGAGCAAGGTCATTTGGCAACTTAAAACAACTTTGGTACTTTCTTTAGTTGAAAACTTCATGAACTGACAGATGCTAAGGGTAGTAGATAGATTGAGCAGGAACAGTCCCTCAAAACCTTTTTTTTTGTTATGTTTTTATTGCAGCCAGTTTTCATCTAAGGTCTCTAAAATGTCTTTATTTATAAACTCTGTGACTCCTTACGCCTTTAGTTACGCCTAAGGTTACTCTACAAATAAGTGAAGAAGTTAGATCTATGTGATGAAGAAGTTAAAAGTGTTTCAAACTTCTACTCTAACGATATTAATTGATTACCACTGTATGCCCCAAATTTGCCATTTCCAATCTGATTTAATGAAAAGATGCCTTTTCTCTCCAAGAAGTCCAAACTCCACCTTTCAAGTATTAATGAAAGGTTTTGGGCTCATTGAAGAGAGATCAAGAACAATTATTGTTGTTGTTATACACACCTGCCTCCTTGTCAACCTCTCTACTCATAAATTCATGTGGGTGAGACCTTAGGTGAACTCTGTATGCTATCCTCAGCTTTTCAATTGAGAGTCACAATATTTCAGAGTGATCACAAAAGCCAATCAAAAGGATAGGAAAATAACTTCAAGACCTAGGGAGAACTCAAAGTAAAATCAGCCAAACTGTCTTTTAAGGGAGGAAATGTGGGGGTCCAAGTCGTGATTGGTTTTAGCAGGGTAATTAAGTATTATCAACTGAGTTGATAGCATAAATTGGCTACCATAAAGAGTTTTAAAGTTGACATTTCGAGCGACGAAGGGCTAACTTTTGAAATGTCAACTTTAAAACTCTTTACGGTGGCCGATTTATGTCATCAACTCAGTTGATAATACTTAATTACCCTGTTATACTCCCCCACCACTGACGCAGCACAACAGTTTCTCTAGAAACTTACCCCCTTTATTCACGTGATTGGTTTTAGTTTGCATCTGATTGGTTGAGAGAGTGCTGCGAGTTTTCTGGACCAACACTGAGCGAATAAAAGCAAAACCCAATGCAATCCTCGATTACTTTTGACACTCAAGTGAAAGTTGCTCCAATAGAGAAAATTTTAATCAAGGTTGGAAGGTAACTTAGGATTGCATTAGTTTTGCTTTTATTTGCTCCTTATTCATCAAGAAGAATTCTGAAACTTTGTCAACCAATCAAGTGCTAGAGTCAAACCAACTGCGACTTGTTCATAGGTGTTCCCCTTGCCTGAGTGAATTTTTTTGTGTACTTTTACTTTGAGATCTGATTGGTTCCTTGGAATATTTCTGCCCTTTGATTACTTTGGTTTTAGTTTCAGAACTCTCAGTCGAAATTCACTCGTGTATCTTATGTTGATAACATTGAGGCTCTTGTAAAATAGTTTCTAGAAACTGTAAATATTTTTTCAATATGTCATGATTTAAGTTATTATTAAATAACACGTTTGAAAGTTGTTAGCTGTTATCCTTCATTTTTAGTGCTCAGTCTTTTCATTTCGCGTCCATCTTGTCGGTATAAGGATTGTAGTCACATGTCTTTTGATTAAAAAAATAATAAACGACGCGAAGCAAAGCGGTAAAAGACGATTGTGACTGAAACGCGCTGCTTCTACGCTCGACTCAAACAAACGCAGAAGTAATGTGAACTAACGAAAATATAACTAAACAAGCCAAAATGTACAAAATTCAAAATAAAAGCTTATGAAACAAAAGAAGCACTCAGTGTGAGACTAATTAACAGAAGCAACAAGAACACAAATTCTAAACTAATCAATAAACGACAATCACAACTAAAAACAATTTTGTAATCTTGGTGCCTGGAAGTTAGCAAACCAAAAAGGTTTGTTCTCATAGAATTACAAATTCAGTTATGATCAGGAAACAAAAGTGTAAGTCTGAGAGAAATTCACTGAGAAGTGTCGCTGAACACCGTTCGTATACCTTTTATGAACAGAGCTAATTCTGCTACAGGTAAGAAAGAATATGTTGATGAAGACATCTTTGCCCATGTAAAAGGTCATGTAGATGACATGATGATAATTCTGCCTAACCCTGTCTTTTAAAAGTTTATTCCGAACGTAATGTAAGGTAAGTCAAATAAATGGAAAAAGCAACAAAAAAACTTGCACTTTTCTAATACAAACACAAAAGAAAAAAATAGAGATGGGAGTGACCTACGCAGTTATTAAGTACAAGTTGTGAACTCTTTTTCAAGTTTTTGGACGTGGAGGTGGCATACTAACTACCGACATTGAGGTGAAAAGTAGTTTTAGCATACACTAAAACAGTAAGATAATAACACATAAAAAGATGATTTTAACTTATCTATTCCTACAACGATTGCATATTTTTTTCGAGCACAAGTCCTGCGCGCGTTGCGCGGAGGTGAGTAGCAAAGGATATTTGGAGCTTGAGTAGCCAAACAAAGCGCGTCTTCAACGCTATCTACCGTTTCAGCATATATGCGTTATTGACCAGGTGGAGGTTTAGATAGCTGAGCATTGGCTGAGTTCTTTTGTTTTTATGAACCTCGACCTTAAAACGCTAAATAAAAGAACGAGGCTAATGTCCAGCCATCTTGGTTAAAGAAGGATTTATCATATTGCAAAAACGATTTCGCTTTATTAAGAGAATGACTTATTTATTTTGAGAGCCTGAAAAGAAAGCCAAGTGTATTTGTAGCACAATAAACCCACCAAAGTCGTTTATGATTACTTTGATTTGACTATCTTCAGCCACTTTTTGCGACTCGATCCCCGAATTTGTCAAAAAATTACGAATTTAATGTTTTTCTTGCGCGGGATCTAAGCACAGTCAGAACACAGGATTCGCTTCATATTGCCCATGGGGCGCTGCCAGCGATATAATAAATTCTAATATTTGCTAACTATATCCGAATTAACTAATCGGCGCGCGAAAATCACCATTTGCCTGTGTGGCATGAATTAAGTTTGTAATTTTTAAATGTTTGACGCAAATATTGTTTAAAGAGAAGATAGCCTAACAAAGAGGTGTTGAATTAAGGTTGCAAGGGTATTTAGGTAATTATAAATTCAAAGAAAAAAATAAAATTCTTAAGAACCTTGTTGATCTATCATTGCCCTTGAACACGAGACTGCACGATAATTTTTATCGCATTTTACTGAGACCTCGTACACACGGTAGGGTTTCACTCATTGTTAGTTCGCCCTTTACTAGTTTGTCGACGAGCTCGCCTCATTAAGCATGATGTGTTTGCCCCCACCATTAGCTACCAGTTCCCCCTTAAATCTTTAATGCCCTCAGTGAGGAAACGAGTTCCATATTTTGACGTCATCTATGATCTACAGTTCAACAGACGCATGGAAACATGAAATCTATTCGATTCATATTATATAGAAGCAAGATTTTGTCAATGGTGACGTCATGTATGTCGCGTCTGTCCAAGATTGTAAGTAAAAACCAATCGAAATTCGAATACATTGTACCTCGAGGTGGTGATGAAAGGGACTGGGAAAAGTGCGCGAATTTAGGATTGTTTGGAGCGGTACTGGGGAATTAATTATCTGAAATATGGCGGCGAAGATGAGATTGGAACAAGATGGTACCTTTTACGAGCTGGAGAGACTACAAGAAAGCGCTAATAGGTAAAAAAACTAAAATGAGCAGAAATAGAATATCCATGCAGACAGTGAAAAATTTTTCTCCTAGTTATGGCAATAAATTTCCTGATAATGGTGCCCCTGTGCTTTCTCGATCTGGTGTTGCGTTGTATGTCTTGACTAGTTTGTTTATGTTTATTTGAATCGATACTCCGCAGGCGAAGTGCAAAGTATGAAGCTGAAAAGAAGGAAAAATCTGAACTTAGTGATTTGCAAAGTAAAGGTTGGTGATGTCTATACGTAAGAACTTAATTGAGACGCTGTGGTGCAAAATGTACCAACAATAATAACAACAAAAACCACAACACTGATATGAAATCATTTATCTCTGAAACTGTTAGTGGAACAGCTAAGAGCAAGGAGAGATCAACTCCGCGAGAGGCTAAAGAATGGTTCTCATGAAATTCTACAAGAGTTTTTGCAATTAGGTAAGTGTGACTTTCCATAGATAAAAAAATTTAAAGCTGATTTGTGGGAAGTACAACAAGAGGCAAAAAGCAGATCATGGTGGTTGCGGAAGATGCAGTTTCCTAACGGTTTGCATGGTGGATTCCGCGTCAGGTGGTTCAGGTTTGAGGCTTGGCTGAGTTGTCATATTGTATCCTTGGGCAACCTTCTCTTCACCTGGGAGTGTAGATTGGTAGGAGTGAATTTTTAGGGAAGCGTGATGAAATGGTTGAGGTTACCTCTTGATGGACTGATATCCCATCCAGGGAGAATAGCAATACTCTAGTCCTTTCACCCTACAGAAACTGGATAAGATGCCGCTGAAAGGCCTCTTGGCTCAACTGCAAAGTTGATTTTTTTTTTTAATTATGGTGTTAACAGATGAGATGTTAACAGAAAACAGCAGGATAGTTGTTAAAATGCTGTGGTCAACAAAAGTTTTTTTTTATTGCCAGTGACTCTATGTTGTAAAACATAAAACAAAAATCTTTTAATTTTGGTGTGAAACTCAGAGAGATCTAGCACATGTACATTGTTGAATTGTCATAAATGTTTTAACATAACATTTCACATATTTACTTAATATCAACAGATGAATCCTCCAGGACAGATTATTCAGCTGCCTCAAAACAGGTACTATGATGACAAAAATTTTGCTTTAATAACATCAGAGGAATGCTATGCAAAAGAACTTCAATATTGCTAATGAAAGAGCATGATATTTTGTTATAATAATCACTCCAAAGCCAGATTGGAATGATGAGCCTTGCATGCATTAGGAAGAAAACCTTGTCAAATGGGTTTTGTTGTTTACACTTAGATTAGTTTATGAGGTGTTATCTTTCAATTCATATTATGCAGTAATGATACTGATCTGTAACTTAACATTTAACTCCTCACTTTGATGGTGTTCACCTCTTTCAGTGAATATCTCAAGAAACATACAGTAATATTTTTCAGAAATTGAAAGGATCCTATTAAAATACTCTGTTTAGACATAATCACTGAATACAATTTTTCATACTAGTTCAATTTTACTTTAATGTTAGAATGTCCTGACAGCTGTGAGGTTGTTCCGTAAAAGAAAGGTAAGAAAATGAAAAAAGATTAAGTTCAATTATAGCTCAGGTGGATCTAGAGATATAAGGTTTCTTACTGGTCAAGAATAATATCATTTGTTCCCATAAGCACCCCATACAAGGTGATTACATTACTAAAGAAGTGTTTTTAAAATGGCCACCTTAGGATTTGTGTTATGTTTGTAAAAGAGGGACTAAAAGAAAGTGCAGTTGCTTTGAAAATTGTACAAGAAATTATACTAAAACATTACTCCCCTCAGGCTTGGAATATTTTTAAGTATTTGTTCACAGAATCTTTACTCAACACTCACGTCACATTTGGTGTGTAATTGCAAATAAATAGAATCAAACCTCTTAAATGGAGCTAACTGAAATGCAAAAGCTATGTGGCTGATCACAGGAAGGAATTTTCTAGTAAGGAAAGGGTATCTCCCAAAACTTCTAGTTTCTGAAGTATGAAACTTGTTTATCAGCTGTTTCACCTCTGTGAGATGTATAGATAGAAAGGAAATACCCTGAATTCTCAGTGATGGTTTTCAACTATGTAAACTTCTATTTCAGCTGGCTGATCTTTGTGACAGCTACAGGTTGATGGGTATTTCAATAGTATCACAACAAGCAAAGAGAACTTGCTTCAGATTTGAGACCTTTTTCAATTGTAAGTTGAAGTGTTGTTAGTTGTACTTAGCTGAAATATGCAGTGCAGCATGTTGGAATTGCAATGACTAAATGATTCACTTTCCAGCTGACCTAATCACAGATTGATTTACTGTTGACTGACTTATCAGTCCTGCTTACTACTGACTACTTGACTCACTCACTGAGTGTCTGTTACTGTCTCACTGTCTCCTTGAAATGGACTGACTGACTGATTCACACACTCACTTGCTGTTTCACTGACTCATTAAAACAGGATGAATGACCTATTTGCTGACTGGCCAATTTGCTGAATTACAGAATAATTGACTCTGTGGCTCACTAACTAACTGACTGATTTAAGCACTGATTTACTGACTAATCAATTAAATAAGTCTATGTGAGACTCACAGGCCTACTGATGCTTAGATTAAATTATGAATTTATTAAGGAATAACCTGCCCAAATAACTTCTGATTTAATTGATGAGCAAGGCAAGTCCAGAGATTTGTGTTGTGTTGTGACACTTTAAATGTCAAATTTTAATGCTATATATCAACCTTCAGCTAGATACTATGAACCGTATAACCTTGAAGTGGAGTTGAAAGACAATAATTTAAAGGTGAGTTTAAAAGTACAAAACAATTTCTAGGAATTAAGGTCTATTTGCATGATCTTCTCTCTGTCATTCACTCCACATGTGTATGTTATACTGGAGGTACTGTACACAAAGTATACTTTTAGAGAACTAAAAACTGGTGTTGGACCTCTTCTCCTTCACTTGGCTGAAACCAAGCCTTACCTCTATTTTATCTTACTGTAAACCTGGAGTTGTAGGTTCTTTTTTAATGCTATGTGTTTGAAATTTCCCTTCATATAATCAGTGTTCTTTGTATAAAGGACCAAGGTATTTCTTCTTTAGATTTTTTTCCAATTTTGTTGGTTGATTTGATTATACCTGTTAGATTCACAAGCATACTGTACCTTACTTCATACCTGTTGATGCAATTAGTAAGCAGTACTTAAACACTGACATCAAGGTACCTTGTATCTATACTTTTGTTGATTTTTTTTTTTTTTCAAGAAATCTCTGTCTGCACATTATTTAGATGCTTAAAAAAAACACTTTGCTAAAATTTATGTTGTTGTATTGATTGCAAGTAGATTGACAAGAACTGGCTGTTCTGCTATACAGTTGCTCCATGTGGATCGTCTGATAGTTTCTTTCTACTTTGGTTTTAATGGTTCTCCAAATTATTTCCCTGCTTCTACTAAGAAACATTTGGTCATTTTGATTTCCTCCTGTATGATATTCATGCTACCTTTTTAAATTATTTTAGAGGTTTTTCATGATCATTTGTGAGCATCTTAATGCTTTTGTGGCAAGAAGAGAACAGGTAAGCAAAAATCTTGACTCCCTGGATACTATGTCATAAACCCTTTACACCCTAACATCAGTATGCATATTCTCCATACTGTTCTCCATGTTTCTTGAGTTTGCCAACAAGGAGAATTTTTTAACAATCAAGTGCTTCGGTTCTTGGTGAACAGTTCCTCAATTCTCCCAACCTTAATTTGCGATTCAGTGGTGATATTCTAGAGAGAAATTAGATGTGATTCACTCCCAGGGGGTCCATGGTCAATAATGAAAATCACAAAGTGTTATCAATGTGATTGTAGCAGTACATGTTGTCTTCAGTAGCATCTTGAATGATTTGATATTTTTATAAGTGAGGCCTTCATCTGATGTTTTGTGTGATCATAGGTTTGCCTTTGTCAAGAGCAGCATGGAGATAAACTGGAAGGAGAGATATCTTGCAGCCCCTCGCATGATTTTGTGATGTTGAAATTAAAGGTAAGCATGTTACTGCCAAACAGTTGATCAATTTGTGAGAATCTAAGTTTAATCCAGGATTGCATTTCTTTAAGCTTAACTGTGCTCTTTAATTGGTCTGGAAAACTTGTGCCAACCTCTTGACCAATCAATTTCAAACAAATCACAACTTGATCAGCCGCAATTTTTTCAGCACTTCAGGTAGCTTGCCTGATTTTACTTTGAGTTTCACTGGATTTTGTGATATTTTCCTTTCCTTCTGACTGGCTGTTATGATTGCTTTAGTTTGGGTCTTATAACACTCAATGTAAAAGGGCTTTACAATTGTCTGTTACAATGTAACTATCATCTGTCTAACCACTATAATGGTTTCCAAAATGTAATCTTTTATTCTCATTTGTCAGGCTGCACAGGGTCAAGTTAAAGGCACCATTGTGAAACTAACATATAGAGGACTCACATCAACACGACCATCCCATGTTGATCTAATTACTGAAGGTAAGAAAAGATGAATGTACACTGGTGTGAACCTAAAGGAAAAATTAGAGGATGTTAATTTGAGGCCATATTCAAGTAAACAAGGTAGCTTGGTACTTAAATGAAAGTTTTAGAATTCTATGGAGTGCAAGTTAGTTCTGAATGGTCTCTTGATTTATGTTCTTTCTCTTGTTTTCAAATTTTATCCTTCCTCAGGGAAAAGTGCCGTAGCATTGAGAAGACTTCAAAGAAAGAGAAAATTTTTCGAAGATCTCTATCTCCACCAAGCATTTGCTGAAGCTTTTAATGAAGAGTTTGAAACTTGAAATAAATTATTCTTATTTTAAAGGTGCTGGTTTTGTAGGCATGAAAGAATTTTTATCATATTATGAAATCAGCTAAAGTGCTTCCCTATCCCTTACCATGCACAACAGGTAAACAGTGTTCATTATTATGTTATGTTATGACTGATATATCCCTGAATGTATCACTCCAGAAATACAAGTTTGTTAAAAGCAAACTCTTTTAGTGACTGTTGGAGGAAATGTATTGGCAAAATTTTATTTAACTGGAATTTTTTTTGCTGCAGGAACTTATTTTACCATATCGGGAACAATTCAATCAAATTAGAACCCACAAAAATTTGATACCCTTGGGTATTGAGGGGTAGCATCCATCATTCTTCTGCCTTTTTTAAGTTGTTAAGTTAAATGAGCAACGTTTTCAGGAGACCTTCATTAAGTTCTTCCAGTGAAAAGTTGCTTACACTTATTTTCCCTTGGTTGAGGATACACCAACTTGAAGAAACATTTCTCCCTCTTAATTCCTTGGAAATATGTTATTGCAATGTTGAACAAACCAATATGCGGTCCTTTTCCCTAGAGCGATTCATCTCTCAGTTCAAACACATTGTTGATTGCAAGTATAGGATTTTTTGGCAAACTGCTTCTCTTCTTCGCAAGAATTAAATTCCGTTCCATACTCCCTAGTCCATTCCACTCAAATTTTCCTCCAGTTCACGAATAATTTGTCACGCAACCTTCCCAGGGGTGCCACGGGCAGAACGAACTCCAGCACAAACAGTTCCAAGTTTTACTTGAGGAACAACTTTCGTTGACTTTCCACCAGGAAACTACGCTCAAATTATCAGGTGATACTTGCCCTCCTTTTGCATATAGCTAAGCTTACGGAAAGAAACTACCTTTTACGCGTCGTCGTTGGCGCGCATGCCAACTTATGCCGAGTCATACGAGAGAGACCAACACTAAACTTGGAAGAGTTTTTCCAAACATACTGCTCAGAAGCTTTAAACAACCTGATCGCTGAGTAAGCAGAATTTGGTATAAGATTTTTGAATTTTTGAAGAGACTTAATAATTTGCGAAAACAGTTTTGTCGTAATTTCTTCACGGTTGGGCGCGAAACAGTCCACGAAACATCAAGTTCGCTAGCTGTTTTGTTAACAGGTATCAATGACCCGGTGACGACTTTGATTTTGACCTTTTCTTCAAGTACTCCTTAGAACATAACACCTGAAAATGGGACAAACAGAGAGCAGTAATTATTTCAGTACGAAGAACTTTTTATTGAAGCTTTCAAACTGTTACATAGGATGTTGCTTGCAACATTCATGTCTCAGATCATTCGCTATTCGTGACTTTCCGTGAACACCTTCAAGATTCGTAAAGAGAGATTTCAGTGTCTTATTTATTTAGTTCATAGTCGAGTTGGGCTTGAGTGAAGTAGTAGTTATCGAACGCTTGTGAGATGCTTGTTATGAAAACACCTCTATCTAATTCACATTTCATCGGTAGCCACGCAGAATAAGTGTCTGCGAAAATTTAGCTATGGTACAGTTAGCCCCTAGTTGTTTCTGTCGTTTTCAGCTCTAAAACAAGTTATTGTTCTGCACCAGTGCTGCACATTTCTTTATTTCTACGCGTTGAGAGTATTTTTAATATAATTTTTTTACAGTTACTAATGGTAATAAAAATATGTCAGTAATTATCTTGAATAGAAAACAAAGCTGTCAGGAAAACTAATTAAATTGGTAAGGGACACTTGAATACAATCGCTCTCTGCCTAGAGGGTGACTTATTAGTAGGGCACCCCTTGCCGACAGTGAGTGCAATTTAACAATTAAGCGGGAGGATCATTCTTTACCAGGATTAAACATGTAGCGAAATGTTTGTTTGGTAATCCTTGTGTGTGCAGACTGCTCTTTGTAAAAGCCTGGATTTCAAATTTTCACCTAAATTCAATTTGCAATGAATTTATATATGGAAAGTTAGATGGTTACAACAAACTATTTCTGGTTGTAACTAGATTGTTTTGCATAGTTTTTCTCTACCTTGATTAATTTTAGAGTGGGTAAATAATGATTATGCGACAATTTTTAATATATTCTTGTTAATGTGCTGATGCACAAAGTCATGATTTAATTATGATAATTAAAGCAAATGATTGAGTGAGAATTTTGAAATAATTAGATCAAAGAGTTAAAGGAATAAATCCCTTTGTAACATTTGGTGCAAAATTAAATTCTCCCTGTTTCATAAAGGAATCTAGGACAATTTAAAGGGGGAATCTAGTCCATCAGAAGTCTTGTAATGCATTTTTCTATGTACCTTTTCTACTACTTTTCATGATATTGAAAGCTTCTTTTCTTTTTGGACTTGAAATTTATTCATGTGAGGATTTATTTACCTTCTCTTTCTTCATCACACTTAGCACGATGGTTGCAGTATTACTGGTTCTTACAAACCATGAAGACATGGGAAACACTGGGAAAAAGACTGGCTGGTATCTTCCAGAATTGGCTCACCCTTACCATGTATTCAAGGAGGCAGGGTACAGTATGACAATGGTCAGCCCAAAGGGAGGAAAGGCACCCTTGGTAAGTTCAATAAAGATTTAACTGTTGCATAGAGCTTGCCTGTGGTGTTGAAGTCTTGAGTGGGTGGCTGTTAATCGCGTTTTCTGTGTATTTAGCTGCTATCTTGGGTTCCTGATAAACTTTCATGGCCAAAAAAGCAAAGGAAACCAGAATGGAAAGAGGGGTGGGGAGGGGGAGGGGGGGTTTCAATGCGACAAAGGGTAGGAGAGAGGAGAGTGTAAAAAACATTTTCTCACCTTAGCATCTCTCTGTCTCTCATCCATCATAAGTACACTTTTTAATGCTTAACATTTCCTTCCTAACCAAACAACACAGGTTTTCTCTGGTCTGGGGCACATCCTTGCATAGACTTTAACTCTTTCACTCCCAAATCCATTAGTTATTCTCCTTACAGTCTGTCATACAATTTGAATGATTTTAGTTTGGAGAATTAGGTATTGGAACAATTAGTAATTCCCTAATTGATATTTTTCTTTATTCTCATCACTGGTCTGCTTGATATTGTATGGATATTGTGAGGAGAAACTCTATCTTGGTCACTTTTAAAGGGTTAAAACAGAGATATAGTATAGATACAAAAGAGTATACAGATATGTGTTATAACTGAGTTGGAATTAGGCATAGAAAATAATATGAATAAACCATCATTAGATATTTTAAAAGGTTTCATGGCTTGTCTACAAGACTTCTTTCAGCACACCCTCAAGTTATTCAAGAGAAAACTAGTTTATGTTGCTCAGTCATTTCCCAAAATTCTTTTATTGTTTTTTAGTATGAAATGTGCCAAGGTAACATTATGTGTTTGAATTTTAAGCTCCTAAAAATGTATTTATTAGTCTAACCTGGTAAATTTCCACACATTGATTCAGAGCATTGCCATGCATTAGTAAAGCACTAGTCTAAATTTTTTAAGTTAGCTGGTTCTTGTTTCTTCACTAAGGACAAGAGCAGTCTTGATGCATTTGCAGAGGACCCAGTCTGCAAAGAATTCCTCAAGAGTGACGGAATGAAAGCCACTGAAACCACTTCTACCATTGCCTCTGTTGATCCAGCCAAGTTTGATGTTATCTTTTATGTTGGTGGTCATGGACCAATGTTTGATCTAGCAGACTGTGAAGTCAGCAACAAAGCTGTGGCAACAGTTTATGAGAAAGGAGGGATTGTTGCTGCAGTTTGCCACGGTCCTGCTGGTACGTGAAATAATGATTGCCATACCTTTTACAAAGTTTGAGGTCTGAAATGTCAGTTATGGGCTGATTTATTTCTGCTTGGATTTATTGCCAAAGTGTGAAATGAACAGACTATAAGTTCAAGGGAGGTTCTCCAACTTTATTTACATTACAGACTGAGAAGGAGGGTAACAGGATATCTATTATATCTCTGTGTTTAAATAGAGGGGAAAGATTTCAGTTCAGAATTTTTGGAACTTAGTGGACGGTACAATGAAATACTGCCCACTTAATCGACCAATTAGTGTACATACTAAGAGATGTAATAAATAATCTATTCTAACTCTCTGCTATGAGAAGCAGATCTAAATTTGAAGTGATGGCTCCCCATTAGTGTAAATCTCTGTACAGTGTTTGGCCTTCAGCAAGATCAACCAGATTTAGCTATATCAGTAAATGTTAATCACATATGGATGTGAATGTAAGGCAAGTGAAGTCTTCAACCATAAACCCAATAATTAGTTGGTATTTGAAGAGGAATTAGAATTGTCCATCACAGAAAGATTTCATGTTATTCGATTCCTCTGCAGGTATTGTAAACACAAAGTTATCAAATGGTGAATACCTTGTGAAAGGCAAGAAAGTGACATGTTTCACTGACCATGAAGAAGGCGTGATGAAGCTGGTGGAAGCCATGCCATTTCTCTTGGAAACCAAGCTCAAAGAACATGGTGCAGAATTTGAAAATGCAGAGGCATGGCAACCTTGTGTCTCTGTCAGTGCCTGTGGGAGAGTGGCAACCGGGCAAAATCCTGCCTCTGCAACACCCTTGGCAGAAAAAATTGTGGAACTTTTAAAGAAGTAGAACACTTTTAACTGTTTTGGAAACCTTATAGCAGGCTTTACTGTGTGGTTTCTTGCTAGTAGTGTAGAATCAATTTATGAATTAATTTAAGAGGCAAGGGAATTTCGGCTCCTGTGGACAGGTTAATTTGTAACTTTTGGCTTCACTTCTTACTGGAAAGCATTAAGAGGTCCTGCTGTCACTGTTAGTATTTTGAACTTATATATGTTAAAAGTACTTCCAAGAAATAAAGGGTTTCAAACAAAGTCTTTTGGTTGATATCATTAGTTATAAAAATGTACACAAATGTATGTGAACTGTAACCTTGTTGTTCCATTGTTAACTTCAAAGTTAGCCAAAGTTTGACATTACCCATAATGGTCACCTACTGTCCATCTTGAAGCATTTAGTCTTAACCCTTTACACCCTAACATCAGTATGCATATTCTCCATACTGTTCTCCATACATTTCCAAAGAGGCTGACAAGGAGAATTTGTTTCACGATCAAGACCTCCTTTAGTTGGTGATCATCTCCTCTATTCTTATAACTTTCATGTTTGTTTCAGGGGTGGTATAGTAAGAAGAAATTAGATGCTAGTGACTCTTAGAGGCTAAAAGGTTAAGTTTGTGTTAGTTTTCCAATCCTGTCTAATATTTCCTATCCTCTATCACCCTTACTCCATTTCGGTTTATCCTTAATTCTCTATACAAGTGATGATCTGAGAATTGAGGCAATATAATGCACCATACATTGTTGTCAGACCTAAAATAGGGATTGAGCACACAAGCATGACATTCCCCTCATTGTGGATTGTAGGAGAAGCTTTGAGGGTTTTTTCTATGATGTTGAAAATGACTTTATCAATTACAACACTGCCCCCTTAAATAACAAACAAATATACCACTGTTATGAAGTCTGATTTAAATTTGATATCACCTGGGTTTATTTTAACTGAAGTTTTGATAGGAAAAGCTCTGGACATTCCCATTGGACCCTTTACTGTTAAATCTGGGGGTCATAAACATGCAGTAATGCACTTCTGTCTATTATAAACATACTTAAAACTTTTATTTCCCAAAACTGAAGTCCATTCACATATTGAAAAATTTCATTTACAATGAATGTTGAGAATCATCAGTCTCTCTGTCCATGTTCAGCAGAGCAGTTGAGAGTGACTGAAGGTCTTTCAGCACAGATGTCACCTGCATCAAGTTCATTTCTTCCTCAGCTCCACCTTCTGTAACATGGATGTTCTGTCTCTCTCTTTGTACTGCTGCAGTAGATGGAATTCCTGGTTCATTTTGAACAGGTTTTGCAGCCTTGTGTTTTCTAGTCTTTCCTCTACTGGTTTTTATGGGTGGTTTCTCATCAAGAGGCACTTGCTCCCTGTTTTCTTTCTCTTCCTCCTCCAGACCATCTGTCAAAGAGAACAATAGCAAGGAACAGTAAGCATTTGTGTACAACACCTTTAGTTCATAAGTGAAGTTATACATCCTCATTGAGAACTTGGATAAACTTCATGTACTTAAATGAATATCAGTTATTACAGAGATTGGGAGAAAAAAAAATGTCTTAACCCTTTAATAATAATAATAATAGTAATAACAATGATACTACTAATAATTATTTATTTGCATATCGTATACATATTGGTTGCATAATTTATTTGGTTAGTTGTCTAGTTTGCGAAAATTATCATTACATATCTAGCTCTGGGTTTCATGTTTTCATCTTTGGTTTGGTCACATTCGTCTTTTACCGTATTCAACAATGTGTCAAGTTTGTTCTAGTAAAGTTTGAAATACGAGTGATTAGCGTTTGCGGCTATAATAATAATTGTAACATCACTTTATTGGGTTTTAAACAGATATAAACTGAAGTCTTGATTTCAATTGGGTCCATATCTGTCCCAAGACCTCATTATTTTAATAATGTATTAAAATGCTGATTACGGTCTGCCATATAATTCTTATGATGTTTGTTTGGGAAATTTGGTTTTGGATCAACTAATAATCCCCTTATTAGCATTTTTCTTTATTCTCATCACTAGTCTGCTTGATATGCTACACGTCTTGATATTGTAAGGAAAAATCATATCTTGGTCACTTATTTCTAGTTTTCTATGGCTAGACCTGTCTTTGCTTCAGTTCCATTCACATCTACCCTATGTAAATATTAAATCTCTCACGATGGGGACTTGCAAAACATGTCATTAGGGGTAAACTTTTTTTTTTCTTTGTTTTCTTCCTTATAACATTTTGGCAATGTTTCCCTCTAACCCCTAAGAATGACTGGCTTCCAATTTCTCCCTAAAGTATCACCCATGAATCAAATGCAATTTACAAATTTCCTGATTGTTGACAAATTCTCCTTGTCAGTCCCACAAGAAATGTAAAGAGAACAGTGTGGAGAATATGACTTCTAATGCGAGGGTGTAGAGGGATTTTGTCCAATTCTCACCAGAAAACTCCCTTGGTTTATGTCTGGGAACCTTGAAACCCTCCTGTCTGACTGTAGCCATGAGCATATTTCTTTCCTTTTCCATATTTCGCAGTTGTGAGCAGCATTTCTCCAGTTTCATTTCATATTCCTTCTGCTGAAGAGAGAGCTGTTCTGCTGCCTTTTCCTTCTCTCTTTCAACCACTCGCTCTGCTTGCCTGAGTGCCACAACTGCTTTTGTGTGTTCACGCCGCACATCATTGAATTGCTTTTCAAGCTTTGCAAATTCCTCAGTGTATCTTGCTTGCTCTGCTTGTAAAACTTTGTCTAGAGCTGGAGAATGAGTAAAGCCATAAACTGTCTGTTGCTTGAGCATGTTAACAGGCTTTTATCTAGAATAGTCAATGGGTTAACATTTATTTTTTAATTTTAGACACAAGCATCTAAAAACCTCACACTTACTTTTTTCAGCCACATCTTTGTGTTTTGCCATTTCTGTTTTGAGTGATTCAATCGTCTCCAATCTCTCTGACAATTCAACTTCAGCAGTTTGCAACTTGTCATTAAGGATGGCTCCTCGTTCTCGTTCATCCTTCAAGAATGACTCCAACTGAAGAAATATAACATTCCAGGTGATTTCAATTGTACTTATTCAGATGACTTTATATTACTCATTGCTTGGAAAATATTGTGGAGGACTTGGTCTCCTAATTTATATTAACCCTTGACACTCTAGCATCAGTATGCATATTCTCCATTCTATTCTCTGTACATTTCCTAGGGTGCCAAGAAGGAGAATCTGTTCAACAATCAAGATCTTCATTAGTTGTTGATCATTTCCTTTATTCTTGTGACCTTAATGATTGATTTAGGAGTGATTATGTCCAGAGAAATTAGATGCTTGTCAATCTTAGGGGTTTAAGGGTTGAGAGACAGATAGAGAGGCTACAGGAAAACCAGAGGCTTACATTCAAGGGATCAATATCAGTATCTAGGTAACTGCCCACCTACCCCTCCCCTAACTCAACAACAGTCAATTGATGACAAGTTAAGGTTAATGTTGGGTTAGGGGAGGGGTAGGTGGGCAGTTGCCCAGATACTGATATTGATCCCATTTAAGTCTATTTCCAATTTGTCTTAGTCAAAGAATAATAGTCCAAGCTAACACACCCATAGAGAATTTATAATTTTCATCAACATATTTCATGAACATTTGAGGGAATACTAATTGTGATCAAGCATTCTCTCATTTAAATAGACTGTGCCAGGCCTTCAGTAAATGGAGATGAATGAAAAAGAGGAAGTAAGGAAATAAAAAATCAGCAAGAGTCTGGAAAGGAGTGTCTCTAACACTCTCCTTTGCCTCCTGCTTTTGCTTTTCTCTCTCTCCCTTTTTTTTGTTCTACTGGCATCTCCTTCAAAACAAGAGTCTAGAACAGGTTAAAAGTAAACTTTGGGGTAGACAGTCTGTTACTTTTGGCCTTGGATACTTTTCATAGGGTTCTCAGCAGAACATGATTATTACCTGTGATATTTTCATGGCAGAGTCATTCAGTTGTTCCTCATACTGAGCTCTAATTACCACCTCTTTTCTCTCTAAAGTCTCTGAATCCTTCCTGGCTTGAGCTAAAAGATGGTCCCTTTCTCTCGTTAGCTGTTTTACCTCTGATACCAATTGTTCACATGACAGACTAGCCTGTGGTTGTTCTGTGATCTCTCCTGAAAAATTAAGGATGAATCAAGAGAGCCTGTCAAACAAATAATATAAAGCACCGGCAATAAAAAGATTTAAGAAAAAACCTATGGAAGACTTAATGAGTAAAATATTTTGTACATACCTTCTGATATTGATTGCCCAGTTTCAGCAGCTTTATTAACTGCTTCTGATAGTTCACTTCTCAACTGTGCCTCACGATGTGTTAGAAGCCCTATATAAGGAAACAGTCCTAACATTATGATGTTTGTTTGTTTGTTTGTTTTTTGCTTACATTAACATGTTTCCTAATAATTAATATCAAAATGTGGCTACTTACAATGTTGTTCTTGAAACCAACTGGTAATGAAATGTGTTCCAAATGGAAACAGAATTGGAGCATGTAAAGAGGGCTCCTGTTTTATTTGGATTATCTACAAATTTCTCTCTTGCAACCTCACATCTTTGATGCATTTTCATGAGTTATTGGTGAGAAGTGAGGTTACAAACTTAACTCTATTTTTCTCTGCCCTATGACTCTTAACCCTTTCACTCCCAAGATCTCAATAGTAATTCTATGTCCTGTCTGCCTTACAATTTTTGTGATACTAGTCTAGAGAATTTGGTATTAGATCAACTACTAATCCCCTGATGGCATTTTTCTTTATTCTCATCACTTGCCTGCTTGTCAATGTATAGACATTGTAAGGAGAAATTCGTTTTTGGTCACTTATGGGAGTGAAAGGGTTAATTATCTGAATACATCCTTTCTAGAGAAGTTTTTCTCCACAGTTAAATGAGAGGTTATGTAACACAACCTCTATTGCATTTTGTTTATTATACAGCTTGAATAGTAACTTTAGAGAGGAAGTGTTTATCTTTTCCCCCAGTTATTTCCACAAGAAATTAAAAATATTTCTAAATTATGGAAACGTGCATATCACCTTGAAGAAATTGAACTCTCCCAGTTGCAAAGCTAATACGCTGAGAAAATGTGGCAAGTTTCTTGAAGGCCTCCTCCATTTGTGTTCCAACATGTTCTATAAAAGATTCAGTCTTTTGTGCAACTTCCTGGAGACTGCTGGAACACATTTGAAATTGTGAAATGAAAGAATTGAACCTTTTCTCATTCTGCTGACACTTCTCGAGTTGCCTTTCTAAAACAAGGTTTCTATTGACTTCAATTTGCTGTTCAGCCTTCTTGTCAGCTAAAATGTGTGTTAACTTGGCTACTTCCTTCTGAGATTCTTCCAGCTCTGTCATCAGATGTTTCAGCTTAAGATAGAAGACAAGAGTGTTACGATTAGCAGTGTGGAGAAGTTACATGATAATTACATCTGGGAGTTAAAGGGTTAAGGTTAAACTTTTTGTTGATGAATAGTATTTTAAGCAAAAGTATTTCACCAGAATCATTGTTGGAAATTTTCCAATGAAAATTGTGTTAATCTTTCACAGCTGTTGTTTAACTAAATCAAAGGAAAAAATTTTTTCAAACAAAAGCCCAACATGAGCCCTTATAGGAAAGATTACATTTCATGCTTGTCATTTGACCAAGTAATCAGGCAATTTATGTATCATATCTAATATGTAATGAGAAAGTTTGTGTTATTTACACATTCTCATTTACAGTGAACTCTTGACAGAGACCTCTATGAGAAAAAAAACCCTCTCTACTTTTGAAGTCAGTTCTCATGGCTGGTTTTCTTAAGTCACTTTCATAAAACTGAACTTACCTTGTGAACCCTAAGGCCAACTTTCCTTTAGGAAGAGAGTTTACTTTAGTTATAAGATTACTCTTTAGTAATCCCATAAGCATTTTTGTTTGAGAAAGTTTACTCTACTTTTCAAAAAACCTTTTGGGATACAAATATCAGAATTTGGTATTACTGCAGTATTTCCTATTCAAGTTAATCCAGTTATTTTTAATTCCTTTCACCCAAGGTAACTTACCTGAGCCTTCTCATTTCTTTCTTCTTTCTCACGCATAATTGCTTGTGATTTTAACTGAATCAGCAAGGCAAACACTTTCTCTCTCCATTTTGTGAGCAAACTTTCTCCATCGTGCCTTGCACTATCACTTGATTTTGCTTGAAACTTCATCAAATCTTTTTCTTGAATGGTGAGGATTTCATTGATGGAGGAAATTCTCACATTAAGGAGTTCCACAGTGGATCTTAGATTTTCATTTTCTTGTATCAAGCTGGTCGCAGTTTGCTTTGCCTCTTCATGCTCTTTTTGGAGTTTCTCCAGCTGTGTGTTTGGCAAGTTCTCTCCTATATAAGCTCTTAACTGATCAACAATCAAGCTGTGGGACTTCACTTCTTCATCTTTCTTTTTAAGTTCCTCTGTAAGCAGGCAGAGTGCATAGGGACTACATTAAAATGTGACACTCAACTGACTTAAATAACACTACTGCATAGTCATACTAATGAAAGAAAATTTCTAGATAATCAAATTGAGTGTGTAACTGTTGCTTGCATAGTTCCAGACTTAGTTAAATAATCCCATTCACTCCATAGGTCACATTCCCAACCCTCAGTCACTTTAACCCTTTTAACTATCAGATTGGTATGCACAATTTCCATACCGATCTCTTCACATTTCCAAAGGTGGCAGCGGGGAGAATTTGTTTGGCAATCAAGAGCTTCTTTAGTTGATGATTACTTCCTTTATTCTTATTATATAAATATGTGATTTGGGGCTATATTGTAAGGAGCACCTTTATTCTTGTGACCTTACTGTGCGATTCAGGGGTAATATTATAAGGTAAGATGGCTGCTGTACAAATTTTTCAATGCTACTTCAATAAAGGTGATTTTTTTTAATCAAAGATTATAGTGTAATGAGGCGAAAGTAGCAGGCTAACCGTAGTAGACTGGGCTGTAGTTTTGGTCCCTACCACTTTTCACTTACAGCTCTGATTTCTTCATTACTTAGGTAAAGAATACTATTCATTATGATTGGGTCTTTGTTGTTTCAAGATATTTACATGAGGATTGGGTTGATGTGGAAAGATGTGGTGCATGTACAATGAAGTTTTGAATCTTAATGATCAGCATTTTATTTACCTGTCAAATTCTGTAGCTCTCTTTGATGAGAAAGTGTTTGTTCCTCTAGTTTCCTGCTAAGATCTGTCAGAGTTTTATCATAGTATAATTGGCTATCCCTCATCTTTTCTTGATGCTGTTTTATGACTGTTGAACACTCCATTTCTTTTTCTTTCAGTTTTTCCTTAAGATCATTTACCTCCTCTTCTGTAGTAGTCAGTTTCCTTTTTGTAGCAGAGTATATCTCATCTCTACTGGAGATCTCATCTTTGAGAGCATGTAACTCTTTGGCATACTTCACTTCACAGGAATCTAAAGTTTTTTTAATTGCCTTAACTTGCTCATACTTGTCAAATTCATTTTTTCTGATCACCTCCTCAAATCCATTCCTGTCAATCTTCACTTGCTCTTCTGCATTTTTCACTTGAGCTTTCAAACTTTTCACCACTGTCATCTGCTTTCTAGCGCGTTTCTCCAGACTCTCCACCTCCCTCTCGAATATTTCTTCCTTTTGCCTCATTTCAGCTTTAAGCTCTTTTATCAACGTGTGCGCCTTCTCTAGCTCGGCTTCACATCTTCCTAAATCTGTTTCGAAGTTACTTTTTACCTCTTTAACATCTATTTTAAGTTTCGAGTTTGTTGCTCCAAGCTTTTTAACTTCTGATTGCAGCGAGAGATTTTCCTCGTGAAGTTCAGCCATTTGTTTCAGATCAAGGGCATCATCGACTCTACCCTTCTGCACCAGAAGCCTGCTCTTTCGTATCTCCCCTTCAAGTCGTATTTCCTCCTCTTTAGACCTCTTAAGTTGCTCTCGAAGCTGTCTATTTTCATTCTGCAATATGTCTATTTCAACGAGGACTTTTTCACTTTCTTCGCTCTGATCTTTCGCAACATTATATTCAGATGGAGGCAGAAGCTTCCTGGGAGCTGAAGTGGTTTGCTGTGAGGGGATCTTAGGCCTTGTAACTTGGAAATATGCAGGAGAAAGAAACCTATCTGACGCATTTTTGCTTCTACCCGCCATTTTCTGGTGCAAAACACGAAATCAACTAGGCGCAGTCCCATAAGGCTTTGGAAGCTGTGAATTTCACAACATTTTCACGTGGAGTCAATTTTCCGAGGAAAACACGATGGGAAAGCTGAAGAAAAAGGTTTATTTTGACGCTTTTCTAAATTGTTTGCTGTATTTGACAATCTGATCTAAATAAATATGCTCACGAATTTCTTTTCAGGGAGAAAGCGGAGCCGCAACAAATTATATATCAAGAAATCAAGCGCTGAAGAAACTGCAGCTCAGTTTGCCGGATTTCAGGTAAAATTTGAGGCTGTTGATCGTCAAATTCACTTCAGTACCTTTTTATGCAAAGAAATACTTTTTCTCAAGTTTTGATTTGTTTCATTTTTTAGGCGAATCTGTATTTTGAAAGGCATTTACCCAGTTGAACCAAAGAACAAGAAGAAAGTGAACAAGGGAAGCACAGCAAACAAGACTTATTATTACATTAAAGACATTCAGTACCTTGCACATGAACCAATTCTTAACAAGTTCAGAGAGTTTAAGATATTTCTTAGAAAGCTCAAGAAGGCCATTGCTAAGGAGGAACCAGGTACTGCTCAAAGATTAGTGGACAACAAACCGATTTACAAACTTGATCACATTCTCAAGGAAAGGTCAGTACTTTTTGTGTCATTCAGTGGATTATTGCAAGGATAAGAAAAAATAAAAATTACTTGTAATAATCATTATCTTGAATGGATTGAACTCAGAAATGATATGTTAAATAGTGTAAGGTTAGACTGTATATTTGGATTTTCCACTTGAGGATAGCCCTGAGGGATGCTGTTGTCAGTAGTGGTGACTGACCTTTGGAGGACCATTGTCAACGACAAGACAGTCTTCTCAGGACTATCCTCATGCAGATGATCAGAATACTTGGTCAAATGTTAACTATCAGTTCAAACCACTTACTCAGTTCTACTTTAGTTTTGAGAAGCACTGTTTTTGGCAATAGTAACTGATATTTTGACTCTAAATTCTGGTCATAATGGAAAAGGTTTCTCACTGTCACTGACAACAGTCCTTCCAGTAATAGCCTTGCATACATGATTGCCTGACATTTCAGATGGGGTAACGTTATGCAGATCAAATTGATGTTATTGTTGGTATTGTTTGTTATTCATTAACAGTTATTGTACCTGTTAGTTTTGTCAATTTTTCACATTGACTTTCATAATGTACAGTTACTGTACATTTACTATTCCTTTCTTAAAACCATTGAGCTCTTCAAGAGGAGAAAGATGACAAAATGGAATTTTTACCCTTGAAATGTTGTGATCTCTGGTTGTCAACAGTACATTCTTCATGCATTATTTCATTTATTCAAATTTTCAGATATCCAACTTTCATTGATGCAGTGAGAGACCTTGATGATGCTTTATCTATGGTGTTATTATTTTCAACAATGCCACAAACTGATAAAATACAGGTAATGATGATTTTCATTTTGTAGTGGTTTTTATACTATTTTTTTTCTTTGAAAACATTACACTTGTGTCAGAAAGAGTTACTTTTGGTATTAATCTTAATTTTTCATATTCTTTATTGACAGGCTGATGTAGTAAAACAATGCAAAAGATTATCTGGTAAGTGAGTTTTTCAAATTTTTTAACAGATAATGTTCTTATTGACTTACTATGACAGATGAAATGTGGTGCTTTGACTTTCAAGTTTGAAAATTTCTGACTCTTGTTAAAATGTCATTATAGTCAAAGTGAGTACCACCACTCTAGTGATCACATTGTCTCACTGAAAAAAAAAAAGGAAGAGTGAATGGATGGGCTGCCTGCAGTTTTTAACCCTTTACACCCTAACATCAGTATTCATATTCTCTATACTCTTGTCTATACAAATTAGTCGGCACTAACAAGGAGAATTTGTTTAACAATCAAGAGTTTCTTAGGTTGGCAATCATTTCTGTTATTCTCATGATCTTAATGACTGATTCAAAAGTATTATTGTAAGGAGAAATTAGATGCCGGTCACTCTAAGGGTTAAAGGGTTAAACCAAAACCCAGCTGAAATGAAAGTAGTTTCTTTACATTTTTGTGCTCACTTAATTAAGAACCACTTTGTCATTCTGATACTTTTGTGTTTGTTGCAGTTGAATTTCAGCATTACATCATAGCATCTAAGTCACTAAGAAAGGTATTTTCATAAAGTGTTAACTTCTATTAATAGAATCGTGTTGTCCTGTGGTCTCATGTGTTGGTATTCCTTACTCAAGATTGATATCTCTTTCAAAGGTATTCCTGTCAATAAAAGGAGTCTATTTTCAAGCTGAAATCCAAGATCAACCCGTGACGTGGATTGTTCCTTACCAGTTTTGTCAAGAGGTAATAATAGAAGCTTTTTCCATTGTTACTATTTTGAACTGCAACTTTCTTTTTTTTATTTTCAATTGTAGACTTGTGTTTAAATAAGTTAAAAAAAAGGTGAACTCTTTAACTTCCAAAAGTGATCAACAAGTAATGTCTTCCCATATTATTCAAGCATTACCCAGCAAATATGTAATGAGAATACTCAATCTAATCAGGTAGCAGTTGTTACCTTGATCTAACTTAAAATTCTCATAACTAATGTGTAGCAGCTAGAGAAGAGAATTAACATTCAGATCTTGAAGGGTTAAGTCTTTACATGAGTGAAGTAGTGCATCCAGCTGGATCTTATTCTGGATTCCATAGCATAAATTAACAAAGATTATTACTACACACCCCTCTCCTCTGGATGGGATGTTACCCCCCAGCATTTCATCAGCCTTGTGTGACAATTCATTGGTACACATTTATACATAGGTGGAGAGTGGCACTGTGAGGTAATGTGTCTTCCTCAAGAACACAATAGATTGACCTGGCCAGGTTTCACACCTGGACTTCTTGACCCAGGAGTCCAGCACACTAACCATAAGGCCAGCATGTCTGCTTTAAACCAGTTAACTGGACACTAATTGACAGTGCCAATGGTGTTAGCCATGTTAAGACTTGCTTGTGGTTACATAGGTAGAGGTTATATGTTGGTTTTTTTTTTTTTTTTGCAGCCACCAACAGATGTTGACTTCAGAGTGATGCTGACTTTTGTAGAGTTCTACACAACTATGATAGGATTTGTGAATTTCAAATTATACAACATGTTGAACTTACACTACCCTCCCAAGGTAAGTTCATCCTTAACTGCCAAAATTTTATTGGAAATTCTCCTTTTCAGCTTTATACATTTCCTCTGACTGTCAAACTCAGAAACCAGATGGTTTTACCATACTCAGACAACTAAAAAACACTCTTATGTATACCATTGAAGTTACTAAAGGGATTAACAGATGTGGAAAGGTTTATTCATCTCTATTGCCAGCATTCCTGACATTCCTCCGGCTTGGAAATAAGTTCTTTGGTCACCTGATTGTTGACTGTGATTTTAGTATCAGGTTGAATCAGGAAACTGTAAATATGATTAAGATGTATTAGCTTTATGCTTCTTCTTTGTCTTCCCACCTTGAATGTGCAGCTTGCTGGTGAATACAATAACACAAGTAACACAGACTATTGTGAAGATTCAGAACTGGAAGATGAGGTGAGACATTTCTTCACTGGACATACATCTATTAGTTTCTAGCTGACTTGAAAAAATATTGAACATTTTGCATGTTTCTTTATATTAATCAAACAGCTGATCTGGTGCAATCAAGCAGTCGCTTCAATGACATGCTTTATTTGAACTTTATTACAGGGTTGTAGCTTAGAAGTTAGGCTGGCAGCATTTGGCCCAGTGATCTTTAAGCCAAAAATCCAGCTGACAATTGCTGCTTTTTCATTTGGCAAACTTTGGCAGGCGTACTACATGAGGAAATTAAAATGTAATGAGCATTAACTGGAGTCAGTGGGTGTGTGAGTAGAACAACCTGTATCTCTACAGCTCATCCAAATTTCCCTAGGCATGAAGTAACAAGGAGTTTTACTTGTGTCCTGCAGACCCCCTCCCTAGAGTCCAGCACACTATTCACCAACTGATTGTGACTAATTGATACTCTCATGGTTATTCCCTTGTCTTTGTCAATTAAGTATTGCAAACCCTGGTCTTCCTAAGCAATTTCTCATGGGTATGTTTGTCTTATGTTTTCTTATAAGGTGCTGTCTGCTTTGAATCAAAACTTGTCAGTAACAGGTAGGCATGTCAATGTATTTCTTGAAGTAACCATTGTCTATTATCTCCCCATATAGTTACCCCTAAATCAAGCATTAAGGCCATGAGAATAACAGAAATGATCAGCTGCTAAAGAAGCTCTTTTGTTCTAGAACAAATTCCCCATATCAGTACTACAGGAAAATATATTAAGGACATTATGGAGAATATGCATACTGATGTTAGGGTGAACACTGGTAAAGGCCATGGCCACTCAAACAACTTGTGGTTGACCTACACCTTCCCTGTGAGATTTGTGAAGTACATGAAATGTTAATGGTGGGTTACATGTATTTTTTTCCTTTTTATTTTCAGCTCAGGATGATGATGTTGAAGTAGATGAATTTCCTGTTGATCCTGAAGTATGTTGTGTTTTTAGTAGAAGATATGTTGCTGGTTATATGTGTTCTTCAACGTTAATAACATGTCAGTAAATAATTGTCCTGAAGTTTGCAAGAGATGTTAAGAAACCATCAAAATATACTAATCTGGTTTTTTTTTTGACAGAGCGAGGATGCCAAAGCACAGGAGGCTATTAAGAAAGAGCTTCAAGAAACAGAAAAACTGAAAAACCTGTTTTCAGACTGCAAGGTGTTTCTGTCCAGAGAGGTCCCAAGAGAAATACTGGTGTTTGTTCTCAGGTAAAGATGTTTTGATATTTTACATCTCCAACAGTTTCATTACATTTTTAATTAAGTATAAAATTAGGGCACCCTTATAGAGATGGCCAGCAAAAAATATAAGACTAAGAAGTGAACTCCTGGAGGTCTCATATGAGATAGGCAGGTAATGACACTTTTACACTGGTCCTGCCTCAATCTCATTGGTGTTAAAAACAACCAGGCAAGACTTGGTAGCCTTGTGCTTAATAACCTTTACCCCTTATTTTGCCTACAAAATGTGCTGTATTTGAGAGTTTTATTAACAAACTATCAGAAATTCTTGATTAAGCATTTTGTGGGCAGTGCTTGGTTGGGTCATTGTTTGTGTCCTGTACTCCTCATTTTGCCCACAAAATGTGCTGTATTTGAGAGGTTTATTAACAAACTGTCAGAAATTCTTGATTAAGCAGTTTGTGGGCAGTGCTTGGTTGGGTCATTATTTGTGTCCTTTACTCCTTATTTTGGTCACAAAATGTGCTGTATTTTAGAGGTTTATTAACAAACTACCATGAATTCTTGATTAAGCAGTTTGTGGGTAGTGCTTGGTTGGGTCATTGTTTGTGTTCTTGGGAAAGGATTTGCACTTAAAGTAACAACTGTTGAAGTTTCTCTTTTCTTGTATCATCACAATTTTGGGAAATCAGTGAAGGAAACTTTGTATGTGCACAATGATGGTATTTGTACATCCTGTACACACAGGTCCTATCCTGCAAGTTAAATTGCGAGCACTCACATTCAAGAAGAGAATGTGCATCAGGGGGTGTTACTTTTGTTACTTAAAAAATAATGTATATCAAAAAGATTTGATTTCACAAGTGCATAAGTAAATTATTTTGAGATATGCGACACAGTAACTTTTCTCAACTTGCCAAATGTTTTCTCAACGTGCCTGGGTCAATGAAAAATTGTAAAAAAAAAATGTAAATTCTAGGTTACATTCATTAAATCTTTAAACTAGAGTAGCATCAAACCATGTTTGATTGTCCACCTGGTTTCCTTGTAAACTTTAATTTTTCAATGACAGATGTTTTGGAGGGGAAGTCTCGTGGCAGAGTTCAGAAGCCATAGGAGCCACGTTTGATGAGAACTGTGATTCAATTACCCATCAGATTGTAGACAGACCAGTTTATGGACACACATATTTATCCAGGTTTGTATCAGATTGGCAGATTCTTGCTGACTGAAAAATTTTGAGCCGCAATCCTGTTACATTCAACTAGTTTTTGAACTTAAGGAATCCTCTAAAACTTGGTCCCGTAAACGATTTTGCCCTCGAGGCCACTGGAAACGTTAATAAATCAAGCCTGTAAACAGGTTCCAGTAGGAAGGGCTGAGGAAGAACTGGGCTCTAACGGAAGCTCCCATCCCCCTACCTCCGCCCTCCTCCTAACCCCATACCCTTCCTCGCTTTTTCCTCTTCGCCCTATCTTCGACTAGAAAGCCTATACGAGGGAAAAATACATGTAATTCAAGTAACGCAAGTAGCTGTTACAGCATAGCGAAAAAAGAAAAGATACTCCTCGCTCCAGTTGAGCAGCCAAATTTGTCAGATTTATAACAAGCGTTCTCGCCATATCGACTTTCTATTTAGTCTCCTTTGCAGCCGTTTTTCAGAATTTCACGCAACATTCCCCCAACGCTTCTTTTGAGAGGAGCGTTTCGTGACGTAGAAAGAACGATAGGAGCCTACTTTCTGTGCTCTTTCCCACGCCTCCCCCCCCCAGAAGTGATCAATAGGTAATTTCTCCTTTCAATATCAACTCTAGTTAAGCAAAAGAGGTAATGAGAAGAATGTAGTACATCAGCTGGTGAATATTGTCTGGTATGACACCAAATCATCAGAGCTATAGTTTTATAGAATGTATGGTATTGAGATCTTGGGTTTGAAAGGGGTTGGTGCTTTGTAAAGAAACTCTTTCGTATCCTCCAGGTATTACGTCCAACCTCAATGGGTATTCGACTGTGTGAATTGCCGTAAACTTCTCCCTGTGGAGGATTATTTCCCAGGGGTTGAGCTTCCGCCCCACTTATCCCCGTTCGTGGAAGAACAAGAGGGTGATTATGTACCCCCTGAGAGACAAGCCATGCTGGAAGAGCAGAGGCAGACAGAAGCGGGTGAAAGTGAGGCTGGACAGGAGAATGAAGAGGGTGAGGAAGTTGTAGGGATTAAACGGTGCTGTTGTCCAAAATACATTTGAGATATTCAACCTTTAAGCTCCGCAGGTTCTCTTTGGTTTATTTGCTGGATCTTCTATTTGGTCAATAGTAGCTTGATTATACAATAGACCGCATTTTCTGTCCATTTACTAACACTGGCACAATAACCCACGCGGGTTGTGGGGAGAACGTGAGAGAAATTATTATATCAAGAGTCAAAGACAAGTGATCTACAAATTTGTTTAGTGTTCTATTAATATGTCGCGGGTGTGGTCCATCGCTTTTATGAAGGAGCTATGGATAGGTGTGGGTAGTTTTTTGGCCAATCAGAGGACCTGTAATATCTCATCTATCTTTTGAATATGAATAAATCTCATTCTTTGAAGTAACGCGCTATCGCTAGGACAGAGATTTTCAATCGAAAACCTAGAATAACTACGGATTGCAAAAAAATACAAAAATTAAACTAATCAGGACTTAATCTCGTGCGGTGAACTGCGCTTCAGGCAGTTTGCATCATTTTTGTTAGTTTAATATACTTATTGGCTACTTGTAATTGCTTTGGTTTAGGTTCTTCTATACTCAATTGAACTGTACTCTAGTCCATAGTTGTTGGAATCCGAATGAAGAAGTTTTAATTTTGGTACTGGAAGGGAAACTATAAATTTACCTAGTTATTTCAACATTTTTCTTCTCGTTCAGGAACGTCTGGCGAAGGACTCAGCAAAGAAGAAAAGAACCTAGCAATCATGGCGATGAAGAAGAAAGACAAACGATTGTACGACCAAATTATGCATTCCAAGAAGAAAAAGAGATCAGAGGTAAAGTATTAAAATAAATTCTCTTCTAGTTTCTTTGAAAGTTGAGCGAGAAAGACTTTACTTTCCAGATCCTGTTTTTGGCCAAGGGTGCCGAATAATACGAACACCTCTAAAATCAACTTTTTTTGCTATAAGCTAAAGTTTTTAATAAATTGTATTTTGTTTTAGGTACGAAAACTTGAGGCTAAGCGAAAGGCTTATGACGAGGCACAGTCACAGAAGAAACAGAAGACAAAATGAAATCTCGACATCGAGTATGAATTTAATCCTTAATTAAAAAATATTTTACACCAAACTTGTAGATTACCACGTATTACTCAAACGTAACAGTGTAATTAAACGCAATTTTTTTTTAGAATTTTTTTTCTACTGTATGATTTACCATTCAAACAATACCTCTCCTTTTTCACGCGGCGATATTTTTTTGCTCCGTTGAGTTAGGCTTCGCGAATAGTGAGCGAAAATTCTCATGTAGACATAATTTCTTGTCCACATCTTTGGATCATCATAACGCTTTAAGAAGTAACTTAAAATCGAAATCAACACAGTCATATTTTCATTTAGTCGAGGATTTCTCGTTCCCAGTGCATTAACCAACTCGCATTGCCTTGCGGATAAATAGAAAGGCCTGGATGCGATGTAATGAGCGCGAGAAATGTCTGCAAAGTTACTTGTCCATCACTCCCGTGCCGAAAGAGCCGGTACAAAGTGCAGGGAGAGGTCGTTCACTTTTGCTAACAATCCATTTCGCTGATGCTTGCTAATCCCTGAAAGGAAATGTTTGGAGGAGACAGTGAAGCCACAACCTATACTTGTCGAATAATATTGTTATATGATGACAAACGAGTGAATGTGGAATATTTTAGAGAATGTTGTAAGTTCAAGTCCTCCTCCAAGATGTAATGTCAGCCCTTCCCAGACCAGGTACCCCCCTTAGCATGTCGTTAGGTTTCTGTGGCAGTTGGGTGGTACCGAATTACATCCCTGGTAGGAGACAGGCACTTAAGAGATTAACGTGTCTTGCTCGTAAACCCAATTGGAAACAGGACCTTTCAATGCGGAGTTAAGCGCTGAAAGCAATGTGCTTCGTCGACGCCCACTTTAACCCTCTAAATCCTTAAAATGACCAACATCTAATTTCTCCCAACAATATCACTCCTGAATAACAAATTAAGGTCATGAGAATGAAGGAGATGATTACAAACTAAAAGTAGCTTTTGATCAGTAACAAATTCTCCTTGTCAGCACCTTAGGAAAAGTATTAAGAACAGTATGGAGAATATGCATACTGCTGTTAGGGTGTAAAGGATTAAGAGGGCCTACATTTTCCAAAACAGGGTCAGAGCAAATTGTAGCCACCTCATGTTCATGTTAGTATTACACGTGCGAAGGGAACCTAAAATTCTCGTAATATGATACTATTAGAGTAATGGCCCATCCGAGAGTATGGTATTATCGCTTACCGTGTTGGTTGTGTTTCCCGGATGTGGTCTCGTGTTGGCGTAAGCCAGAGGGGTTCCTTTGTAATGAAATGCTACTGGTACCTGGAATAGAAGTTTGATACAAGGTAACTGCAATCTAGATGGAAGCTTAGATACAAATTCAGTTTCGTGATGGCGCCTAGCGAAATAACATATTGAAGGACACGGTAAACCATGAAAAGATTGCAAAGAGGTTTGCCTGCGCCAACAAAATTCGCAGGAGCCATTTTTGAAATTTGAGTAAGAGTATGCGTCATTATTAGAAAAAAATAGCAAAGTTTTCTTTCTCCGTGCATTCCATACCATTTGATCCCACCACTAGACGCAGGTATGCGTGTACTCGGGCGCTTGTAACGGTTAAATCTACGCACATTCTTTCTCGGGTTTCAATCTTATTCCACATGAAAATTTCATATGCACGCGTTAGAACCCAAACGGCGCGCCTGAACAAAACAGCCGGCGATACTGAAATATGTTACATAAAGCTGTGTACCTTTTCAATGTCTCGCCGCGATATAATAGTGGACGATTTATTGACGGACTGCGTGACACAGTGCTTTCTAGTCTGTATTCTTGTGTGAAGGTTCCCCTGTCCGAAGCCCATTAACAGACCAAGAGGGCTTACATGGCTTCTGCTCGAACTCATCATCATTTGACTTTTACAAGGCGACAACCTACGGTTTTGTGGTGTAAACTCGTCGAACCAAGACAGCATTGCGCGTGAGGCTAAACTTGAAGTCAAACCAAAATGACGGCTAGTAGTTTCAAGGAGTGAAAAAGATGGGGACAGTGGTGAAACACAAATGCTTTCCTTCAGAGCCAAGGCCTCTTTTGTGGACATGTCACCGGTTGAGTTTAGAACACTTCGGCACTCTTTTTTGAGTCGTTTTGCCTCGAAATAGCGTCTCGCATAGCGTTGTATGACTTTGGTTGATTCCTGAATTCTCCGGAAATTTATCTTGGCTCTCCATCCTTTCCAAACTAAACACGAAAGGAAAGTAACACGGGTTTTCTTCAGTAGTTCCCTTTCTGAGAAATAGACCACGGTGTTTGATTTTAAAGCGATAGAACTTATTACTACTACTTCCTGTAATTATGGGGCTACGCTGCGCGCGCTGCGACCGCTGCGGGCTCTGTTATTAGTTTAAACAAATCTTTGCAAAGTGCCAACAGGGTCTTAATTTATCGCTTCTACGGTCACCCATTTGTTTCTAATGAACTTATTCGAAACAATTTTCTCTGTAACAGAGTGGTTATACTATAGGGCTAATGTGCGGAGGGCCATTGGTTCGACTAAAATAGAGACTTACTAGCAGCGCACTAGCAATTAGTTTTTTTCAACCTTCCGATATAGCTTCCTTTACGAAAAACCAAGATAGGCATTTCACCTGATTGGATTAAAACAGCCGCAGTCACCCTTATCTGTTCGAGCCTCCTTTTGTGACGCCTCCAACACTTCTGGATTATCAACACTGATTTGGTGAGACATCTGTTTCGTACTTGCTCCAACCTCTCCATCTAAAAATGACAAAGCAAACTAGACTAGTTAGAAAACAAGTTGCATTTCTGTTGTTGTTTTGATTATAAGCTCTTATTAGTACCGGATAGGTTATCATGGGGGCTAGAATCATAGGTAAGTAGGACACAGTCTTAAAAGGGCGTGGCTAAGAGCGGTCCTCACTAGGATGCATGTCCCCCCTCCCCTCCCCTCCCCCCTCATGTTCAAATTATCATGCTTAAACTCTAATATGACGCGGGTGTAGAGCCTAGGTCCTACATCTGTTAAAAACCTTTTCCACAGCCCTTTCATGACTCACCGTTTCTTCCCTTAGAAAAACCTTCGTCCTTCCAATTTTCACACTATGACTGCCATTCTCAAGGACATTTTCTTTAACTTCATCACTATCAACCTTGACAATCTCCAAGATCGACCGACAGATGTGTCTCGTGTGGTCGTAGCTACTTCGGTGTCTCCGACGCGATCGACGCTTGAGTCTTTCCAAGGCGGGAACGCGAGGAGACGCCGATTCTACTGTCCTCGGCGACTTGGCTTGAGGAAAAGTGACGTGACTGTTCATAACAGGGTCCATATGCTTCAAGGCGACATTGTAACGTTTGAGAAATTCATGATGGGATAGTCTGCGAAAACAATTATCGCATTAGCCTTTTTTAAACATAATTGACTGTGTGTAATCTTGTAGTGTGTGGTGCAGATCCACCGACTCCACTTATGAAGCTATGTATGGATCCTACACTACGCCCACAGTACTACCAACCTTTAAAATGTAAACGGCAGAATACCACCACCACATCATAAGAAGATACTTCCTGATGCATTACGTTACGTGATACATTCCGTTACGTTACATCGCGATGTGGGACATGCATTGGTCCAATGATTTGGCTCATTTTAGCGAAGTGAGTAGATATCATTATTGATGTGCGGTAGGATTAATACAGTTTTCTGGGCTTACCTGATTGGATAACCAGCAGCGCTGATTCGAATTGTCTCGACCAAACCACATGCATTCAACTGAGCCATTACCTGAGTATGTGAAAACATTTTGCTGATATATTACACCTAAAAGGACGGACAGTGAAGTTTATCGACGTAGAAGGAGAGGGAGGGGTTGGGGGGGGGGAGGAGGGAAGTTTAGTCTAGGGGTGTATGTGTCAAGATAGAGTAATAGCTTACAAGAACAAAACAACCTGGTATGCCTCAAAATGCCTCTAAGACGTTAGTACAAATCCTTCTGTCCACACCCTGATCATTAACATACCTGGTTTCTATCGAATACTCCGGGCTGACAATCGGAGTTTGGCTTGATACAACGAATGTAGTGAACATTTGTAGAACGCAGTGTAGACATCAGTCTGTTGAGTGAATCCTGAAATAAGCCAGGAACAGCGTAAACATTTATGAAATAATTGAATGATCACATTTACAAAAGAACTGTTACCAGATTCACTTCCTGTGGAACCTCCATTTCGAGAACATCATCGGAACTGGAAATGTCTCTAAGAATTATGAATGTAACAGGGGCATAGCCAGTTTGAGCCTGGGGAAATGACGACAGTCTTCTAATCACAGCATCTTTTTCCCGTGTGCTGAAGGGAGAGGGTGGAAACGAGGTTGAGGTAGCACGTTTTCGCTCTTTTTTCTCTTCTCCATTCCTCTCGCGACTATACCGGAAACTCCCACAACTATGATTGCTCTCCACGAAAACGCATCAATACCCTTTTTGTAAGGACAAGACTTGCTCAAATACCTTGAATTTATGAACAACAGTGATTGTGGACTGTCGATGTTTACTGCTTTCCTTGAATGGAAACTGTCCATTCTAGAACAAATGCAAAGCAAAAGGTGACAAAATTATGAAAAGTGAAGTGACGCTCACTTAAAGCAAACCTCGTATTACAGCTAATTTGACTTATTACCTCTTGTTCACCAGCTCTGTCTGGAATAAGATCTCTCGCTTGAAACAGCTCTTGGATCAATGAATTGGTGCTGCTTTGTAACAGTTCGATTACTTCGGGTGGAACAAAATCCTGCGATAACCAAATGAAAAGAATGAGGAGTGGGTTACATATAGGAAGACAGTGTGGAACACGTTGCAATAAAGACCCTGTCCTCTCCCCTCGCAGTTGTTGCGATATAAGTTACAGTATTAGTGATGGGTCATGAAAACATGAGTAACGTGCTAGAATGACTCTCTCCAACTTTCTAGGACAAAAGCATATCTTGTCTAGATCCTTCCTTAGGCCTTGACACAAGATTGTTTAAGATCAGCTACGGCCTTTTCTCCCTTGAGGGTTCCAATCAAAAGCTACAATATGAGGCGTCGAAGTTATGAGCGTCGAAGCCCCCGGAGAGTTGGAGATCTCATTGTTGCTGAGTCACCGCCTTCATCTTAGTCTACTAACCCCCAAAACTACCAGCAACGTAAGCTTGAGCTTTAATTACTTTATTTGCCCGCCAAATTATAGTTTGCTGTCAGTGGTTAGTAGAATATGACGAAAAATCTGACCTTGTTTTTCTTGACGAGTCCTTCTACTTGGTAAGAGACACTCTCGGCAAAGTGATGAATACTGAACTCGTGATTTTCACTTTTAAACCGCGGACAAGTAAAGTGAGTGTTTTGAGCCAGTGCTGTCTTCAGGCGGGTACTGAACGAGTTAGTGTCCAGCTCTCTTTTCAAACGGCACTCCTGGAACAAGGAGAAAAGGGCATTTGTCAGAAGGTATAGAGTGATTCTTAACCCTTTGCAACCTAACATCAGTATGCATATTCTCCATACCGTTCTCTATACATTTAGGAGAATTTTTTCAATAATCAAAAGCTTTTCCTCTATTAGTATGACGTCCATGTTTGATTCATGGGTGATATTGTAGGAATAACTAAATGCTTGTAACTCTTGAGGGTTAAAATACCTCTGGCGCTTTCACTTTCGAAAAATAATAAGCTTTAATTAGTGCTTGACTCACTAAAATAAGGAACACGTTCCCATCCATCTGAGAAAAAAGCGCATGAAGAATTCATCTTGCACAAAACATTCTGTTACCTCGTTCATTAACGAAAAGACACTTGTCCTCCCTTCAATGAGATCTAAACACGGACGATTGTCCACGAACTCTTGAAAGGTCCAGTCAATACCTTCCTTCTGATATTCTTCCTAGAATGCAAATGGAGAAGCGTCAAATTGGTCAGTGTGCTCGAATTCATGCCCGGCTCCGCCACTGCTGGCGACCTGAGGTACCTTTTTGATCGTGTAGTCCTGAGAATGACTGTTGGCGGAAGTAGTAATAGAAGTTTTGTCAATCTAGACTGACGTTATCCTCAGGCTCAGGTGAGCAGGTGTTGTCTGTCAAGCGTGATCGGTCCGATTTGTGTATACTGATTCGTCAGTTTTTCAGTGATTATTTCATAGGGTACCGTTATACAAAGTTTTATCAGTTTGAAGAACTGTTCAAAATGTCAAAACTGTTTAGAAAGAAGCCGATACCGACATACCTGTTGTCTTTTCATAAAGTGGTACACAAAATGTTGTTGAAGCTTTTCGTTAGCATAGTTGATACATAACTGCTCCAAGCTGTTCAAGTGGAAGTTTTCAAATCCGTAGATGTCTAAAAGACCTGGAATGAAACAGAAGAGAGTGAGTGATTTCTGACATAAAGTCAAGGTCAGGTAACATTTATCCAAGCATAGCTTTTATCCACGACGAACCAATGGTCTAGAAAAATCTGTGCGCAGCTTAAATGTGATCGAGGTTAACCTTTTAATTCCTAGAATTCGACGTGATCATCCCGTAATTTCTCTTTACAAGAGCCATTATCCAGCCAAAAGGTTAACAGACTAAGATGTTAGAAGCTAGAGGCTGATAACACCGAATACTCTGAGCTAATTTTCAAAGATATGTATAGCGAATAGAAAGGAGAATTCCCAACCAGATCCTGGAAAATTAAGGGTTGAGTTGAACTTCCTCCAAATCTTCTTAATCAGCATTTACTTTCAGATGGGATAAAACTTAAGTACAATAATAATTATTTTCTGTCTATTCTTACCGATGAAAGAATGTTTTGAATCGGGCGGTGCTCTGATAGAAATGTTTATGAAGTTTACCATCCAGTCGAACAATCTAGGAAAGTAAATAAATAAAAAATAGGCGCGTGTGTGAGACACACACGGAAAATAACTTTTTAGGTCACATCATCAAGGTAAGCGGGGGGGGGGGGGGGGGAAGCTTAGGTTCAGTAGTTCTAAGGCGTCGTGCACAAACCTCTATTCTGTAATCAAATTCCAGACTGAAATCATACCTGGAGTAGACAAGTTTGGCTATACAATCTCTTCTCTCCACGCATTCTGATGTTGAGCAAGGCTTCATGAACTGTTCGCCAGTGGAACCCGTTGTGATTCGTCGTGAGCACAAGCATTGCTCTAGAGACTGCGCTTCGGTTCCCAGTAAATCACAAACTTCTGAAACTGAACCGGACAGTTTAAAGAGCAATGAACACAGCACAATGTGACAGAACAAAAAGTAACAATTCCTAAATGGCCAAGGGTGTTCCTACGGCAAATATTTGTATGTTGTTTTCCTTTTAACTTCAAAACTGTGGTTTGCGTTCAACAGACTCAAATGTTTCATTCATTCATCTATCCATCCATCCGTCCGTCTATCCGCTCGTCTGTCCGTTCATCCATTCCTTGCCCCAGTCCCTTTTACCTCCATAGAAGCTACTTCATTCTTTCCATCAATTTGCCCTTTGAATATGAGAGTGATCTTCCCAGTAATGAAAGTAAGCCTGAAAAATCTCATTGATTATTACACCAGTACTTCAGTTATCATGGTGAAATTGAAGAGGCGCACTTCAAGAATTCCGCGCCATAGAACGAGTTCCCTGGGACCTATTTTTTTTTTGGCTGGTACACACTAACCTTGATCATCTTGAACGTAACAAATTTCGCTCGTTGTCGCCGTATTCCCATCCGCAAAGTGAACATCACAAAGTTTGAGAATGCCACTCAGGATCTAAAACGAGGAATAAATTTTCAGTAGTACATCGAGATAAATCATATTAGAGTGGAAAAAATAGTCGATAAAATAAAACAAGAACGTAAAATGAAATGAAGTGGTTGAAGCTTGGTTATTTTTACGGATCATTCCCGCTTTTGGAGATATCCGAGAGTCTTGAAATAACAGATCTTATGTCGTAGATTTGCTCGTGTGAACCTCGGAGGCGGCGTCTAATTGTTCATGTCATGTTAATATAATACCCTATTCTACATTAACATCAGAAGGATCATGTTTAGAACAAGGTTTTCACTGGGCTTTCATTTCAATCTCTCGTCCGAATTGCCGACAGCAATCGAAATTTCTAAATACACCGTTCCTACCTTAAAAATTTCGCATTGAAGTTGATGGTCAATTCCAACATTCTCCAACGCTTGCTTTGTTGCTTCGAGAGCTGCAGAGAAAATCATATCTAATGAACTCATATCCTTTAAGATGATAACGATCTTTCTTCACAAGATTTCCGGCTCTTAAAAGCATTTTAAAGAATTGATTTTTTAAAATTCACTTCAAACACGCAACTTTATCGCGGCTCGAAACACTCGAGCTTTGTTATAGAGTCCTAGAGCAAGGTTCCAAGATTAGTTCAAAGGGTGACATTCGTAATTTGTAACTAATCTTAAGATTCAGGGTTCCCTGGAGCTCGTCACATTTGCATGCATTTGCGCAAGTAAGCCTGGGTCTATAAAAGTGACCTTCAAAATTTACAGAAATGGAAGTGATAACTCTCAGTAAGTCAATCTGTGTTTTCACTCCAGGTTTATAAAAATGACCAAAGTAAAACTTACTGGCAGTTTTTTCCAATTAAATAAAAAATAGTCATCATCATCATCGAGTATCAACTACTCTGTGCAAGGGGTGCTCAATCAAACCGGGATTCTCGGGCAGGAACTCGCGCGCGCGAAACACGGAGAGAGTTCTTTCCTGGTGTGTTACTCACGTTTGTTGCCAGCGTTAAGAGACGTCAGTGCATTATGGGAACATATTCTTACCAGCAGAAGCTGATTCGTCATTTCTCAAAGAATCTTGGAGGTGGCATTCTGCCGAAGTCATCTAATTTGCAAGAGAAAAGGCTTGAAATTAGGATTTAAGGGTTCTTATTAACATAATAAGGGAGATAGAAAACATATATATCTGGACTCTTTTCAGTTTACATCTTGACGGTTTACGTTTTCACCTGGTCAAAAATGTGAAACTTTCGTTCCCCTTTAGCCTGATGTACAACTCTCGTCTTTTCCAGAAGATAAGTGTTGATAGATGCTCCGACGATCTTCTGGTTCCTATGAAAAATCAACAATGTATTAGCACCAATTCAGAGTAGACTTAATGGAGTTACGTCTGTTTACATCCTCATTCTTTCCCTAATTACAATTACTGCTTCTTGAGATAATATTTGCGGTTTGACAATGAGCGAGAGCCAAAGTCCGTAGTACTGAGCTCCTACTTTGACTCTGAGGTCCTCATCTCTATCAACATTTACACTCTAGTAAACCGTTTCCCCTTTGTTCCTCCTGACCCTACTCAGAATACCCAACAGAAAAATGTGTTCTGTACATCTAGTTAATTGATGTGTTGTAAACCTTTACCAAGGCACGGCAAACCACAAAGATCCAAAAACAATGTATTGTGACCCCATCGGAATTCTCTGTGAAGTCTCTGTGTAAAATTCAGGATAATCGAAGAACGGACAAGAGGGAAAAAAACCTGCTCTTTAATCCGTCAGTCCGGTAAAATTATTGCTCAGATAAAAGAACAGTAGAATCAATACTTATTTTATGAAATCAATATTATCAACAAATGGACTTTTTATTTAATCTTTGAGCTAATTCTCACCTATCAAACTGAAGTTGGATGTATTTTCCAAATCGACTACTGTTTTCGTTGCGCACGGTCTTTGCATTTCCAAATGCTTCCAGTATGGGATTCGAATCTAGAATCCTTTGCTCAATTCTGTTCACTTTAGCAATCTCGTCTTTCCTGTGTGGAAAAGGTGAAAATGTTATTTACCTTAGTATTTCTTTATGCCATGGAGTAACTAAACGGAAAATTGCCGCAAGACATCGGAAAATGTCTCCAACATGAAAGAAGGCTTCTTACCTCGAATTCGTCAAATCAGTTATGAAATGCATAAGTTTTCGTGTTGTCCATGTCTGCAAAAATAATAAAGCTTGTAAATAACTGTATTCCAATTATTTTAAACATTTCCATTCCACTCCCTCTACTAACCTTTCCCGCGCCACTCTCGCCACTGACGATAACGGACTGGTTCTTGGTTTCCATATCTCTCCTGAGATCGCAATACACTTTCTGACCAATGGCGAATATATGAGGCGGGCATTCCTTCAATGAAATATACGATCAAATTAGTACATCATATAATATGCCTTAGGTTGCCTGACTAACTGTACAATTTACTTGATTGCAAAAACGTAGTTTCGACCGAGCAGAAACAAAGAGCACTATTAATAGTTAAGTAATTCCTGCCCCTCGCTTTATTTAAATTTCCCACAGGTTGCAACATAATTGTCTCGCACTGTGCTCGCATTGCGACTCATCGATGATGTTATTACGTGACTACCAAATTTTCTTGGCTTTGAAGGTTACCATATTTTCTTAACCATGGGGCTCCGCATGTGTGCTTTGAACAAGGAGCTCCACGATTCTTTTTCAAATAGTTCATGTAGCGCAGCAGATGTGACAAAGTGTTGGATCCTTAACCTTTATTTCACTTGGCCCAATTCTCTTGTATTTCTCAACCGTTGCACTGTCATAGAGATCTGCAACATTTTGGAATGGATTGACTGCAATGAGTGGAACACCTGTGGATCAGATTAAAATATCAGTCGTTACCTTATGGAAGCTTTGCAAAGTGGAAAATATAGGGCAGAGAGTCTCATGTCCCACATCAAAAACTCTCAGAGGGATGCTATACAGGTTTTATGGCCTTTTATGAAAGCTGGTTGAAAAAAATGGGGAGCTGGTACATTGAAATAAAAGTGATGCCTAGGCATCAGGTGAGCTAGTGATATTATTTCAAAGTTGAACAGGTAAAGAATGGAAATTCTTAGTGATATCAGTATGTGATGACAATTACCTGCCCAAGAGTAAAATTTGCCTGTTTGAAAACGAGCTTCTATCACCTGGAGCACTGCAATCAATGAGAAGGATTCAAAGTGTTATGACTCATAACAAGAGGAATCACTAACCTCTCTGTGATCTCATGTTGGGCTATGAGTCTGCCGCTATGAGTAAGTTAAATGGAAAACCTATCTTTAAATGGTATTTAATACTTAATCATAGTATCTCTTGCATAACATATAATACTTTCCATGTCATGTAAATCTTAAAACCCATAAAATAACAAGGTGGGGATGTGATGGTTGAAGAGTTGTAAATGATGTAAATGTTAAACAAAGGTAGAAAATTGAAGCATATTGTTAAACCAATTTACCAGTTAATGCAGTTGTGTTTGAGCCACGAAAAATCCAATTGGACTTGTGATTATCCAGGTGAGGGTGTGTACTGAAATGGTTCGGTTTCAGTGACATTGACAGGTAATTCAACAGCTTAAGTTGAAGTCATTTTCACTTGGATATCATATGACATCGCTGTTACTCTAACTTCAGCTACATTTCTTCATTTTGCATGTTTGACTTTGGTTAAAATTTACCATTTTTGTAAAATTGCTGAATCTCGGGTTGCACAACAAATGAATATACTGGTAGGACATGATAGTCTACATGATCACATAGCCTTTCCAGTATTGTTGAGAATCTGACATATGTCCATAGGTTCACATGTTTGATCCTTGTAAGAAATTGGGAGCATTAGGCTCAGACAGCCACAGTTGTTATTGTCAGTGATAGTGCTTCTGATTAAGACTTGAGTGTTTAGACTGTACTATTCAGGAATATTCTCATGCAGTAGGTGAAAAATTGACATTGAAAGTCATTTGCACAAATTACACTTGACCCTACTCCAACCTACAATGGAAATTGAAAAGTTTTAAGTTATCAGGGGGAAAATATAAAGCAGGTACTTGGGTATATTTGGGAGGGTACATGCCAATATAAGTCTCCAGATGTGGATCCCTTTTTAAAGAGAATTTTCACTCAAAATGTTACCCTGCCTTAGAAATAGGCTGATGCTTAAAGCCTTGTTCCATAATTTTAATTTAATGCTTTAAGGCCCATTTGCATTGAAGGAAATGCATCTTAAAATGATACCCAGGGAGTGTCAAAACCATGACCTCATTGAGCGGCAAATATCTGTAAAGAAATGATGGGAAGGAACACCTTGAGGGGGGAAAGAAAAAATGACTTACTGGTTTATTTATTTATTTAGATTTAATGGCTACTAGCTACTTAACAAAATCGCTTCAGATTCACAAGATGCGAAGACTTTGGGGCATTAGAGAGCATTAGGCTTCTATAGAGAATGAGATTCAAACCTGTTTTTTCATTCAAAGGACTCAGTGAGGTCAAATCGCCAATGATGCTTTGGAAAGCAAGGTTTTCTTCTTTATTTCTTTTATGGAAAGACTCTTCAAATGAACCATCCTTTTTCCTTTCTGCCGGCTTATTTGCAGTTAAATTTTCCAATACCTGAAAATAAAATAAAACTGTTTGAAAGGAAACTCTCGAAAAGTCATCAACTCACCCAGATTGTCCGGTGATTTACAGTTACATGAGACTTTTCGGTATTTTTGTCTCAGAAATCGCTCTTAAAATAAGATTTCTTCACCGCCATGACATATTTTGAGACTCTTAATTTAAGTGTAAATGTAACCAATTTTTAATGAGGAGCAAGATCACCATGGAAAAGGAAATAAAGTCAAATCAAAAGCTCTTAACTTGAATGAGATTAAATGTTTCGACTCAGTTCAAAGAGAAGTTCACTCGCATATGAAAGAGCGGCTTTCACAGTAGTCAACTCTCTGCAGCGATCCTGACAGTACCTATGACATGTATTTATGACATACTTACCTTCATATTCGCATTAACTAATCGGCGAACAGAACAGTAAACACAGCTGATCGCGAAATTTATAGAAAAATAACTTAATGTTATGGAACTCTCATTCAAATTTCGAACCGTGGATAACTAGTGAGTTTTGATTGGCCAAAAGTATTCAAGCCGGCAGTCAAACAACAGCTTGCGCAGCGGCTAACTACAAAAGTGATACGTATCATGTATCCAAGATGCTTAGCGAGTTGTAGTTATGTTCGATGATGCAGAAAACATGGCTTCCTCAATCACTCCAACTAGATGGGAAGGTTTGCGTTTTTCTTTGTAATTCTGGGATGTTTTAATCTTAATGTAGAGCTAATCTATCCTTTGAAAAAGTACGACCGTAATTTTTGCATTCTTGTGGTGATATTTTATCTTTTCTTCGCAGAATTGAGGAAGAAAGCGCGACAGCTTGAAAACGAAATAGATTTGAAACTTGTCTCCTTCAGCAAATTAGGAACAAACTACAGTCAGCGTGATGGCTATAAAGAGAGGTAACTGTTATAAAATGTATACAAACAGACTCTAGAGTCTCACAAAATGTCTTATTCACTGTTTTTTCCTTTGTAGTTCGGATACATCGCCGCTTTTAAACAGTTCATCGAGTGAACGACTTTTTGAAACTATGGGACTGGAAATTGAACAACTTTTATCCAAGGTAAGTTTTTCATTTGATTTTGAAATGAGTCAGATGTTTTTATAAATATCAGCTATTGGAGGGTATCCATATGGTCATGAATAATTATAACTTAATGTAAGCAATTACTGAATTTCTAGTTGCTGTGGTGACGTTGCAAGAATTGTCTTCGTTGCAAGGATTGTCTTCGTTAGCGATATCGCAGACAATTCAATATTGTATTTTATAGCTTTGATTTTTTTTTCTAGGTTATGTAATATTAGTTCTCAATATTCCTATTCCATTGGCCAACATCATCCTTTATCCCACAATCGAAACACTCAGAAGTCTAAGAAATTTCCATTTATGTACGAATAATTTTTTTTTATTTGAAAGAAATACAAATTATTATAAAATGTTTACTCTTTTTTTTGAATGGAAATCAACACAATAATTGTAAACTACTTACTTTTATTGTTTAACGTTATCTCGGCCTCTGGCCCTTTGACTCAAAGTAAAAGTGAGAAAATACTGTTTGCTAAATGGAAGTGTAGACAAACTCTGCAAGCATGAGAAGTAAAGACAGATTTAATGGATTGTGTGTAGCTCCTAGAAATCTTGATTTGTTTAATTGCAGTTGACAGAAGTCAATGACTCAATGGCTGAATATACTGCTGGCTTCAACTTGGGCCAACCTAATGCCACACAGCTCCACACATTACAGAGACATAGGGATATTCTACAGGGTTACTCACATGAATTTTCAAAAACAAAGGTACTGTACATTATTTGCTTTGAATTGGATTTGACCCTAGACCTTTCTGGATGAAGTCTATAAATCATTCCTGAACTTATTAAAATCCCTCATTTAAGGCAAGTTTCATTTTAGTGTTGGAAGTGATCCAATACTACTTTGGCTTTTGTGAATTCACACGGTGATAGCTTTAGAAAACTAGTGCTACTTTCTCAATCAATTAAGTGCAAAACTGAAACCATCTACAACTTGTTTGCCAGCATCTTTTTGCACTTTGGGAAGTTTGCCTATGTTAACTTAGAATTGTTATTGGTTTTTTGTTATATTTGCTTTGTCACTTTTTCTGATTGGCTCAATTGGCTTAATCACTTCAAGACATTCAAGCATTTTAATTTGTTTTTCATGTTGCAGCTGAGAAGATAAATACTTCATGTTATTTAGACTCTAAGAAAAATGTAATCTTTCTGAAAATTTCCCTACTAATATTGTTATCCTAGGCTAATATCCAGGCTTTCAGAGACAGAGAAGATTTATTGGGATCTGTCCACAGAGATATCAAGTAAGAGCTCATGTACTTATGTATCAGGCCTGTGTTACATTATCCTTCCCTGTATGTTAAAGTCCACTTTCATTTCTAAAATGCCAGAATTTGAAGAATAAGTGATCAAACATGATCATTTGGGTGATGGTAGTTCTTAACCCTTTACCTAACATCAGAATGGATGTTCTCTATACTAACCTGTAAACATTTTGTATGGCACTGACACTGAGGATTTTTTTAACAATGAAGATCTTCTATATTTTACTATCATATCTTTTATTCTCATGACTGTAATGTTTGAGTTATATGTACAAGTGATATTGCAGGGAAATAGTAGATGCTGGTCACCCTTTTACCTTTAGACCCCTTAGGGTAACTAGCATCTAATTTCTCCTTACAATATAACCCCTGAATCACACATAGGGTAAAGAGAATAAAGGAAATGATCTTCAACTAAAGAAGCTCTTGATTGTTATATATATTCTCCTTGTGAGCACCTTGAGAAATGTGTGTAAAACAGTATGGAGAATAAGCATACTGATGTCAGTGTGTAAAGGGTTAATGGTTCAAAAATGATTCCTGGATGACTTGGGTCTGAAGTCATCTTTAACATCCTGTGTTTTAACTCTTGTTTGTGGAAACACATGTCAGTTTGGTAGTGATGTGGCCTCAAAGATGCAATCAGTGTGGTCCAATGGCTTTGTATGTCTTTGGTAAAGCAAGGCTTTTTTTGTTTGTTTACTTGGAAATGTTAATGTTCTAAACTTGTCAATCATCATCTGTTGGTTGTAATTGACTTCTGTCAAGGAGAGTCTGATGTTAAATAGAAAACCAGCTTTCCAGAGTCAGCTGTTCATAAAAATACTTATTCATGAGCAGGAAACAAGCCTACCAGCCATACTAACCTTTGGGGTGTAACAACTCTCCTACTGTTTGTTAAATTGGCTTTAAATGGATTTTCCTTAACATGTTTGAGAGTCACTTCAAATAGTGGTAATGCAAATGTTTTATCTATGTTTTTTTGCATGTTGTGATAGTGCATACAAGACTGGCATGAACAGAAGAACAGACCTCTACCTAAAAGAAAATGAACATATTAGAAAGTATGTATACTGTTTTTGTGCTGAAGGTTGTTTATGTTTTGGGTGTTAACAGCATGTTTGCTCCAAGTTTAGGCAGTTAAACTTGCTTCATTATTACAAGTTAGGTTCCACACTTTTTTAAGGAAAAGTTGAGTTGGGTTACATGTTAAGGAACCTGGAGATTTCCTGTTCTCAACTTTTACCTTCAAAGAGAAAAAACTAACTCTTTCTTTGATTTATATTGTAGTTCAGATCGATTGGCAGATGACGTGATAGGGTAAGTTTTGTTTTGACTTCTGTTTGCAATTCTTCTTACAGTTCCAGTATACCCCTTATATCACCTCAAGGCAGTGAATATCAAGAATTTTTTTATTTTTATTTTTGAACTATTAAAACTTAACTGCTTTAACCTTTTAACTCCTTAGAGCAACTAGTATCAAATTTGTCCTTACAATATCACCCCAAATCAAACATGAAGGTCGCAATAATAAGGAAATGATCACCTAGTAAAGCAGCTCTTGATTGTCTAACAAATTCTCCATATCAGCACTTTAGGAAATGAAGGAGAACTGTATGGAGAATATGCATAGCAATGGTTAGGATGTAAAGGATCAATAATTATCTACTATCAAGCAATTTCCAAATGACTTTTCTGCTTTCTTTTGTTTGCTTACGTTTTGTGATACCCCACAAGGATTACAGGGTAGTGATTCGGTTTCTCCTGTGTTGCTAATGAATTAATTTTTCAATCTTACCATTTTTTTTTTCTGTGAACTGTAGTGTTGCATTGGCCACCAAAGAAAATCTTCAGAGTCAAAGAGGTGTTCTTCATGGTGTCACCAGCCGATTAAGTGCTGTCACTAGTATCCTTTTTATAATTTAGTTTACATTGGTATTTCTGATATTTTTATCAATGAATGTGATCCTAAGTTGCCTTCCTTTGAAAGATAGGCTGGCTTTTGTTTATTGTCATGGACATTATTATGAAATGTCTTGGTTTTTGTATCCTATTTTTTGGTTCAAACAAGTTGAGACCCCTAGACACATTTGTGAAAAATCTTATAATTATTATCAATATTATTATGAGTATTATCACCAAAATTATTTATTACTATTATCACTATTGTTATTAGAGGTGCTAATAAGGGATTTCTCTGGAGTGATGATTGTACTTTGCTATCCTTAACGTCTTTTTTAGCTCGTTTTCCTGCTCTTAATAGTTTAATTCAACGTATAAATGTCAGGAAAAGACGAGATTCTATTATACTGGCTAGTGTTATCTCCATATGCATCATTCTAATGCTCATTTATGCCCTTGGATGAATACTTATCAGTGCTATGGATTTGATTTGCAATGATCTGAAGCTATGTCCGAGACGAACAACAATCCTTAAATCCTAGCTGATTTTGATTAATTTATGACAACACGAATGATGAAACTTGGATTAGTGGGGTCTGTGATCATCCCAACATATTATCATCATTGTATGCCTGCGTTCCAACAAGAATTGAAAGAAAGAAAGAAATTTAAGTGGCAAGAACCAACAAAGATGAACTTCACAAAAAGGGAAATGCAATCAGGGTATTTTCAACTGAATGTCAAAAGTAATCAGGGATTGCACTGGTTTTGCTTTACTTTGCTCTGTTATTGGTCTAGAAAACTTGAGCCATTCTCTCAACCACCAGATGCACAACAAATTCCTGCTCTTAATTCAGTTTGGTTTTACTTTGAGTTCTCATTGGCTCTTAAAGGTGTTTACCTTTCCTCTGATTGGTGGTTGTGATTACTATGGTTTTGGTTTTTTAACACTAAATTTTAAAGGGCTCAATAGCGTACCACTTGAATGATTGATAAAGGACTCGCATATACTGTTTGTGACTCATTTGGTGCATATGTGAAGAAAAGGTGATAACAAACATCATTTTCTGGTTCATCATGCTGTGTGTAAGAGGGTATTTGAGTTGGGAGATAAGAAAAACTTAACAATTACTTGTAACACAGGGTTAAGGTGTGGAGGCTGTTTTAACTGACAGTATAAATTGTGGCAATCAAAACTATTGTATAATGAATGAAGGGCACTAGGTCAATAAGGTACTCAAATTGTGTACTAGTGGTGTAAAGTGACATGGCATCATAACTTATCAAATTTCCACTCATACAGTAGTTGTAAATAATTCAATAAATAACAGTGAGATATGTGTTGTATTGCACTGACTTTCTCTGGCTAGCACCTGTGAAAGTGTGTCACAGTTCTCAATGGGTTGGATAACATGGCCTGTTAACAGTGTCCATCAAAAAATTACTTTCAGTCATTTCGATAGATTTACCTAACAGTCTAAAATCAAAGTGCTGTGATGTTCATTAAAGGATATCCCTAGTACTCCATATCTACATGTAATGAAAGTTGCCAAGAATTTGGTGAGGCGAGGTTTGAGGTTTTTAGTCGTCAAAATTAACTTTACCTGCAGGTTAAGAGTGAATGAGTCGACTCAAGTTTTTATTATTTTCAAATAATAACGTACCCTGCGAGAAGGCCCTTGTTACGAGTGCTGCAGGACCCGCGTTCCTCTACCGATTTGAGTCGAGTCGGGGAGAGGTTTTCTGGGGTGTAGCTCCTCATTATCAGTTCCAGACCCCTTGCAAACCTCTCACCGGCTTGCATTGCGCAAGGCATCATACTTTCCGGCGTGAGAAGAAACGCTCCACACCTTATGTCATTAGTAACGTCTAACAACGCAGTGGTATTTATACAAGAGCGACATTCATTTTGAAAAATTACGGTAAATCATCTGTAAACCTTGTGCAAAACAGAGATACAAGTCCCAGTCTCTCACCTTGTTGATGAAAGAGAATCATATGTGCGTGGATGGAGGGTCCCCCATAGGTTTTTCGGGATCCGGTACTGGGCTTATTTAAAGGCCGGGATCCGGGAATTTAAAGTAAGAAGGGAGCGAGATTTATGATTGGGATCGGGATTGGCTGATATAAACCGTCGGGATCACGGGATTGAGATAAGAATTTAATTCGGGATCGCGGGATTAAAGAACCCTATCGGGGACTTTCCGAATGGTGATGTGTACGTGGATAAAAAAAATTGCCTAGTTGAGCAGTACTTTAAATGTCTAGAACACTTTTCCCGTATGAATATGGCGGGGGTATTAAACAATAACTTTGTTGGGGGAATTCAGGAATAGTCCGTCCACTTTGGCTCCTACCTGAAACCCAACTTCAAACTGTGGTTCCTAGAAGCTGTTCGCATGTGGGCAACGGCCTCGACTGGCCGGCTACTCTAGATGAGAGTAGCTGGCAGATTTGATACCCATTAGTGACTAGGGGCTTTCCACCCTTTGCCTCTAACGTAAGATAGACGCTTCAAGAGAGAGTGTTGGTTTCATTATCGTGCCATGATTGTTACTTTGGTCAAGCTGAAGAAAAAAAGATGCACAAGGATTTAAGGCAAAGTATATCTTTATTTCCATACAAGCAATTCGGTTTTGTCAATGTTCAATCTATTAAATAAGCTCGATCAGGAAAAAAAAACTCCGAAAATAGATTTATAGTCCAAGAGTACTCTCTGTATATTTACAAATAAGCGTTTCGCAAATAAATTTTCTTTTTTTCTGTTTCAGGCACAGCCAACCTAGTCCTCATTTCACCGTTGGTATCATTCGTCTAGTGCGTCAAACTATGTCTTCTTGTGACACATCTAACATGTCAGCTGGGGATAAAAGTAGATATGAAAAAAGCGTGTTAAATGTGGAACAGACATTTTAGGAATTAATGATCAAACAGCTAACATCTACACGACAGGACTTTGTTCGAATATGGGTAATCCATTCCCCGCTACAAGGTACTTCCAAGTTATGGCCTCTTGTTTTTTTTCAGGGTCCTTTTCTGCAGGTTTTATGCAAGATTTAGAGTGCACGTTCCAAATTGGTAAGTATATTACCTGATTGTTTCTGACTCACCCGACGTACCAAGCTGAGAGAGAAGGACTGTATGACCGTAACTTATCACTTTGATTGTTTGACCCAAATCCATAAAAAACTTAAAAGCATGAAAGCGAAAACAACGAAATGGATTTTCCAGTGATGAAGGGCTAAGCCCAACCTGTAAGGAACTTTGATTTTAAACGTTAACTCTTTCTTTTTTTCACGTTAACTGAACGCTAATCGACTGAATGGTGTTTGAAACATCATTTGTCTGGGATGAAAATAATAACTTTGTGGAACTGAGTTATAAACGCTAGCGTCTTCAGTAAGATAATCGCAAAATAAACCAAAACTTACCTGTAATTGGGGCCACTACCACGACTTGATGTGTATAAGTTTTTCTCTCTTCATATGGTGACATGTAACCTTGCGAGCTCGAACTTCTTAGAGACAGTGACGAAGAGTGATTTTCACAGTTCATTTTCAGTTCTTGTAAAGGAATATTATCACTATTTAAATGTTCTTGCGAAGAAGATAAGCTCACTACAGTTGATGACGGAATATTACTTTCCTCGTTATTGGTGGAGTAAGAGAGATTTTGCGTTGAGCTGTGTGTTTCAGTTTCTGGAATGTATTGCGCAATACTTGTCATAGAAGAACGTATGCTATCCGAGCTAGAAAGACATCTCCCGCAACGTCTTGCAAACCAATGACGTGCTCTTCTTGGTTTATTTGATGTCCCTTCCCTCTCTGGCGAGAAGAAGCATCAGTATCAGTGCTTTATTTCATATTTTTAAAACATATTGTAGGAAGGGGGCAGACAAAACAAACCACAGAACCATTTCATCGTCATTTGGGAAATTGCTCCTATTTGAGTAGATACGGGACTTTAATTTCTTGAGCAGTTATCAAGGACTTCGGGGCAACAGTTTGGCCCTGGCCAAAACTTCCGCCATATTTTGAAACTAGTTACCTTCAGTAAAACAATGGTGCGCATTGGATTAGAATTATCCAATGAGGAAATAGCTTTCTTTACCATAAAATTCAAAGATGGCGGTCAACACGGCACACTTTCTTTCCAGAAATGTAGGTAAGGATAAAACCCTTAATTAGTTTTTACCTTCCAGTTACGGTGACAAAGTTAATACAAATAAGTTCCTCCTTACCTACTATATTAAGCATGCACAAGGGGCATGTATAATTCGATAATAACCATGGATCAACGCAATCTTTGTGAAACTCATGTCGGCAAGGAACGATTCTAACGTCCTGGAAAAGATATGGGAGAAAGTTAGAATGGGAATAACTTTTATTTTATAAATTTCTAGGTAATAAATGGACAGTTGTAGTGATTATGGAACCAAAGGGAATTCACGATGTTATTAAATGTCTTTTTTTTAGTAAAATTTTCGGCAAGACTTCCGTACAACCTCGTGCTTAATTATGCCTACAGTTCTCGGATCAAAGAAACAATGGTGAAAGCTTTCCCATGCCTTTGGCGGTTTCTCTTACCTACCATAATTCATCTTTTAACTTAACTGTTTTTGAAATTGAGATTAAAATCATCTTGTCATTAAATGTGCCATGGTGGAATTGGTAGACAGGTTTTCCCTTACAAGTTGCAAATGTGGTTGCAACTTTGTGGTTCCATCTCATTGAGGGTTATTTTCTTTCTTGGGGATTGCCTATGTGTGCTACAGACTCAGACAATACCAGGAACAGACTTGATTTACTGTGATCAACCCAGTTGGTAAAAGAAAGGAAGCAATTACCTGGCCTTCTTTAAATTTTTCTAAACATATGACACACTTGGAGTTACGTCCTTCAGAGTGTACTGATAGTGTGCTCTCAGTGTCACTTGTGTTGCCATTTTCTTCTCTTGTGCTCAACGAATCTGAAGAACCACTATGATATTTTCTAGTTTCCATTCTTGATAAAGCATGCAGTGCCATTCTTGTTAGAGAGGACTGTGTTTCAGACAGAAAAAAAAACAAATACTTGATGAGAGGAGAGATCTGGATTATTTAATAAGTATGGCTGAACAAGGCAGAAGTAGTACTCAGTGCTCCTATTTAGCCAATCAAATGTAATAATAACGTGTTACTGACATGATAAAAGATACATTCACTCTCTGACAGTAAAATAAAATGGAAGGGACTTTAGAATCTATGGTGCCTACCTCTTTTTGTTTTTGTCTCCATTTGATCTAAAAAATAAAGAAGAAAATTTCAAAGAAGTGATTTGGTACAAGAATTACATGACAGCATCAGTTAGGGATAATTTACATTCAGAAATATTACAATCCACATAAAATTTGGACTTCTCTTCAAAAATAATTTTTTTTTGGAAGTAACAATTACAGAATATTGACAGAGAGGGGGAATTTTACAGGGAAGTATTCAGTAAGAGCATAGTATATTGATACATAGAGTACAGACTACAAAACCATGACTAGCTTGTTGCTAACAAACTAGCATTCTGCTTTGTTGGCATGGTATATGCTCAACTGATAACTCTCTGCAAGGAGGAATATGTTTTTGGCAAAGGAACATAGTCAACTTTACATTTTGTTCTTTTGCTAAGGAGTAAAAAAAAAAGGATCAGAATTTTTGATGACTAAATTGTCAATTCAGTGATTGAAACAAAAATGTGAAATCTCAATTGGCATCTCAGGGGGGGGGGGATTTAAACCCTAGAGTAGCTCAGCTATTGCAGTGAGATGGTTGCTGTCGAAAGGTGATTATCCTTCTAGAAGTTCAGTGGTATTTGTTATTTATTTTCACAACAGATAGTAAAAATCTAGTCTTACCTTTAACAGTAAGATGAAGCATACAATGGAAACCAAAATGAAAAATGTCATAAAAATAACCATGTCAAAGTATTCATTTGATGCTCTCTGAAAAGCAATAGTAAAAGATATCAACTTATGAACAATAAGTTACTGAGTGGTACATTTTGTGATTTTCAGAAATGAGAGCCCATTAACAATTGTAACTATAAAATTTGTGCAATTTCCTGTACACTTATCTGAGATTTATTTCAAATGAAAGTGAGTTCAATTGTGAATTTAATTATTAACAACTCCTACCTGAGGTGTGTATCCAGCAGCGCTGTATTGAATTCTTGCTCTGGGTACTCGTTGACTGTTATGAAAAAAATAAAACAAACATTTCAGGTAAACAACTATAAACTTAAGAGAACTCATTCATATTAAGTTCAATATGAAGAAAGGGGTTCTTACTTTTTCACTATATTCATTAACTTCTTGGCATCTTTTCCATCAATGAGCACCACAGGTCGATCAACCTTGTCCTCTGCAGCATTCAACTAATTCGAAGAATCAAATAACATGGTTAATAATTAAAACTATATTTTAAACTGATTCTAATAAACTAAAGGGTTAAGAAGATATCCCAGGCAAATTATCTAATCCCTAAAGATGGTTAAAAACCTATGGTTCATAATTAGCCTTCAACACACAAAAAACAAACATCTATATTCTCCAAAATGTTCTCTATACATTTTCTGAGGTGCTGACAAGGAGAATTTGTTTCACAATCAAGAACTACTTTAGTTGGTGATCATTTCCTCTAATCTCATAATGTTAATGTTTGATTTGTGACTAATATTGTATGGAGAAACTAGATGCTGGTCACTCTTGGGGGTTAAAATGTTAAGTGTGTCGTAAGATGTATTCTAGTCACTTTGGATGTAGATTATGGGAAGTCTCCACTATTAAGACTAGCTTTACCTACATGAAGTGGCTTCACCGTGAAAAAAGGGACGATTATTTATTTTGGCCATATTGTTTTGCTGAGAATAAAAACAACATCCAGATTCTTCTATTTCTAAATCAACATTTTTAAAAACATGATTATAACACTTATGTTTCCTACTGATATGAATCTCTAAGAGCTGATTGTTTTTATGTTGAAGGAGGGACTATGCCAAGTTTTTTAAAAACAGGATGAATAAAATGCAGATATTGAAAAATATCAATGTTATAAAATGATTAAAGATAATAATGTCCTAAAATGCAACTATAACATGTTAGGACAAAGTAACAAAGTCTGGTCAACGCATATGGAACACAGATTAATGAAGTTGGATGAGTACTATCTACTAGATAAGATGAACTTTCTGAGGTGTCTTTTTACAAATGAAGGCAATCATTTTTTCAACTCACTGGATGTAATCATAAAATGTATGATTTGTGTGACTTTTTTTAGACTGATTCACATGACAGACCAAAAAGCAATTATGACAACTAATTTACTTGCTAGAAAACAAATCTGTCTGGAAACTGGAGCCAATCCCATCTTTAATTACTCGGCAAGGCTGGGTGTATCACAAGGTTAACAACTTGAACAGCTGTTGATGTGTTTTTTTGTCCAAGGAGTTTGCCCTCTTTGCTGTCTAAGCAAGATGTTTGTTTGATATTTTTTGCTTTAGATAGGAGACTATTGATCCTGAGGTCTTTATTGTTAAGGGGAAAATGGTTTATAGATTATTGTAGAGGAAGGATATCATCTGTGTCCATACCTCTTTGGCTGCCTCTGGATGGTCTGTAATGTCAAAAATTATGGCTGTTGCTCCTCGTTGTAAAGCTCTCTTGACCTAAAAAGCAAATAATTCAGACACTTAAGTAAGCAATTAAAAAATAAATTGTGTGCACTTTGGTATGGTAGTCTCTACATTTTATTTCAAATCATTAAATGTACTTTGTTCCCATGAAAAACCCCACAGGCAGCTTATCAAATTAACGCTTCCTTCATTTTTGTTACTTAAGGTATATTTGTGCAACGTTCTGGACCTGACTTGTAATTGTTTACCTAGTACAGCCCAAATATAAACCTTCTTTTTCAAAGTCTTACAACAGGAAAACAACTTAAGTGTGTAATATTAGTGGGAGGAGCAAGGAATGTTTTCAACTAGACACATTTACACTTCATATTGTTTTGGGTACACATATGGTTTACATAATCCTGTAATTTGTCCATGATGTTTTTGCCATTAACTAGGATAATAGTCTTCCTGCAGGAAATGTGATACTGGAGAAGAACTATCATGCTCACACCCACATTTTCAGCGCAAGAGTAGAAAAAACTTGGATTTGCAAACATTTTTCAGACACACCCTTAATTACATTTTTATCTTCCAGTTGTAAGGACTAATTTGGAATTGATTGCACTCTTTGTGCAGCTTAGGAAAACATGGCTGTTTATCCAAAGAGTGATTAGGGTAAATAAATGACTCAGCTAGTGCAATTAAAAATAAGTTATTCATGAGAATTTGAAGGTGTTTCCATACAACGTTACCACATGGGATTGGAATGCAAGGTGTTCCAGTCTATCCATTTCAAAGAAGAACTGTAACAATGTGGTCTTAAACAATGTCAGGCTCTTACAAGATTTAATGGTAGTTTGATGGGTTTTGTCTCAGAAATCTGGGGAGGGGGGAGACTTCTTTTTTGGAAACAAAGTTAAAGAGGTTGCCTCAGGAAAAAAGTTAACTGCCTATTCCATCCAAGTTCAGATAAATTTGAGGCATGGTTGGGAATCAAAAGACCTTGTCAAAACTTGTGATGGATTGATTGAGGGTATGGCAAAAGAGAATTACCTTTTCAAGTAGAGTAAAGCAAGGTTTATTAAGATCATCTGGCGGCATGAGTTTGACCACACCAACCCAACCATATTCATATAAATCGCCATCATCTGATGTATTGCACAACCCAAGTGGGTGAATCTGTTGGATAAGAATAATGGAACAAAAATGTTTTAAATTTCATTGCTTGCCATATGTAATGTTAAAATTATGTTGGAAAACAAGTTTGTTACTTGTGATGGAAATGTCACATTCAAATTTTATTCACTTCATGCATCAGTGAGATTTTCTTGCGTTAAAAGTTTGATCTGTACCTGTGAAGGCCCACACCATTTTCAACAAAGTGTAAAAGCACAGAAATTGTCTTCTTTATTCACTCTTTAAATCATCAATATGTATAAGGTTAATGGATTTCCTGATCTGTGCTAAAAAAAATTAATAGTTTCCTCCAAAATTTTGATGCTTAACATGAATCCCAATGTCTTAAAAAACACAAAATGAACAGTTTTTTAAGAAATCATTCCAAAAAGAACTCATCAAAAAGTAAGATGTTTCTATTCATTTCATGTCAAAAAGCACTGAATGAAATATGTAATTCAATGATACCCCTTTATTGCAAATAAATATTGCCTCACAACACAGATTGTCTCGTTGAGGAAACTCTCTGAATTAAATTTTCTCCCTCTGAATTGAAAAATAACAGAAAACTTCCTGGAATATTGCAAAGATTGGTACCAAAATTATTAAATATCTCTCTTTTTTGCTTTTTTCAATTAAACTTGTTTTTATAATGTTGATTTTCCCCAAAATTCTCAACGGGACACAGTACTTGCAAATAATCATTTTCTAGTTTGCTCTAAGTCTCAGTTTTTATTTCTGTCTTGAAACTGAATAAATGTTTACGGTGCTAGAAACAAAAGGTTTTCGCAAGCTCTCGTTAAATGAAAAACCCCTGTTATTAAAAGAACGAAATTCCAATTAACTGAGGCTTGTTTTACCGCAAAACTAATTTGGTGTCTCAAAAGGCAAAGAATTGAAAAACCGTGTTAAAGTTTTAATCAAGGCCGAAACTTCATCAAAAAGGGGTTGATCGGAAACTTTCATTTTCAATTTAGGCGTAAACATCCTTACTACCTCACACACAAGTACCGCAAAATTGTAAAGGTCCACAGTTATCAATGGGCGAACCGAATTTAGAAGAGGTTTTCAAATTAATTTTTTTTTTCGATAGGTATGATGCCGCAGAGACCTTCGCATTTTTAATTATCTGTTCAAAAGTTTTTAACCTAGAAACAATGGAGCAGAGGACAAGCTGAGAGCGAAACTCGTAGACAACAATAATTTTGAGGGAAGAAAAAACGAGAATCATATGAATGACAATCGCAATAAATCAAGGTCCTCGGTTACACAAACATATAAGAAACAATGTTTACACAACACGCCATAAGAACTTAATAAAGATTTTAACGGAGAGAACAAAAAAAAACAAGCCGCTCTCTCAAAACGGCTCAAATTACAAAACACCAAAGGACGAGCCTAATCAAAATTTGCGTTCTCGACGTGGATTTTATTTCAATCAGTGGAAACTATAAAACCGCAGGTTTAATTACAAACTCAGTGGGGCGAATCAGCCGCTTCGCACTTTCGTTCAATTCTAAGGTCAATTTTAATTTGGTCAGGAGGGGCCACAAATGTTCCGAAGTTAAAGCCAGACAATTGCTCGTCCGCTGGGAGTAATTGAACTGCAAAAGTGGCTATTACGAATTACGGCATTTTTTTTAAGTTTCCCAAAGAAACGTGGTGACCGGTGTTACATTTTCGCCCTGCCGGCAGATCGCAAGTGGTTATTTCACGGGTACTTGAACAAAATCCTTTCTTGAAAGATTGTTTTCAAAATAAAGCCCCTACGAGTAATTATATCGATATCCCTGCAATTATTTGAAGAGGTCTTTCTCTAAATGTATACCAAGCATTTCAATCTTTCTAAGAATTTTAGCAAGGCTCTCAGTCCAGCTGTGATACTCGGCGATGAAAAATCTTAAATTTCCTTCCCTGGAAGCGAAGAAAAACAACTTTTTAATAACTACTCTTCAGACAAAAGGCCTTGCATGATACGCGTTGTTGTTCGCGGTGCTGATAAGCAGTGTTATTGTTTTCGATGCTATCATGACATCACTCGAAGTGATTGCGTTAATCTTCTTAGAGGACAACGTCGCGATACCGAAATCGTGATTGCTGACGAGTCTTTCCAAAGTGCTCTGGAAAAGCCATTAGTGTAATTAGCCTGGGTAATCAGTCCCGCTTCCCCACAAAGTTTGGTCTGGAGATAAAGCTTAAGAAAAAAGATGTTCCTGGCTTGCCGAAGTAATGGACATTTGTACGCGGAAATGATTTGTGGCGACGCGATTATCGCAGCCACAGAAAGAGCGGTTCCGAAGCGGACATAGTACAGGGGCGATTTAGCGTTGTTTTAAATAGAGCGGAACGCGACAGTGCCGCTATAATTTGTTGGTCACATTACTTCACAAAGCCACGTGTTTTATCGCTTAAAACATTCTATGACTTGACTGAAGGCGAAACCGAAAAAACAAAGCCGTAAAGATGTAAAGAAATTTCTCCTCAAAATGACATCTCTTTGGAGCTGAAATGAAAAAGAGAAAGAGGAAAAAAGAACCGACTCGTTTTTCATTAAAAAGAGATGACCAAAAGAGTTATACTTAATAAGTTTTGTTCGATAAACAATAATAATGAATTCACAATAACAAAAGGTTATTATGAAAATGTGATTTCCCTGGACTCTTGCAGATCTAAATTTTGGCCCGCAGTACATCGTTCGAATGACAGTCACACGGAAAGATACTTTCGTACTAACGCTTAATTGACGTCAGTTTTATTAAAGCGATAAGCCACAAACTCGTGTGCGTCTGAGAAGCGAAATACATCATTTACCGCATCGAGTTCGATTCTCTTTTAGCGAGTGTTCGACTCGATGCTCAACCAATTCTAGAATGCAGTTTAAGGACCTCAGAAATGGAAAATAAAAAGGTCATCAAACTCTGACGGGCTTCCTATAGAAACACCGCCTCAACAATAGCGATATAAACGCTAAATGATTGTATTGTCCAAGATTTAATTCAAGGTCTTCTTGCTCCTTTAATTATCTTGAGCTAGCGGCAATAACAGCTTTGTGTAAGGCCTGAATTGTAATTGTAAGCATTGTGCTTGCAGGCCCTCGGTGAATAAACACAGAGCGGACCTAACTTATTATATTCTTGGTGTGACGGAGGGAAGTCGCAGTTACTCGACGCCGCTTTCGTTTGCTTTAATGACGTGAAGGCCACATTTTCTGTCACGTTTTTGCTCTTTGTGGTTTAGCGTAAAGCCCCCCTTTTGTTCCACGAGCATATAACAAAATCTAATCATCACTTGGTGAAGATGCGGAATGCGCCTTACAGTAAAACTCCACAAAGCGCTAAGAGAGAAATTTCTACAGCTATAGTTTGGGTGAACGATCGTGTCCGTAGATTCCTTCAATTTTATGTTTCAGGGAAATGCAATAGCGGCAGCGTTTCTAAGCATCCGATAATTCCAAAGATTGATTTCCTCTATAAACATTAGTAAAAGACCAGTAATCCCTGGAGTTGTCTGTTGTGTAAGCAAGGAGACTTTATCTCAATCGAGCACACGATTCTTTGGATATCCCAGATCGTATCTGTCAACTCGGAATAGTCATAAACTCGAACTGAACACGATAATAAATGTGCTCTAGACCGAGGCCGACTTTAAACACACGCGGGTCAAGTGCTTCGATAGGCTTTGGTCGTAATATCACAAAGCTATAAGTACAGACGGTATATCGATTTGAGATTAAAACGGACTCGTGTGAATGAAAAGAATCTCGCTGCCGTTATTAGCTAACCCACTTATTGTTGAAGGAATTAGATGATGAGGTGCTTGTGCGACCGCGAGTGTTTTGGAAACGGCAAAGGAAGTCAATCAAGGTGAAAATTACTGCCATTCCTTAGTGTTGTCTCTAGAATCAAACGCGCTCTTGAGCTCGAAAGGCTCCGTATTTCCGGCATGCAAATAAACGCTGTTTCTGACAAATCTTACCGAGAGTACACACACCAGTGACCTATCGACCCCTTCCTTTAGAAACACTGGCGTGTTTAAGAGGAATACTTAAAGCTGTTCAATCTCAGCAAACGATACACTACAGCCTGAATAAATCCCCGAGCGTATATACGCCAACCCAAAACATTCCGCCGCTTGTATGACGGAAACCAACACAATCCGATTTGAAAACTACAAGGTAATTGATTGCAGGCCGTAGCGAAGGACAGTCACGTCCACAACGCAAGACTCCTGCGCGTAGATTCTCGTGTTTTTTATTAAATAAAAACAATAGATTACAGAGCCTTTAACTCGTGAGATACTAAAGAAGATATTCGCAAAGGCGCTAATAGAACTGAGAGCCTAAAAGAGCCTGATCGCGGTAGAAATTCGTTCGAATTTGATCGGTGTTTCGCGAAGATCTGTGCGGAGTAATTCAGTAGTAAAACGCAAGAGAAACACTCACCTGAAGTATATCGCCTTCAGCGCTTGTAGCAGCTCCAGCGTGTGAAAACGTGCCCTCGAGTTCATATGTGTGTGTCGTGTAATCTCCTCCGGACGAGTGTTCGTAGATCACAACTTCCACAAGAGCTTTCTCAAGTGCGAGTGTGACAGTCGGCCACGCGTGAAAGAACACCATCAGCCACCAAGCGATCGGCGTAGAAATTTTCATCGCTAGTCCAGGCTAAAATCCTAAAAACTCCAGTTAAATTCAAGCGAAATCAGCGCGGATGTCCCTTGAACATTGTCGCGAACGACACGGCTGCTTAGCAAGTTATTAAACTGTTTCCCGACCGCAGGACCTCTAAAGGAGGTGATTCCTTTGGGGGTAGCTGTTGTTTATGAGCACAGTTGAATATTACTCGTGTGCTTTTTGTTATTGTTCTTTACGCGCCGGTCCGAACTGACCGCCACAGAGACCGCCCCTGTCTATCAATCATTTAATCTGTCAAAAAATAATTAAAAAATCATTAATGGTCTGGCCTGGTGGATTAACTTAACTTTTCCCAGAAAACAAAGTGTCTCTGACGCCCTCATTCGGCTGGCTAAGCTAAATTGGCTGAGCAAATGTGTCCATTAGTTGCAGCTCAGCTCTACGTCGATCTACTGGCTCACTTAACCAGTTGAAAGCGAGCCGCTGTTGAACAAAGGGGCCGAGCGCGAAATATTAAAACCTGCCGAGGCGGAGCTAGGAAAGCTCTCATTTATCAGCCCTCTTTGTGCGTTTTTTATTGCAATGCTAATTAAATAATCCGAAAAAAAACGACGAGTTCGTTCTTGAAAACGCACCGACCGGCTTAGAATCTCTTCGTTCAGCCGTGTCATTGTGCAGTTCAATTCTGCGGTATTTCGCTTTTGTTTTGGGTCGTTCATTAGGCCAAGAAAGTTATTAAAATATCAATATTTCTTTTAAGCGGATTTTGTGCGTTTTGCAAAATTTCGATTCTAATAAACTCCAATGGAAAATTATGTTTTCATTTTTTTTTGTATTTTTTAAAAACACAGTTACATGAATGCTACCAAAAGAAAGCGTTTATTTTTTTTAACCCGTTTTACAAATTGACACAGCATTTCTTTCGTCCAGCCTCTCATGTAGTTTATATGGGCAAGCAGTGACTCATATATATATATATATATATATAAATATATATGTATATATCAGTATGCACATACATTTATAAATGTATTTTTTTCCCTTGACAATTTATCCATAGAGACTTTTTAATATTTTATGCTTCAATGTCCCTTTCGTCGCACCGCTCCAATAATGCTTTGGAAATATAATTGAACTGAGCCGCATGCTGTTGAATAGCCTCTGCTAATTGAAACTTTGTTTCACCGCAATAGGTCTAATAACGCGAGGCAACTAAGGTTATTGCCGACGAAATTAGCTGGCCCCGGACAGAGCTGATCTGAAATTTTAAGACTTTGGTATCCCAGAGTGTTCTTGTGAGGATTTAATTTTGCACATGACTATGTTGCGTGTGTAAAGGAGAAAAGAGAAATCCTGAAGAAAAGAAAAAGAGAAATAGACTTGGTGAAATGAAATGCTACTGCAAATCGTGGAAGAAATGACGTCGGCGATGGGCAATTCTCTAAATTTTAATACGACCAATTTGTTGCCTCGCGACTCCAACCAGGAGCTCTTAATCGCCCCATTTGCAGCGCAACATGAGGCAAATTAACCATATGAGATGGCTTTTACGAGCCAGGATTCTGAGTGTCTCCCCCGTCCTTGTGCGAAATGTTTTCAGATTGAGCAAACTTTCTCATCCCACGCTCCTCGAGCTTAAAAGGGATTGCGATGTTCATCTTTTGATTAAATACTGTAATTGGGCTCACTTGACTCAGGAAATTGTGTCCTAAGCAGAGGGCGGTTTGTGAAAATTGTGTTCAGAAAAAAACAAAATTGGGGACAACGGAGAGTGTGAAATAGCTCAAATAAACAATTTGTTTTTGAAAAAGTCCATTTAAACTAAGAAACTGAAAGTGTGCTCATATGGTGTGTTGGACTATGACGGATACAAATGTGATCATTTGGCTGCATGAAAAAGTCGCAAATACTATTTTTTTTTTCATTAAAAGGGTTTCAAGTGTACCGTGTTAATGAGTGACTCACAGCACTTGCGCCAGCCAGTCTTGACGTGCAATTTAATTTCCCAGCGCTCCGCCAAAGAATTGGAAAGTGGAAGTAAATCGAGAGTGATGCATTAAGCTGTACGAAAAAGCGAAGTCATAAATTTTAAAATTTATTAATTATTGTGCGGAAAAAGCGCCGCGGTGTCTCGCCTTCTCCGAGCTTTGCATTTTATCTAATAACGTTCTGTCCATTCGTGTTAGATCTTCGAAATTGAGCGATTTTGTTTAACAAATTAGTTTGGCAGCTTGAGTGAGCAAATGGCAAAGAGGTTTTTTCTTAATCTAAATAACTCGTTGAAGAAAGCTGGTAGTGGCTTATGGAGCCGAAGAAAACTACTGCTTTCTTATGATAGGCTTTATTGGGATTTTAACGCCACAAAAACCGGCTTAAAGCTGCTTGTTCTTTTGGTGATGTTTTTTTCCTTCGCCGACGCAGTGAAATGAAATGGAAAGCAACAGAAACCTTAGTGTGCGCGAAATTAATCATTATCAAATAGTGTGTTATCGAATCGATGCACTTCACAAAGGGTACCGATATTTACTCGTTTTTGCCTTTCTTCCGATGGATTAAAATAGCAAAAAAATTAATGAAATGTTAGGAAAAATTTCAGACTTCAATGATGCTTAATTGCGAGGTTTTTCTGGCACTCGGCTAGAAGTTAGTTTTCCGAAAATTTTAGGGTTGAAATATTGTCGGCATGCTTATAGAATCCTTACTAAGATTAGTCACTAATTTTACCATAAATTTTTTGATGTGGCGTTCGTTTCCCAAGTGCTTCCTTTCGGCAGAACTCTCTTGGTCCAGGGCCGCTTGATTGTCTTCCTTCGCTAAATAAACAGTGCAAAGTTTCTCAAGAAATTGTCTGTTTTGAATGCATTTTGCGGTTTCAAGCTACATGATGTCAACTTTTCGCCAGGCTGCGCGCACGAAACTTATGTTAAACTGAAATATCTTTTGTTCGGTGTTCTTGCTTGTTATTTTTTTAAATGGGTGGTAAAAACTATTCAGTGGAGCCTATGAAATTTTAATGACCTCAGTTATCTTATGAATGGCGTTTTACTTTTGTAAAAGAGAAGCAATTTTCTCCAACCCGAAGCGGGCTGTTTTAATAAGCACTCGCTTTGTGCTGTGTTTCATTTATCTTGCCGGTTCCCCTTAGCCAGACTGATGCTTTTCTACTCTCGCACGATGTTCTTTAGAATTCTTTGAGACATTTTCACACTTTAAATACCCCTAAGCTTTCTGAGGATACTCGACGATACAACAGCGCTTAACGACTCTTTGAGATGTTTTTTCATCTAAGCCATATCTAAGTGATCGCTGTGTTGTTGCTTTAGTAAAAATGATGAAAACAGAAAGCCCATCACTTAGGAAAAGAAAACAAAGACGTAAGGTTTTTCTTGTGACTAAGCGAACTCATAATTTTCGCACAAATTGGTAACATTTTGTTGACGTAAACCTTTAGATGTATTATGTTATAACTCACGCTTTTTGTCCTTCTCTCGCTATTTGAATCTCAGATCTCAGATATTTCTTTTACATACTTTTTGATATTTGTTTACCGTCAGCACTTAGCGTAAATTTTCCACTGATCACGGTTTCTTTTGAAACACTATCCTCAAATGCAACGAATCCGTTTTTCGCAGCGCCTATTTCCTAAGTCAATGTTTTGATACGGGTGTAAGGAAATTAGAAGTTGGCCTTTATTGGGCATCGTACGAACAAAACAACCCCAATTTTGTTCACCACCAGTACTTAGACATGTACGACCAGTGTCACCTCATTTAACGATTGGTTGTATTTAACTCGGTTCAAAGCGCACGTAATATAGTTCAATTTAGCCATTTTATTTTACTAATTTCTAAACTGCTATCACTTTATTTTTCACGCTTTTACTAGTTTTAAAACTGTGAACGAGAGCGGCAAAAACTTGTCCGATCATACATTACAAGCTATTAAGTTTAGCTAGGGACTCGACCATTCATCTCTGAGTCAAGACTTAAATATTGAAACTTGATCTAAAATTCAGGCGTTACACCTGGTCTTTTCCACCTCGCCCCGTGGCACCAGCTTAAAAGACGTTTGACGCAATCCATCAATCCTTGATGGCTAATTGAAGGATTAATAAAAGGAAAACGTCAATGTGTTGCTTTTACGCCGCACAGTAATCTGAACTCAGAGGGAAACATGCCCGTTGTCCATAGTTCTTTGGTTATCTAGATATTTCGCTTTAAGAATTTCAGTTTCATATTGAATGTTAAGAGAAGCTGAACTTATTCCTTGCCGAAAACGGCACGAACGTGACTCTGCATTCTGAGGTTAATTTCGGAGGGCGTAGCTGAACAATATAGCACAACCGCAACCACAACATAAACTTCCGCAATGTGGTGCGGAAAGGAAGCACTTGAACACGTATCAGAAGTTTCGTGACCCGGTGTACATTATTAGGGCTCTGTATGAAAGAAAAAATATTTTACCTAATACCTTATTGCGGTTAAAAATGTCTGAGTGTCTCACGTTATCTTCGCGGAAACGAGGATCGGAAGCCGGAGAAAGTTGCATCGCGGAATCGGAAAACTGACAGAAGTCTAGGAAACTACTGTCTCGGAAAAGGAATGCTGCTTACCACGATACCGTTAAGTAAGAAAGAGAAGAAACACTTTTGTTGAAAAAGAAAATATATACATTACTAAAACTACTTCTAATACTTATAATCCTTTTTCTTTGATTGTCAGAACAGGAGAGCAACTTTAATTTTGTGCAAAAAAAATGTTTCGTTTTGTCACACGGGTCTCGTGTGAATTCCCAATTACATTTCCAACAATCAATGAGTATTCGCCGATTAGCGGCGCAACGACTAATGTTTTACAAACTTTAGACCATTTAATATATAGTCTATTCAAACGTCAGCTGTAGTTGCGTATGAAATGTCATATCGACAATAACTATTTTTCCTTGATTACTTTCTGCGAGGCATGGATCCTTAGCATTAAGTGAGATGGTGAAAGTTATGACAGAGAAGAGAGAGCTAGCCTTATTTGGCGAATATGTCACAAAAGGAGACTGTGTAACTCAAAAAAAGGCCTCCCTTCTTTTGGTTACCTTGTGCGTCAGGTGTTAATCTCTCCTTTACTGCCTGGTTCCCAGATGTCTCTTTGTTCTCCGCCTTGAGCTCGTCTCTAGTCCCTCGCGTGTCCTGCCCGATTATCGGGTCGCTCATCAGAGTTTTTGCGAAGCTACTTAGAAGAAGATGTACGTTTTGTATTTGTGTTTGGCGTCAATTCCTAATGAGGGCCGCACATAGTCCAAACGAGACATTTTGAAAGCAGCCGTGAGTAATTAACAGTGTTGTCACCCGTTTTTCTGTTACATAATGAAGATATTCAGCCGATATTTTGTGAAAAGATTTTCACTAATTTATAGTTTAAATGTTAAAAATTTACGGTTTACAGCTCAGTAGGTGAAAATGTGCCAACAGAACACCTTTTTTCCTAGATAGGATTTAAGAACTATAGACTGAGACAATTGCTGTAAAATTCCACAATCATCAATCGTTTGTAAATTAGCATAGAAATATCATATTGCGCCGTGTTTCGGAGCCAAGGACATCTATTCAGTCTATTTAGTTCAGTCTTCGCCGGTGACCAAGGGAAACTAAGCCTACCTCTTGTTCCTCTAGACTTCTCTGATACGTTTGACAGCATCCTACTTGGATGTCTGCTCTATAAGCTTGATAGATCTGGTATCGTTGGCTCTCTTCTTAGTGAAATGGAACTTCTTAACTGACCGGTTTGCAACGAGTCGTTTTGCGGGGCTATTATTCGTCATGGTTACGGGTGAATTCACAGAATGATCTTAAACGTGGCAGTTAAAGTTGAGTTCGGAACAATGTGAAACTCCGCGAATAACCGATGAGCGAGATAAGTCAGTGGAGAGCAGAACGGTTGCTACAAATGGTGAAGCACTGAAGAACTTAAAACGAAACGAACTGAATCAATCCACAATGACAAGTTGCGATTGAGAATGTTTCTCTGTAACTGCTGCTAACATTCTTCTTCTGTAAAAATTGCCCGCGATTTACTAACCTGACAGCGGGCAATCCGTCAGGCCCGCAACACCAAACATGGTCCTAAATCGCTTCAAGAGATTTCACAATGTATTCTAATTTTACGATATTTTTTCTTATCCGTAGAAATATACAATACCAGATCTTACACAATTCGTGGAGATCCTTTCAGTTTGTAGTTGTTTCCTCTTCGGGAGTTATTTCATACAGGGCCCATTCTAAAACTCCTCTTTCAGGCGTTCTTTGCATCGTTTCTCTAAAGTTCGCCGGCTAGGCGTTATGAATAAAATCTCTGTTAATGAATGTATGTATTTGGGTACGTATAGTTTGCACTTTCCTTTTGGACTCCTTTAAACGCATACATTTAACCGGTGCTTATCCAGTGATTATATCGCAGTCTTTATTTTTTATAGATAAACATCTTCCACAGACTCATCTCGGCGAATTTCATATTTTCCGTCGTTGATATTTGTCATTTTATTCCCCAATTTTAATGGGTTGATTATAGGCAAGGCAGAATAAAAGCTTTTAGCTGATAACAGCCAGCGGCACGGAAGGCGCAAACTTTGAGGCGCCTTTGCGCGCAACGCGAACATTAAGAAATGAAAGTAAACTGTGGTAGTAATTAATAGATAAGACAATTGGCAAAGACAGTACAAATACAAGCCGCGCTGTTCCCGTCAGTAGGTCTGCGACAAAGAAAAACCGCCACGGGGTCCTAGGAGATGACTTTACATTGCCCACGCTCTAATTTGTCTGGACGTGAGCCGGTAAACTGGGACAAGTGCACGAATTTGAGGCTACTAGATATTTCTCTACTGCTGTTTTTACGAGTTCCCTTCTCAGAACTAAAACGTTTTCCCAGTTAGGATATAATGAAAAAGAGGAAAAGCCACATTCATCAAGTCAACCAGTATATCCAAGACAAGAAAAAACTTCCCATGCTTTCTTATCGGTTTACCACCAAGCCTCGTTTTGATGTACTCGACCCAGACTCTCTGCCCGTGTCTACTCATGTGGAACGTAGACCACTGCTTTCTATTTCAACAGGAGCGTAGGTCCTGCTTTAAACAATATTTTCCGAGAATGGCATGGAAGCGAAGGATAGGGAGAATCGTCCCATCTTTCGAGACCTTTTTTTGACATACCACGAGAACTCTTGGGTGAATCAAAAGAGCTTCACTGCTTTATTAAGTGAATTCCTTTACACCATGATGAATCAAATTATCTAGAATCTCTAACCGAACATTTCTATATTTCCAATACCTTAAGCATGTCTTTCGCAAACCCCTTCCAAAATGCTCAAGACCTGAGAATCTATATCCTGGTTCCACGTCGGAAAAACTCGTTTGTATCACAGTTAGCGTTTGACGACGCAATATTGTGTCTTTGAGTAGAGCACTTCATGGGAGACGCTCGAAGTGTCCCCAGCCGCTGAACTGTTTCGTTCTCCACAGTCTCCGTCATGTTGTTCCTTGTTATGTGGTATTTGGTATCCAAACGACAAAGCCATTCTGATTTTAAACAAAACAGGTTGAGTATTTAGATTAAACACTCACTCAATCTAGATAGGAAACAGTAGAGTGAAATTTTCAAAAGCTTCGGGATTTGTGGAATTTGCCTTTTTAAGGATCCAGGTTGCCTATGGGGGCCTATTCTGTCGGTGACGAAACACTCAGATTTTGAACAAAAAATTGTCGAATTAAAAGCAAACGTTTCAAAATGTTCCCATGATTTCAGATTTAAGAGTTATGAGATCAGTTGGGATAAAAGCGGGTCATTGCAAAATTATTACGGACAAGTCTCTGACAAAAGTGACTCATATCTAGGAACTGACAATGGCAAGGGTACAAACTTCTCGCAGATAAGAACGCTCAATGATTAGATTAAAACTTAAGATGAGAACAATTTTCTCAGGTGAACGGATTTATTACGTAAAAAGTGACATAACTCTAACCTAAAATGTTTCCTTTACACAATGGACAGGTCCTCTTTGCCAGCAACCAACGATCCACACATTCACAATGGAACTCGTGACCACACGGCAAAGTGCGAACGAGCTGAAACAAGTTGAATTAAGGTTACAATTTCTACAAACTTTACTTTGCAATTATATCACATTTTACAGTCCATTACCCCAGCTATCTACTCATGGATGATGTTAAAGCCAAGCCAGAACTAGCAATTTTATTTTGAGTGTCTCAAAGCAATCCAAGATTGCATTTCCACACACAACCCACAATTCCTCTAATCGCTCTGACGAAGGGCTAACGCTCGAAACGTCAGCTTTTTTACCCTTTACGGTGGCTAATTTACGTTTTCAACCCAGTTGTTAACACTAAATTACCTGCTATACTCTCCCACCGACGCAGCACCACAGTTTCTTTAGAAACTTACCCCTTTATTCAAGATTGCATTAATTCACTACGATACACTATTATGATTGGTTTTAAATAGCTACGCCCATCCTTCTCAATCCACAATTAAATTCAGAATTAAATTAAATGATGACTTGGGCACTTGCACTCTACCACACTTTAGGTCCGTTTCATGGACTTACTTTTAGTTCTTCAACCGACCCTGACGACCTAACATCAGTATGTATATTCTCTATACTGTTCTCTATATATTTCCTGAGGTGTCAACAGGGAGAATTTGTTTCACATCGAGAGCTTCAGTTGCTGCTCATTTCCTAAATACTCCTGACCTTAATGTTTGATTTAGGGTTGATAATGTAAGGAGAAATTAGATGCTGGTCACTCTTAAGAGTCCAAGGGTTAAAGCTCTTTCGCATTATTGGCCTTTTTTCTGTTTTACTATATACAATTAACTGAGAAAACGGAATGGCTGAAAAAGTCGTTAGAAGGGAAAGAAGAGGAAGTAGCGTTTTACTGAAGGTACGTCCTGGACAAGCGTCAGTCATTCTGTTTCATCGATTCTTACCTGGTTATTTTGAAACTCATCTAAACAAACAGCACACACTTCAGAATCTCTCCTCTCCTGTTCAACTTGTTTAATAGCATAACGAGACGAGTCTTTTACTCTTCTTCTGAATTTTCTTATCTTTAGTTTCGCTATGGCTTCGACTGCCTCTTGTCTTAGCATTTCCTGAAAAGATCCAATAGTGAGGAATTTTTATTATTACGGCAAAAAAAAGTGATTTTTGATTGAAACTGGAAGGTAACCTTGGTTGCATTTTCTTGTTTTACTTCCTTCTTTTATTGGTTTAAAAACCTCGCGCTATCTTCTCCACCAAACCAACCAAACTGAAATAAGGTGCTCCTTTGTAAACTACGTTGTGTTTTCCTGTACTTGATATCGATTACAAGTATCCGCCACTTTGAGTTAATTCGCATTGGTTTCTTCTGACATTCTTCGTTGTTCTGATTGGCAGTCGACAGTAATAGTTGCAGTTACTCAAAAAGCGCACTTACAAAAATTCGTGTGGATTCCTTACCTCTTTTTTGGAAATCCAATAGTTATGAAGAAACTGGCTAAGCTGAGTCTGTCAAGTCAAGCATAAAGGAAAGTTTCTTACTCTTGGCTTACTTTAGCTTTTCCCAAGTGGACTCTTCTTCTCTCATCTTGCCTTTTCAGAATATTCCTTAAAGTACATCGTCATGTAATACTTAGGTGGTCCTCTTTACAGTGGCTGCCTTGTCGCCATACTTTGTGAGATGATGCATCATTTTTTCCAATCTGCTCCGTTTTTTTTTGTGCTCATCAAACCACCCGCGTAACATTATGTCAGTGAAAATTTTTCTTTTTCTTTATGAGAGGGAAAGCTAAAAATTCTGTGATCTACATTAACGTACCTTGAAAACTAAAAGACAGAACAGCACTGACGTAAAGAACACAGCAGAGCTGGTGAATTGAGAGTTCACCTCCTAAGGACAGGAAAAAAAAGATCGATGATGTTCAGTGTATTCTTTCAACTTTATCTATTTTAAATACACATTACTTAGTTCATTTACATGTTCCAAAAACTTAAAAGTATTATATAAGCTAGGTTATTCTTGCACAAGTGGGATACTGTGAAACGTCCTAATATTGAAAAGGAATGTATGTGAAATTGCACAAAGCGAGAGATGTTAAGAGTTTGAAGGTAAATGACAAACTTGAAAGTATATAATGTGAAAGATGTTAATGAGACAAATGGTAATGACACTGAACACGTTACCTCTGAGCTTTTTTCAGGGTTTCCCAGGCAGACCACACCTTCCCATCCACTGGGCCGACCACAGGTAGCCCAAAGTGTTAGCGTGGAAAGTAACTAACAAGACATAAGAAATTCTATCATGGTTTAACCCTCAAATGTGTGTTGAATCTGCCAGCCAGGATTTGACAGAACTGACAAAACAGAAGTGAGGATTGTTGCCTTTTGATCGCCAAGGGGAAGCTAATGAGTATTGTGCAGCTTTATAGAGACAAATGTTGATCCTAGCCTGTATGTGGGGAAAAGAAATTGCTTGCCATCTGCAACAATCATTGATACTTAGAGCAGTAAAAAAATAAACATAGTTTACCTATCATAAACTTATGGTCTTGAACTAACCTTTAATTCAACCACAGATGAGTTATGGGAAATCTTTGCTCTCAGATTGTGTTTTCCACTGTACATACAAGGATATAGAAGTTTTAGTACAGTTATCAAATGATCAAAGGCATATCAAAACACCATGGCACTTGCTCATCAAGTTTCAGTTGTAAGATGTTGCAAAAACCAACAATGGTATATAAAAAAAACTATTTATAATACAGCTAGATGTTTCAAATAAAGAATACTTTTCCACAGTTTCAAGGAGTAAGGCAAGAGTTTCGTGTGGAGGATTCCACAATTAATCTCCAAGCTTCTTGGAATTATAAAAGGTTGCTTTGGTTGTACAAATGATTAATTTTCATACCAAATAGGGGTGGGGAGGGAGTAAGGGGGTTTGTTTAATCCAAGAACCCTGATAAAATTATGCCTTTAAGTTTATTGCTTCCAAATTTTAGATTATATTACTGACTTGTACAAAGAAAAAAAAAATGAAATATCAGTGGTTTGATTATTGGTAAACTTACTTTTTGAAAGCCTCCAATACTTTAGAAACACTGTTAGTTCCATTTACCATTATGATGGGTCTTGAAAACATTTGAGCTAAGTCAAGCTACAGTAAAAACAGAGAGTTTTGGATGCTAAATACCATGGAACTGTGTCATTCTGCTGATAACATAAACTTTACACAAGTGGAGGAAGTCTTGTGGGCTACCTTTCTGGGTAATAGTGAACAATGGTTCCCATTTTTGGCTGTCAGTAACCTGTCGGTCAACTGTTGGCCAACAGGTTACTGACACATTACCGACAGTCAGTAATGAAAACAGAGTTGGCCAACTGTTGTCCAAGTGTCAGTCGACAGTTGGCCGACAGTTGGCCGACAGTTGGCCAACAGTATCTTTTGGGAACTTATCTTCACTTTTACTCCTTTCTGTTTCATTTTTGCGTTTTTTGTCTTTTTTGTTAGGCTTAAAAAGTGTCAGTGACACAAATGTTTATGTTTTAACCCTCCTAACTGTCTTTCCTTCCTTGTCTGCCAATATCCTCCAATAACAAGCCTAAAGTACCATACCAAATGAAGTGAATAGTGAGTTTCAGAATCTTTTACAAATCGAAGAGAAAAACCTAAGTTACTGTGAAAACAAATATTCAACTTTCTGTGGCATTTTTCCTTCCTTTTTTTTTTATGCACCAAGATACCTTTGATCCAAAGGGTTACCAAATGCATTTCAGATTACATAACACATACCTTTCTAAACACTCTGTGATTCAAAGTTATGATAATTATTGCTGAGGCACCCAGTAACATTGCTTTCTTCACCTTAAACACAACAAAGTTATGTTGAAGGCCAGAGTTTTGATGATCATGATCATTGCAATGATCCATAAAATACTTTCCATACGATCAAATGCATCCCAGACCTGTATCTACTTTTACAAAAGTAATTAAAAAGCATTCATAAATGTACTATAGTTATGTACCTTAATCATAGAGGATATATTTATTTAATGGTAACATTGTGATATTATACTTGATTATGCTCAATAACCATAAGTAGGAGGCATAGTAGCCGTGTCTTTAAGTGTTATTGTAGGTTCAGGGCCACCTTAATTTAGTCTAGTCTAGTCTAGTCTAAGGAGGTTCAGCACTTAAAACACAGATCTTCTTCAAAGATAGCTGTGCAAGAAATTGTACCTTGATATGCATTTTGCAACTCTTAAATGAAAAGGAGTTATGAAAGGGTGTAGTGTGGTTATGGTAACTTTTTAGGTGGCAAACTGATATCAACTCTCTGGGCAATGATTGGGAATTGGCTCTACAGCATTTTTGTGGAGAAAACAGAAAATCAAAATTGTAAATCAAAGAATAAGGCTGCAAATGAGTGACATTATTTTAGGACACTTTTACCATCCTTTAAAACCTAAAAAACCAATAATAATAATAATAATAATAATAAGGAAATGATAATAAATAATAACAATATATAAGAGTTGAGCTAAGTACTGAATGACTTGTGTCTTCAGACTACTGTACAGCAAAAAGGAAAAAAAAAATAAAACCAGGAAGTAAACAGTGAAAGATCACAATTTACCCTTTCCAAAACAGGACAGAACTTTGATCCACGAGCATTGTAATAATCCAGGACAGGAATGTGAATAACACCAATCCAGCTCTGTGTTTCATCTGTTTGAGGGCTTTGAGATTCATCTTGGTCTTGTTCAGAATCATCTGGATCACAAGCATCTATCTACACATAGTCAGTTGCACTTTTTAAAAATTAGTACGTATTTAGTATTTATCCTGATTTATGGCTTATTCACTGTATGCTTACCTTATCTATTTAACATGCATCTGGTCAATGATAGATTACGGATAACATATTCAAAATGTGGGTTGAAAGAAAAGTGTCACATGAAGAGCAGCTAACTGTGTCAACAAGATGTTCTTATCATATTCTGACATCCTCTGTGGTCTACTAATGAACAGACCCACTGCAACATAGAATCTATTAGATTTAATTATGTATTAAAAAAGCAGAATGTGAAATCATCTCTACATCTGCTCTCCAGTAGATCATAGGTAGGGACCAATCAAAATTCATGTGTAATCCAGCTCATCAAAAATAAACATGCAGGATTACCAATAAAGAGCGAAAAACTTCTTAGAGATCAATATGATTAAAAATATATAATAAATATTGCTGCTGGTCTTTCCCCCAAGTTTATTGCATTTCTGATTTCATTGATTTCAGGAGGGTTACCTGGGTTACAGTTAACCCTTGAAAAACTGAGGCAGATCTTTGAAAGTATATTCATTTAAAAGTTGAAAAAACCCAAGCCATTTGCTGCAAACACTTGGTTCTCCGTGGTTTCTTAATTCTCCCTAGGAAATTTAGATGAATTTGTTACCGACAACTTCATTGAAATTCGAAATATCCGAAAGATAAATGAAAGATTATTGTTGCTCACCCATAACACACCTCGTTATTGAATAAATAAGGATTTCCCATGTAAATTTCTTTAATTCCTATCGTTTCGATCGATTACCGGCCCCGAGAATGACAAACAAATAACACCATTGAACAATGCAATTTTACATATTTTCAAAAAAAACGTCGTAATATAAAAACAACATCACTGATCTGACCCTCCCTCACAACCGTGGAACACAAAATCGTATTTCAACAATGCAAAGAGTTATCGCATCGAGTTACCTTACCTCATTTAACTCTCCTTCGACCTGTTTTATCGCGCCGATTCTGGCGAACTTTCCGACAACATTTACAAACGAGCTGTTTTGTCCGTCTTCACTTTGGCTCATCACATCGATAAACGCGTTGTCAACGTCACCCAATACAAGTACAGTGAAGCAAAGAACGTGTAGAAAACAGTTCAGGAATTTGGATAATGAAACTCGTAGTGAAAACATTGCAAACACAGCGATTACATAAGTCGAATTTAAATTCATTTGCTCGCCATATTCCGGATGTTTATGTTTTCTTTTCTAAGCAGGCTCAGCATAAACCTGTTTGTCAGCGGTTTGTTATTTGCTTGAAGAACGCAAGTGGACAGATGAACTATGGGCGTGGACGGATGCGCGTGTTCGGGTTTGGACAAAATGAGGAGAAAAGTAGCGTTCTGAGAAATGTATAACAGCTTAGTAGGGCGAGCAGAATTTCTTAAGAAGTGAATGCGAAAGAGTGAACGACGAAACGTCAATTTACTGATGCGTAAATATTTTGTGTGGCCATAATTAGAAAGTGTTACGAAACATTTATGACTTAATTACTAAATACCTTAAACTTTTAATCAGTGACTCGAGCTTGATTGAAGATTTCACATTTTTACTCCTTCATTCGTCACGGAACTAATGCTCTTAGCACTTGCACTTTACAGTCTAAGTTCATATGTATTTAGCAACTACCAAAAGTTTCTTCATTTGCCTTTTACGAGATAGGACGACGGCCAACCCTTAAGTGACTCGTGCAAAGGCGACATCTGAAGGATCAACCTTCCCAGGAAATAAGCGTCTGCTGTCTTCCATATTCACACACACACACAAATGGGAGAAGTGGTTAAATCTATTTTTCAGTAAATTTATTAATTGTTCATCTCAAAATATGACCTACGAAATACTGATATTTCAATTCAATGTTATTCAGGTGAGATCCTTAATCTACAGGTAACTTAACATGTAATAAAATTATCACTTTGTTGCATTGTTGACATGAAGTGGTGTATGCTATTAAAAAATAATTAAAGCTCGAACCATAACGTAAACAATCCAAGGAAGTAAACTTTTCTTAGAATGAGCTTTCTAATTCACTTCTTGATTTGTAATCTTTAAGCGTGTTTTTTTTTAATAAATTGCAATTTTAACGTGTTTTACATCCCTTGTGCATAATCTTTGAAATATTACTTACTCAAGAGTGCATTCCCCTATTGTAATTGTTTCTTCCCACATTAACTATTAACAACAAAAATAGTTAATCATTAGTAGCACTAAAATTTAACCCAATTAATACCCTCAAATATAATACTAAGTTCATTTACCACATAGTCGGTCTTTTCATCCTTTACCTCTGTTAAAATTTCTACTTTTGCTGATTTCTTGTTATCAGCAGAATTTTGTTCTCTCTCATTTTACTTTACAACTCTGTAAACCCTAGAGTGTTGCAATGTATGTCACAGTGGAGAGAGGTGGGTGACTGGGCAAAAAAATTACCAGTAAGGTTGGTGAGATCTCAGTAAAAAATATCAAGTCCCTAAAATCTACACTAGCCCACCCTCTAATTTGAAAGATAGAATCAAAATGTGTTCAAAAGAGAGAGAATAACATATTGTGAACTGAAGGTTTAGACAAAAGAGAGTAGCACAGGAGAAAAACAATAACAGTATTGTTTGGCACTTATAGTTACTCATAGAAAACCTTTTCTGAATCCAGCATTTCCTTCCAGGTTTTTTTTTTCATTGGACAATGTGCACACGGTATTTCCTTGGAATTAAGAGTGGCTAATCTAGGTCTGTACTTTAACTCTTTAACTACCTAGATCTGATCATTAATTCTCCCCTCCAGCTGCTACACATTCCAATGTAAATTTGTTACATGAATTTGGTGTTGGATGAGGATGATGATAGTCCATTTTACAGTTCTGGGCTTGGTCGCCAAGCCTTTGAACAAGAGTGAGGCTAAGGTTGACCTTGTTATGATAAAAACCTTGCTGCTTTTCAAATGCAAATTTCTTTGTTATCATGCTAACTAGATACTGGTCTCTATCACAACAAGATCACCTTCAGCCTCACTCCAAATCAAAGGCTTGGCAACTAACTACACAACTGTAAATTGGCCTATTTTAACCTGATAAGTTTGAGCATTCTCACTACCTGTTTGCTGTATTATGTAGGGATATTGTAAGGAGAAGTTATATGTCAATCATGTCATAGAGTTAAAGGGTTAAGGACTCTCAAAGCCAGAGTCAGCCACTGTAATATTTCCAGATGGACTGCTTGATGGACTACGTGCATTATGAAATTTCTTTATCAGTTCCATGTTGAACAAAGAATAATTTTCCTCCTGTGCACTGTCACTTTCCCTCCTTCTTGCCCTGGATAGCTGATAGGGAGAATCATCTGAGGAACTGCCAGAGGAAAAGAACATTGAGATAAAAATGAAATACTTAATATGATGGCCATCTTCTGGGACTTACTGAATACTTACAAGAAAAATGGTGTTGTCTTGCCTTGGGACATGAATTTAACTTAGAGCAAATATGTAAACCCAATTATTTGACTTATTTGACTTTTCTTGGGCATAATTATACCACGGTTACTTAGAATACATCATGTTAACTCTGTATTACCAAAAGGGAAAAAAGTGTGAATGTGAAGATGAGTAATCAAAAGTAAAAAAATTATTTTGATCTAGGTCAAAGAGGAAAGAATAGAGACAATGAAATTGTCAGTTCTTGTTTCCAATGGTGAAATATCTGCAGTTTCATTGACAGTTCTTGCCCAACTTACCTTCTTGTAGCTTTTAAGCTATCTCTGGCAGCTGCAATATCCTTCTGCTCTATCACTGAAGTTTTCATTGACTGTACGCTTGCATTGTTACTGTAGAAATAAATTGAAAGGTAAACTGCAAGTAATGACTGAATGTAGCCAACAAATTCAGGTTAATAACTTCCCAGTATGAAATCATTAAGGGTAATTAAAAAGGAACTGACATGAGAACAGTCAAGTTCATTCAGTTTTACTAGTAATATATAGCCACCTAAGACTTAACTAAGCTGAGAATTTACCCCAGACACACCCATAACAAGTCTCTCCTCAAGGAACAATTAACATCTTTCAAAGAGAAACTAAAAAATTAAATTTTAAAACAGCAAGAACACAAAAAGTTCATGAAACTGCCAATGCAAACAGCTTCAATCTTCCTCAAATTTTGTGCAAATATGCAGTCTGTTATCATTTTCAAAGATGGTTTATGTTTCTTTAATTCCCTCAGTTGGATTGGAATTTGGTGGTGGCTGCATTTATGCATGCAGCTAAAAGAAAAAAAACCAACCATCTTTCTTATTCTGTTTATAAAACATGATGCAATCTACATTACTGATCCTAGCTGTATATAGAACACATGTCATATTCACTTTGTAATGGGTATTGCTCACCATAGAGTCTCTAAGGCTCTGTGGTAGAGCATCAAAACGCAGAATCCAAAAGGCCTGAGGTTCCATTCCTCACAGGGACTCAGAATTTTTTTCTTTTTCCCATGCTCATGACAAGATGAAAAAAATCTTTCTCTATTTCTTTACCTAACTTAAAACTCACTATCTTTCTAATTCTATTTATGTTTAAAGTGTAAATCATAATCCCTAAATCTGTCAAGATTTGATCAATGGGATACTTATCTTGAATTACTAAATCTAAAATTATTTTAAATTAGCACACTGAGTGATGACAACTCCTAGGTAGCCTAGTTAAAACCTAAACTTGATTTACTGGTATGCCTCCCAAATGTAAGATAAATCTCATGTTCATAACATTTAAGACCCACTAGTTATTTGTAGACTTTTAACTACATATAAATTCCCTTACCTATGCATATAATATGATATACAGTGTTGCATTAAAAAAAAAACACTGAGTTTATTCATAAATGAAAAAATAAGCTTTATGAAGTGGAGTGCATATAGTGCACAAAGGCATAGCTAGGGGAGAAGTCCAGGGGTACCTGTGACCCTTTCCCCACTTTGTAAGCTTTTTTTATGCAAAAAATCCTCAATATTCAGGTGGTGAAAACTGGCAAGTACCCTTTGTTTGACACAGTGACCCCCCTTTGAAAATTATGGTTATGCTTACTGATGCAGGTTTCAGTCAAAGTGCACATACTTGACATTATTTTCTTTCAATTCTGATGATGCAGGCTTGGTCTGCTCAGAGGCTTTGTCCCGCAGTTTTCTCCTTGGTGAGACATTCCTTATTGCCTGCAACAGTCTTCTTTCATGACTAAAAGTTCCCGAAGGTGTTTCAGGGAAATCTGATTGTTTTACCCTGTGGAGAGATTATCATGTGAAAAAGAAATTTATAAACTTGAGTCTGGTATTAAGCTCACCATTCTACTTTATTATTTTCTTTGATCTTCATTTTACTCATTGTATTGATAAATATCATATCCTTTACCCATTGTAAGAAGACTGTTATATTTAACTTGAAATTCTTTGTCCTTTGCACTGTCACTGTAACTCTCTCCACAAAAACTAAGTCAAATTTATTTATTAATTATGGAAGTGACTAATGTGTAAATCCTCCTTGCATTGTCAACATTGTGCAATTCTGTAAACAGATGTGGAGAATGGGTAAACTTAGCAATAAAAAGGTGATATCTTGATGCAAATTCCAATTCTCCAGGCAAATTTTTGAAAAAAAATTAAGCTGGTAGAAAGGAGATGTTCTGATCAGATTTAATTACTTATTAAATTACCTGACAGGAATGTTTAGAGTCACTGGAGAAATCAACTCTTGTGAAGTTGTAGACTAAAATTAAAATACACAAATTATTCAGTTTTTTTGTCTCACTGGTTGTAAAAAATAAGAAGAGAACCCAGAGTTTATCCCTTAAAAAAATACAATAAACATAATCTGACAATCTGAGTTTGTAAATGGAAGACCTGGAAAGTCACAGAACTCTACAAATAACAATATCAGTTTCAAGGCATGAGAAGTCATGGAAACTTGTGATGCACCAACAAATATATATATATTTATTACATGACTGCTTCCACATTTATTTTGGGAACAACACTTTGACTGTAGGTCATGGAAAACATCATGAACATCCAGGTTTTGTGTTTTATGGTTTTGAAAGAGCATAAGAGTTAGAAGATTCTTTGTTATATCTTTCATTACTGAGGAAAGCAAAATGTAAAATACTTTTTGCCTTACCATGTTAATGATAGGGGGAGGTGGTGGTGGGGGTGGTGGAGGGGGTGGAGGTGCACTCGGTGCTGGTCTTCTTGGGGTGCTTGAGGCTATAGGATCTTTGAGTTTTCTTTTTTCTGCCAGCCTTCTGGAGAACCTGACACCTGTTTTCTTGCCATCTTAACAAAGGGTAAAGAAATTTTTTCTCATGATTTACATGTAAATAGAGAGAACCATGGCTAAGAGAATCGTGCAGGAAACTGTACATGAAATTGTAAAATTGATGAATCAATAAATTAATGATTCGTTATTCAAATAACTATACTGGATCCTATATTTTTATCATCACATGACTTGGTAATAAGTCATAGCTAAATATTGTAGCACCATCGTCATTGTTATTATCATCATATTTACTGTATCTACTTAGCTTTTACTTCTACAAACAAACGATCCTCATACAATTATTCAAAAATTAATCCAAATATTCACTCATTCATTCATTTAACCAGTCACTTAATCAAAGACCCTTTACTTACTATACACGTAAAGTAAATAAAATAAAATCAATTAATGAACCCTTTGGTTCTCATAGTGACGCTTTTGATGCCATAAAATTTAATACTTATTGACTTTCATGAGCAATAATTGACGAACCTTGAGCATAGTCATAAGCGGAAGCCATTTCATGCTTTAAGTTTTCGAGGTCTTCCTGACACTGTTCAGGGGGAAAGTATTTCTCCAAGTAACCATCTTGCAGTTTGTTCATCACCTTTACTTTCATGAACTGCAGCAACTTTAGATTGTCAGCTTTCTTTCGTCGCACGATCTTATAATATTCGTCCGGGTTTGAATCAAGATGATTCATCAATTCTTGCAGTGCAGCCCGCGTAGTTTTTGCTGAGTGCTGATCATATTCTTCAAGTGGAATTTTTTGGCAAAATACTACTGGTAAAGGAGATGGCTGATCGAATTCCTCAAGAATCTCGGCCATTGGAATAAAAAGAACAATTTGTAAACTACCAACGAATTTTACGATCCGCGTGTTTTGATTTCGAATAATTGCGCTCCTAACCTCGCTTCCATGCAGGTCTAACACGCAATGTTGTCTCGGTACGAACCAATCAAAACTCAGATATTTACGTTCAGACGGTACTATATGTATGCGGAAAACTTCAGAACGTATCCTTCTTCTTGTATGAGAAATAAGATATATCACCGTCTGGGAAGAGAATTCTAAGATGGCGAACGCGTCACGCCGAGAAGAATTGCAATTTAAGGTATCCGTCTTAAATCGTCTTTTAAATGCTTTACAAAAGTGTGGTGGGAATTGGTCACGAATCATATGGGTTTGTTCTTTCTGATAGTTTTTCTCGTGATGAGGGGCGCTCATACATATTTATTAGCTAGAAGAATAGTTTCTATGCCCGCGCTAGCGGGGGTTTTCACGTTTAGAAAGTGAACTAAGGAATAAAATTTGAGGCTTTGAGATTAAAGAGTGACTGGACGTTACCTAATCGATACAGTAACCAGCGTGTCTGGTAAGTTGAAGTTCAATAATTTTGAAGAGCAAGGAAAACTTCTTTGGGCGGACACCAATTTTGTTTAGCTTGCTGTTCTGTGGTGGTGCAATAACCATGCACTTCAAGTTATCCATTTATCAAACTGTTACTATACACTCAAATGGCGGCTTCTTTAGAACGAGAAATTTCAGGGAATTAAATTGTAAGTGTCTGCAAAGTAAAAAAAATTACTTGATAATCTTTTTGTAGTAAACTGTTCCATCATTCAAGGGAATTGGGTTATGTTAGATATCTTGCACAGTCATGTAATTTTCCACCCTTAAGTAGATACACTCATGGTACAGGAAGGTGAGAGGAATAACTCTGGAATATTAGGCTTGAGGTCATGAAGTAGGGTTTTTAATAGTGGAGGGAACAGAGGTTTGTTATTCTTTTAGATTCATTCTTAGAAATAAACTGTAAAAATCAGTTAGATGATTGAGCTTTCTTTGAGGTAAAAAGGTTAAGTACTACTTTATATCTCCACAAGTGCAGATTGTGGATGAAACACAACTCTTCAAAATTAAAATTCTTTTAATTGCAACTTTTGATGGGTAATGAATTTTTCATTAATTTCATTATTTAGTGAGTTATTTTTTTTTGCTGATATGTTAAAATTTGTCATTACAGACCACGCCATTAGAAGATGACTACACTGTTGACTGGAGCAAGAGGCTTGGTTCAGGAATCAGTGGGCCAGTTAGGTGAGTGTTGAGTAAAATATTTAAGAATAATAAAAAATGAGCAAAGATGATATTTTACCAGTCAAGAGGTCCAATCAAGTAAAATTTGGTGGTAGTAGCACTTGGGAAGTACAGTTGAACTTGTATTTAGCAGCACTGTATTAAATAGTGACCCTGTATAACTTGGTGGGTGTTCAAAGTCTTGAAATTTTTACCCCCAAATGACAGTAATTTCACCTCTTTTAAGAGTTCATCTCCATTAAGCAGTCATGGTCATTCTTTACTGAGTCCCAAAGGCCTGTTTGTATTGTCCTCTACCTGTGTTGAAGAGTCTCTTAACACAGGACCACTCAAATAAAACAAAGTATAATCTCACATGTAAAATTTCATCCATATTTTCCTTTAAAAATCAATGTTGGTAGTATTTTCAACTGAAGAAATGTAAAATGGTTTCCATGCTTACATCATGCTATGTAAACATGGAAACCATTTTACATTTCTTTTATAAAATAACTAATGAAAGAGGAACGAAAACCGTGTTTACATACGCTCATGTAAAATGGTTTTATGGCCAACTAGAGCACGTGTACTATTTGAATTATTTTATAAAATATATTATACATTAATGGTCAATTAAAGCACAGAATGACGTTTTTTTTTATCATGTTCTTTGTAATACCTCTTGTCTGTGGAACTTATATTAAGCACTCAACCTATATTAAGCAATCACTATGCCATTCCTTGTGGGTGACGGCTATAGTTGTATCACTACTCACCTTGTAAGAGATGCCTGTAATTTTGGGACTACACCCCCAGTAATTGGTCAGGTTTCCCTGAGAGGAACCCTTCTATACTCCTGGGTGAAGAGAGGCACTATGAAATTAGGTGTTTGTCAAAATGTGTTTAACACAGAGACCAAACAGGGCCTTGAACATGGACATTTAAATCAATGGATAAGTCTAGCATGATGAACTTCAGGTAGCCACTTGTGCTGTAGGATAACAAATGAGGCACTTGAATTTACTTGGGAGTTCTATTTATGATTGGTACTCTTTGTAGTTGTATTTAACCCTTTAACTCCCAGATCAAATTTGTAGTTCTCCTTACTGTCAACTATACAATTCTTATACTGTTATTTCAGAGAATTTAGTATTGAATCAACTAATTATCCCCAAATTGATATTTTTCTTTATTCTCATCACTTATTTGGTTGATATTGTATTGATATTGTAAGGAGAAATTCTGTCTTGGTCACTCATGGGAGTTAAAGAGTTAAACCAGCCCCTTGTTCTGTTTGAATTTATCTTCGTTTGTGGCCAGATTAGAATTCTGGTTTGCATTTTAAATGAAGACAGTTATTTGTTACAGTTCCTCTTTCTACAGTGAAATAAGACCATGTTAGATGTAATAAGATAGCAAATTAAGATACATTATTATTTTTATTCCTCCAGGTTGTGCACACATAACAAAACTGGAAAACGATTTGCCTTAAAATGTCTCATGGATTCTAAAAAAGCTAGAACAGAGGTAATTTCCATTTTGTCTTCTGCTTTATGCAGGTCAAGCATTCAATACTGGTTTATAAAAATTGATAACTGATTGCTCTGTTAGGCTAGGGAATGGGTGAACATGCTTCAGGGTTAATGAATGTTAAAGTTGTCAGTTGATCTTTATCAAACTGTAGAAGAATGGTGCAAGCACAAGTGGAATACTTAATCACTTACTGACTGCATGGAAACGGTGATTAGGAGAAATAAGCTATTCAAGACCCTGCCAGTCACCTTTAACCCTTTAATTCCCAAGATCTCATTAGTAATTCTCCTTACTGTCTGCCAAATGATTCTCATTATGTTAGTTTGGAGAATTTGGTATAGGATCAATTAATAATCCCATAATTGATATTTTTCTTTATTCTTATCACTTGTCTATATGATATTATATAGATGAAGTAAGGAGAAATTCTGTCTTGGTCACTCATGGGAGTTAAAGAGTTAAAATGTATTGTTATCTTTCTTTAGGCCAAGGTGCACTACTTGTGCAGTGGTCATCCTCATGTTGTATCAGTAATAGATGTCTACGCTGTCAGCTTTAAATTTCCAGGAGAAATGAGACCTGTGTAAGTATGCAAGATTGGTGATCATGTGGAATAATTTGTAATTTGAATTCCTGTGTTATAGTTCTGTGGTGAAGTATCAAGAGTAATGATTGGATGGTCTTGATTGCATATAAATTTTCTTTTTGGTAGTTTGCTATTGTCAATGAGTAAAAGAGCATCATCAGAAACTTAGCATCTTTATTTTGGTGTAAATCCTTGTGGTATGTAGGATGTCTGTCACTTAAATCTTGTTCAATGGCCCAGTGTCCATAAGTCTGAATTCACTTTGCTTTAATGATTGTTTTTATAGTTCTGCATGACTTCCATGAGATTGTAACTAGCAGCACATTTTATCTTCTGTTTGACCTATGCCATGTTAAAGCCCTAGCTTTGGCACCTCTCAATATAAAATCAAAAGAAACTGTGTATGCTCATCATGTGTCATTAAATGAAACACACCATGTTTTGGAAGGAAGAAGATATTTATTTCCAATGTGCTTTTCATTGACTTAGATAAGATCCTTTCCCCAGTTTTGTAATACATATTGATACTGCTTGAGGATCAGAGTCTGCAATCTCCAGTTGTTTGAATCATTCAAAGCCATTTCCGCCAAAGGAAATGATGGTAACAAGCTCTTCTTTGATTAGAGAGAGCAAAATTAAAGTCTTTGTTCTGTTTTTCTATTTAAGTTCACTCTGTTTATTTTAGTCCCAGGATTTTGATGGTTATGGAGTTGATGGAGGGAGGTGAACTGTTTGAGCTTGTTAGAACAAAAAGACGTTTCACTGAAAATGAGGCTGTTAATTTTACCAAACAGGTGAAGCTAACTCAATTTCAGCTACTTCTAAAGAGGTGGAATTCCTGATCGTGTGTTCATGTTACCTAGTTTATATCTTACATTTTCTGTTGTCTTGTAATTTTGAAAAGATGTGAAGTCAAAAGTGAACCAAACATATTTTGTATTGTTATGATAAAAATTATGAAAGGGCAAGTATTAAGTTGAGTGTTGCCTATTGAGGACATGCATGATTGTTTTTACTTTTGTTTAGATTGCATTAGCAGTTTACCACTGTCATTCATTCAATGTAGCGCATAGAGATCTAAAACCAGAGAACTTGCTTCTTCTGGACAAGACTGAGGTAATGCTGTTGTGGGTTTACCCAACAATTTACTTTTAAAAAAGTTGGTCTGAGAACTCTAATCCTTAAAAAATTACTGATATTGGTCTAAGGTAGTAATCATTTAGCAACACATGATTTTATTTAACCCTTTAAAACCTAAGAGTGACCAGCATCTAATTTCTTCTTACAGTAATACTGCTGAATCATTCAATAAGATCATGAGAATATAGGAAATGATTGCTAACGTAAGAAGCTCTGATTGTTAAACCAATTCTCCTTGTCAGTACTGAAGAAAATGTATAGAGAAGAGTCTGGAGAATATGGACACTGATGTTAGGGTGTAAAGGGTTTAAGAGAGTGTTTGTTTGTGGTAACTTTTGAGTAAAAGTATTCCTACATCCTGAAAAATAAATCTAAATTGGGAAGATGTTCTACAGCTTGAGGCTCAGTACCAAGGGTACTGTAGTGATGAAATCAATAGCTGGAAGCTGTGAAAAGGAAGGACTCTCTAAGAGACTTTTTTGCCTGAAGAACAATATGTGTTGCTCAAAGTAGCCACTTAACAAGTGTACATTTCCATTTATGCCTTTTTCTTGTGTAAGGTAGTAAATGAGATGTTACTCAAAGTTTATAGTCGTGTTTTCTGTTGTTCTTTACCCAGAAAGTAGTCATCAAGCTTGCTGATTTTGGTTTTGCTAAGATTGATCGTGGAGATCTTGTCACACCTCAGTTTACACCCTATTATGTTTCTCCCCAGGTATTGCACTTATGCTAAATTTTAATATTTTTAATACAATTATACAAAAATGGTTGAATGTAGAATGTTATTAAGCAATAAGAAGGCTTCTCATCATTTATTTTCTTTTAATACCAATGAGTGTGTCTTTCAAAACTATAACCTTTTCAGGTTGTCTTTGGTAACACTTTTCAAAAAAATCTTGAACCTTTAAAGAGATGCTAGCAGGAATTGCTATTAGTTTGTAAATAGTTTGTTTCACTTTAATTGATTACGAACAAAATCCTTTAAAGTGGTTGTGATTTTTACTTTCTGTAAAAAGTGAGTTTTGCATAAAATGATTGTTTTTTTAGGTTCTGGAAGCACAAAGAATTCACCGTGCTCAGAAGTCAGGGAGATTTCCATTTTTATCAAAACCTTACACATATGACAAGGTAATGTATGCTGTTTCCGGACTGGAAATCATCCTCAACAGACACATGAATGAACTGAAAAAACAGATTATACTATTACTATCATGGATATATTCTGTTTTTTTATGCTCTACAAATACTTATAGTCACTGTTGTGGAAATCATGCTACGAGTTATTTCGTTTTAGTTGAAAGCTGAAATATAGCCAGTAAAAAAGAAAATTAGCCAATTGAAATGTTAGGTATTTTCAATATCTATATCACTCATCAGCGTAATTCTTAAAACACTGTTATTCTGACAGCTTCTGCAAGCCTCCCCTCCTCCACCCACTGCCCCTATATTTCCTCGACTAACTCAGTTTCTTGCCGTTTTGTGTCTGTAGAGCTGTGACATGTGGTCATTAGGCGTTGTTATCTACATCATGTTGTGTGGATATCCACCCTTTTATTCCGAGGTACCTCGTAAGCAATTGTCGCAGGGAATGAGGCGTAGGATTATGGCTGGGGAGTATGACTACCCCGACAAGGAGTGGTCAAAAATTTCATCAGATGCAAAGGATGTCATTGCCAGGTAAATACTAGGAATTCTGTGCTTTTAGATTGAATTGTTCTATTTGAGTTACTTTGAGATCTAGACAAAAAAATATTGGGCTCGAGGCCGTGACGTACGAGCCGAGCGCAGCAAGGACCGTGCGTCATGAACGAGAGCCAAATATTTTCCTTTCTGGCCCAACCAAACTCGGTCAATAAGTATTTATCCTACGGTTACTAAATCTTTAAGAACTTTAACATTATGCTTCACCCTAACTAGGATTCAATTACATACGCAAGAAAGGCGCGCGTTGGATAACTGCAGAAAATTTCAATTTTTCTTTTTTTTTTCGATTAGTTTGAACAAGAAACCCATAATTCATCGACACAACTCGTTTTCTCAACAGTTAGCATTCACGTTCTCACCGAGAAAAGCAAAGCTGTGTGGGCGGGGCCGGAGGACTTTTTCTTAACCCGCCTAATCTAACCCGTCCGGCCCTACACACGACACCTTTCGTTATGGTTTTCATTATGGAGTACATGAGCGGGCCTGTATGGGTTAAGTACGTGAGCGGGCCTGTACGGGTTATATGAAATTAATGACCGCTTCCTATTCCAGTCAGTCTTATTTCTATTTTGTTTTCTACAGCCTATTGCGAGTTGAACCTGCTCAGAGACTGACAGTCACAGACCTGCTTGAGCACCAGTGGCTTAATGAAGGAACTGTTTCGGATGTTCCACTTGATTCACCTTCAGTTATCGTTGCAGATGAGGTTTGTCGCCTTTACAGAGTTTGAAACTGTAATTACTCACCCATCGTGTTCTACCAGATGCACGAAATCTGGTTGGTTCCTTCACGTTAGCTAATTAATTATATCACGTGCTTGAATTTCTATCACGCGATTGTTGGAGAGGGCCTGGTGAAGCCAAATCTACCCAGGAGAATAAAAGGGTGCCTATGAATTGTCAGAGCTACCTGACGAAATGACGACGGTGGGGGAGGGGAAGTTACCTACGATAGACTATTGTACCATCCAGGGAGGTGAAGCAATAATTTTACTCGCTTCATGCACCGTCAACCGGACCAAGGTCTGGCTGTGTGTCTCTGGGTCTTTTGGTTATCCTTGGCTGTTGTGATTTTTCAGGAAGCATTTCGGGAGGCCATGAATGCGCATTCGGCTCAGCTTACGAAGATGAGGTTACCGGACCGCACAGTGGTACTGAAGGCTGTGACGAAGGCCAAGAACCCGATATTGATGAAGAGAAAGAACATGTTTAATCTCGGGTGAGAATGATCCGGCGCCCTCTGATACTCGTGAACGTTGTGTCTCATGCCTTCCAAGCATTTGCTAATAATTTAGACAATTGAAGCGGAATATGCTGAGAATATGCGCTTGAGGTCGTTCCCATACATTTCCTTTCATTTCTCATTGGCTCCTTTCGATGCTAACCTTCGTTCTGGTTTGATGTGGTGATAACCTTTGTCCCGACTTGCAATAATAGTTAGTTTGGTTGCAATTTTACAACACTCGTCGAAAGGCCTTCCATCACTAATAACTGAATAATCTTTTGTTTTTTTCTCGTTTTTTCAGTTCGCTTTTCGCCAGAAACAACGGGGCATCCGCATCGTCCACAGATGTTGATCGAACAAAAAACGATGCTTCTATCAAGTCCCTGAGAGACATCATAGCATTCTGTATGCTTCCTCCTCAGCCACCTGATGGCGTTACAGGTTGGTAGAGGAAATCTCATTTGAAGTGAACAAACAGCTTCTTCCCCCATGGGGGAGAGGGTGGAGATTTGTGTCGCCGCTCGCAGCAAAACAATTGAGATGTTTCATCTTAAAGTGTATCTAGACACCACAAAATTTTTACCACCGATTTCTTTTGGCTCTCGCGACTGACTTCGCGTTGAAAGAAGGAATGCTCAGTGTTTAGGTCACAACTTTTACCCTTTCACCCCCAAGATCTGATTGTTAATTCTCTCCTGTCACTGTTACACATTCCCTTGTAAATTAGTTACGAAAAGTTAGTGTTAGATCAAGATAAGAACTTTTTTACCTGATAAATGAATTAAGGGGTAAGTTTACAAAAAAACTGTGGTGCTGCGTCGGTGGGATAGTATAGCAGGGTAATTTAGTATTGTCAACTGAGTTGGTAACGTAAATTGGCCACTGTAAAGAGTTTCAAAGCTGACGTTTCGAGCGTTAGCCCTTCGTCAGGGCAAATGGAGGAATTGTGGATCGTGTGTGTGTGTTTAGATGTAGAAAATGGAGCTAAGCTATTGATGGGAATATGGAGACGAGAAAACAAGAATGGATTAGTTGAATGAAAAGTGCTGGTTGATACCGTGGGTATCAAGAGTGCTGATTTGAAAGAAAAATTTTTGTTCTAGAGTTTTGCGGCTTTAGCGGTTTGGAAAGGGCTAACGCTCGAAACGTCATCTTTGAAACTCTTTACAGCGGCCAATTTACGTCATCAATTCAGTTGATAATACTAAATTACCCTGTTTTACCTGCTAAGTCTGAGTATTCTCATTAACTGTTTGCTGGAAAATGAATGGATATTATAGGAAGGAGTTACCTGTTAATCACTTCTGAGAGTCGAAGGGTTGATAGATAGTTCACGTGTGTATAAAGGTGCACGAGTCATTGGAATGTACTCTTTTCTGGCATCAAATGTATATTTTGTGTCGGTAGAACTCATAGCGGTTGAAAAAAGGGCTACTTAGCAAGATCCGCGTTTGCGTATAGTTGTTGTCGCGAGGTAGATCTTTGTTTGACAGGCTCTGCATCACGGGAAAAAGCCTGCAAGACTTACAGGTTCGATTGACGTTTATGTTTTAGCTGCCAAATGACCTTGATCTTTCAGAACTTGTGGTGAATTACAAATGGTAATATGTGTATTTTTTTTGTGTGTGTGTGTTCACTGCAAAGTCTGCACATGCGTCATATCTTAGAGCTTTCCTCTAACTTTTAGTTTTATTGGTACACAGAAAATTCCGAAGGTCCAAGTCCTGAAGAAGAACTGCAAAGACTGGTTTCTCTTGCTTTAGAACAGAACCCAAAATCCCAGCGACTCAAAGAAGCTCTCGTCAAGCAGTCTTGGGATGGTACTGTTACTTCTGTTCATTTGCAGACTGTTAATGGCGATTTCAGTTGTGAATATTGTTTTCTTTGTTTTATTGCTTTTCGCAGGAGAGAAGTTCGCTGGATCAGTGGACAGGCGCATGCTAGCCAAAGACATTAGTGAAATCGTAAAGAAAATGTGACGTGTTGGAGGAACTGCTCTCAGAGTATATATAACCTCACGTATTCAGGTACTACTGAAGTCTTTGTGAAGGCGTTGAAGGATTTTCCGTTTTGGACCGTTGCCGAGAGCGAATTCGACTCTCTATACACAAAGCGGCAAAGTGAAATGATCCAATCAGAACCAGCAGAAGAGCGTAGAATGCTTTTGGCATGAGTGGGTGGATATATACACGGCCTTCGAATGGGCGCGAAAATTCGCGCGCAAAATCAAGATCCGTTTCGTTTTTGCCAGTGCGCATGATTGGTTGAGCCTTTTCTGGTCGAACCAGTGGCTCAAATACATCACCACATAAATTTATAGCTTTGAAAATTTACGAACAATTTAAAGAATTTTGCCTTATTACGTTATGTTTTACATGGAAATTCTCCTTCAATTCAGTCTAGTAGTTGGTTAGGGATCGATCAGGTAACAGATTCTCCTTACAATTTAAGGTTACTTTCTTCACATAACACAATATTCTTAGAACCAGCCAGATGAGAGAAGTGCGGTCATCAGTTGAGAGTGAAATTATTCAGTAATGATTGGATTAGCGTCTTCAATTAATTTCCATGTGATTCTTTGTGATCACTTAGATGGTTTGGTCTGAAGAAATGAATTCCCACGCTTTGATTTGCACTGCACTTGAGGGATCGGATGTTAGCTCTTCAGAATTAGAAAGGTAGGCAGACGTGTTGATAGCTAGATTCCAGCTGTAACGAGGTGTGTATTAAGCTAGACAAGGAAAGCAAGGGAAAAGATGTCGCACACATCGCTCTTGCGATGGGAAAGATCACTCTTAACAGTTTTATTCTTTGAACTCTAGAAAAGCCAAACTTTTACCGGCCCTTCGTGATATTTTTCAGACAGTGGCATCGTTTTATAGCATCAATGCCGGCTTCTTCCGGGTGATTCCTATCATATCTTCTTTGAATGATAATGAGTATATTTATCAGACAAAGAATTTCTGTATACGTTATATATATGTATACTAAAATTATTTTTATCTTCCGACACATTTGAATAGGAAATACCAAAATAAAGCGCTAATATATTTTGATGAGGTTGAAGTTTAAGACAAGCTCTCCCGTCGTTCTAGAAGTCACGGTTCTTTAACCCTCTTGAGAGTGGCTGGCTTCAAAGCTAATTTCTCCTGACAGTTTCACCCTTGAATCAAATATAAAGTCATGAGAAGAAAGGATATGATCAGCGAGATTGCTCCAGATTGTGAAAAAAAATTCTCTTTTTCACCACCTTAGGAAATGTATATAGATAACAGTAAAGAGGAAATGTATACTAATTTCAGGGTGTAAGGGGGTAAATTTCTAAAGAAACTGTGGTGCTGCGTCGGTGGGAGAGTATAGCAGGTAATTTAGTGTTAACAACTGAGTTGAAAACGTAAATTAGCCACCGTAAAGGGTAAAAAAGCTGGCGTTTCGAGCGTTAGCCCTTCGTCAGAGCGATTGGATCAGGGTGTAAAGGGTTGAGAACACTTTCGATTCTTTCGTCCCTTTCAGACAATTTTCCCTTCATGGCAACTCCATTGCGTCACTTCCTTTCGTATGACTGAAACTTTATTTATCAGTAAGAATTGACTTTTAGAAGCAAAACGCTTTTCTGTAATCTTACTCGGGCAGAGGTACTCTAATTATTTCTTGGTTAGAAACTCGTCTTATTTGTACAAAACAAAGCAAGGAGAAGGCACATGCTTTGACATAACCGCATTCATTGCTCGGGAAGGCAACGAAGTTCCTTTCCTCGTGTACCTTACTAGAGAGACATTCTTCCACTAATCGCTTCCAAGTGTGTCTGAATGCACGGAGAAAAATTGTGTCTCTAATATCCTTGAGTCTATCACAGTACCTTCATACCTGAGATTGGTATAAAAAATGCACGATTATTCCTTTTTTTTTTCTTTCTATTTTATCACGTCGATGATATTGCTCCCACGGGATAAAATTTTCGTGACATGATGTAAAGCTCTTTTAAGCTTCCTTTGTACCGTTTCGGGATGTAATCCAAGTATTCGTAAAACCGATAGATTTACGCGATCATAACATTACAGGATTTTCCGAAACTCCCTGAAGATCGACGAAAGAGAGGAGACAGAAAAACAACGGCGGTCATACCGCACAGTCATTTATTTAATTGATGGTCAATGACCAAGCCGTCTGATAATATAAAATTATTTTGACAGTTCCCCCTCCCAATAGTATTAACCCTTTAACCCCTAAGAGTGACTAGCATCTAATTTCTCCTTACAATATCACCCCTGAATCAAACATTAAGGTCATGAGAATAAAGGAAATGATCACCAACTAAGGAAGCTCTTGATTGTTAAACAAATTCTCCTTATCAATACCATAGGAGATGTATAGAGAAAAGTATGGAGAATATCCCTACTGATGTTCGTTTCATTTCATTTTATTTTTATTTAACCACGGTCAATTCATCAGCCTAAAAAATACATATCACATATGCTAGAATATTTAAAACTCAAACTATAACACTAGAAGCTGTTTTCCGTGAGTGCCGTGCGTTAGACTTAAAGAATGTCATTGATCTTACGTTTAAATACCCCCAGAGACTCTGTGTTCCTTATATCGCATGGTAGACTGTTCCATAATGTGGCGCCATTGTAGCTAAAGCTTTTTCGGTAATAATTAGTGCGCGGTAATGGAACATTGAGCTTATTTTCAGAGTCCCTGAGGTCATAAGCAGAGTCACGCCACGTAAACTTTGAACACAGATACTCTGGAGCTAGCCCGTGCAGACATCTAAACATCATGGTGGCTTTGTGAGGGTGTAAAGGGTTAAGAATCCAGAGTTTGTTATCAGTTTATTTTATCGATTGCCGTAGTGTGAGCACACTCCCTTGTGTAATATTGAACTCCAACGTCATTTTCATCTCTCCTGTCAAATGCATACAGCCTTCAAAATAGTAAATAATACATCTCGATTCATTCATTGAATCATTGGATAATGCAATTCAAGAGTTTTCATTGGCTTAGACATCATGGGTTATGAGCCACTATACCATGCGCACGCATGAAGACAAGTTTATCCGAAGTTATCCGAGGAGTTTAACTGTAGCTGGCATCATCTATGCAAATATGTAAAAATTATTCCACTCGCGTTTGTTGAATATGAGATGATTATGGTGAACTCGGCCCTACGGGCCTCGTTGGTTATCTATCATCTCATATCCGACGCGCGCTTGTGGAATAATTGTTAAATACTTGCAAAGACGATGCTAGCTACAGTTTTCAGGGCGCGCCTTTGCGGACGGTGTAGTTGATATAAGCATTCAAGTTCATTTGACAATTTTGCGTAATCTATCGAGTGCCTATCGTATTTCGAGTCGCACAGCGTTGAATTTGATCCGAAACTGATAGATATGGTGACTCTTAAAGTAAGGAAACAGCTTAAAATCACATGCAGTTCATAGATCTATTAATCCAGACCACACAGGACGTACCTCTATACCTCGTGTAGATACTGGGCATCATTAGCTAATCGTTAAATTATAACCAAGATAGCTTGACCACCACCCATCTATAAGTGAACCAGTGATGGTGATCTGGAACATTTGTGAGAAGAATTCTCAATCTTCTGGGTGGCTCCCTCATTGCATGGTGCTCGTTTGGGCTCTGAAGATTGTTCTTTGACAGAAGGCATCGTGAAGCTAACGGTCAAACCATCTTTAATTAGCTTAAGTGTGACACCATACGTTTTCAAATTTAGAATATTAACGTGGTAATTGTGGTTTTCTATCAGTCGCCTTTCGTTTGAGGGAGTTAGTTACTTCTAAACGCTCCGTTATCTTTGAATTTAAGCAGGGAGATACTGGAATAAGGTCCAAAGCGACATCGAACTACACATCGTTACCCTGTGAATCGTGCTGAATTCCACCAACTCCCGGAATCACAGAAAACTACTCGATCGATTTTCAAAAGACGTTCCGTCTCATCGTTTCAGACCTTGCGGTCAACGATTCCTTTCGAAGGTTTTTGTGGTTAAGCATATTTTGTTAACAACGGAAGCCAAACATTACTTTTTTCCGCAATTTACGCATTCTCACATAATAAAAAGGGTTTAGTGGTTGGACATATTTTGTTTGAGAAAGGAAGCGAAACAGTACTTATTCCCCAATTTAAGAATTGATGCGGTAAAGAGTTTCAATGATCAGGCATAATTTGTTTAACAACGGAAGCCACAACGCACTTATTCTGCAATTTGCCCATTCATTGATGATTAAGAAATGATTTAAAAAAACCACAACTTATACAATTGATTACTCACAAACCAGCGTACAAATTTCCCCCTTCTTCTTATCACACACTTAATATCCTTTATTTCTGGCGACCAAAACTGTATCCCATCGTATTGTTTGCCGGTTGAAATCAATTTGTGCAAATTTAAATTTTTTCAAAAGATTTATGAACCCCCCCCCTGACTCTAAGGGTAATTATTCCTGTTAGATCATTCGCGCATTCCTCTGTCAAAAAGCATGCTTGTTCTGTAAACAACCCTCCTTAGCTAAAACAATTCATCGGCTTCCGCGCGGGTTTTATCGAAAATAAGCAAGTTCGTTTTTATTTGCGTATGCTTTCATGATAATTGCATTCATGGCAGTTGTTTGCTGTTAAACTGAGATGTTTTCTAGCGTGTTTGCATGTTTTTGTTCTGACTACTCGAATTAACACCCTGTGGCTAGCACGCCACTTCTCTCATTAATATTTCAAGGGTTTTACCAAACATCACCGACTCCCACGGCTTAATATGTTTGTGAAATATTTAATTTATTAATAGTTGCATGAGACTTATCACGCTTTTTATTTCACATTAGTCCGATGTAAAGCTTTTTTACTTCAGGCTTACTACTAATTCAGTGAAGCATGAAGCAAAGTGATCGCATGATCACTAGATTATTTTTCCCCGTTTTAAAAGTAGATTTTCGGTGAACTGAGCTCTAGCTTCACTTACTTCTCGTCTGGTGCGTGCGTGAATCAGTCTTCAGAAGTCAATATTTTCCTTTCTCGATCAATCAGAGAATATTGGAATGAAACTATTAATTTGGAGTGCATGATTGATCTTTTGCGCGGTGAGCTAGCATGCGTGACCTCTCTATGACCTGAAACGATTATGCATTTGATGTTTATTTAGCGCTAAGCTTCGGTATGTGTACCGTCTACAGCGTCGTAATTCAACTAAAGCTGTGTTGATCTGAGAATCTATCGATGGAACTTTTTTAGATTATCACTACAATCGTCACATACGTAAAACTAGGGCATCAATGAAACAAATTTCATTTAATTCTCAAGATCATTGTTTATATTATACGTTGAAGAACAAGTGAGAGTGATACCTTCGCTATTATCTTAGCGTCTCAACATTCATTTTGTTTCAAAAGATACCCGAAAGAATAGAAGTGTTAAACATACAAAAATATCGCAGCAAGCGCATCTTCAATGTTGACACTTGTTGTGTTAATTGCTTCTTTGCCCTTCTTAGTCTTTGACGTTCAAGTCTAAAAATATGGCAAATATCACACATGTACCTCTAAGGGTGTAGTTGGCAACGACACAAAAAGATCAGTCTGATACGTGTTGTTTTAATTGCTGACGACCTCCATGTCCTCTTCGTCGACTGTATCAGAATTTGAACTTCCAACGGAGTTCGGTACACGTTTACGAATCCTCCCATTCATTGTTTCGCCACCTAAGTCCTTAGCCTTGTGACCACTCTTGTGGCGTCCTCGATGCTGCTTGTGCTGTACTAGAGACTCCAACTGATCTGTTAAAACCGCTAACTTGTTGAAGGTAGCATGGTCGTGCTCCAGCGAAAGCATTTCTCGCTCGAGATGTAAGCTTTCGCGCAGCATCGCTGCTTCTTCTTTTAACGCGTCAATTTCGCGTTGAGACTCACGCTCGCGCCTCTGAAAGAGCGTTTCCAGAGTGATCTTATCCGCCAGTAGCTTGTCGTATCTGTATGCCCATTCTTTAGCACCGTTGGTCTCACTGAGTGACTCGTCTTCTTGGTTGGAAGGCCTTCGTAATTGAAGTTTCCTCTCCAGCTTCGCCACTTGGTCCATCAGTGCTGTAATCTGCTCCTTGTAAAACGTTTCCTTGTTGTTGAACATCTCATCCCGACGTGATCTTTCTAACAACAACTCTTTGATTTCGGTGGACATTTGAGCGATTTTACAATCTTGCAATGCAAGCTGCTCTCTGTAAGTATTTTCCATCACGCCTGTTTCTTTCGCTTTCTCCCCTTTGTCGCAAAGCTTCTTCTCCGCACTCTCAAGCTTTTGCCTCAAATCTCTCATGCAATCGTGCGTCGGGATATCGTTTAGATCCAGATCTGTCCCACATCCCCCCGGACACAGTAGTGTTTTCTTTTCGTATCGCCTTATATCTTTCAAAGACAGTTTTCTACCGCATTGCTTCACATTGGCATCTGTGGATTGCGGAGGGCTAATACCTGTTAGCTCTTCTGATCCATCCATGTCCGCGTTTGCTTCTATTTTAGTACAGGCCGTGTTTTTTCGGCTGACTACGAGTTGTGGAACCACTTTCCGTACCAAATCCGCTTTTCGAAGGAATCACGAATGTTTAAAATAAACCAAAACCGTTAGGTTACGAACCGTCCAGAATATTTGGTCACGACTAGTTGACCTCGAACAAGGAGATCTAAATTAATGTTAAGTCGTTCATAGTATCTGTTTAACCGAGTGTAGTTATATCCCTTTAATGAGGGTAATAATTCCGATTCTATTCCTTTGTGCAGACCAAATTCCAACCTTGCTGCTCCTCAAAATGGCTCCAGCCGCCTGCTTTTCATTAAACTGAACAACACGTTTACTGTAATCGATTATTTTCGCTTTCTCTTTCGAGAGCCTGCTTTTGTGTCGTCTACCACCAATTGATATAGTGCCTCGATCGTTCCCGCCCTCGCACTTCAAGCTGTCTCGTCTTCGAGTTGATGACGAATTTTTAGAAGGGTCTTTGTTCTCGTAGCCTAGTAAAACGGCTTTGCCATGGAGACAGCTTTTCTTGGGACGTGAATCAAGATGCGTTGCTTTAAACGACCAAAACGACGTTCTGTCCAACCGCGCAAACAAAGAGCGGTCTCGATTGGAAATTTAAGACGAAGTGTTGTTCTCTATGACATAAGGGAATGATAATTTTACATGTCTTGCTGTTGTTTTGACGGAATTGATTGAAGGTCAACGGGTGAAAACTCACGTAATGCAAAGGAATGTTAACACATTGTGTTAGGTAGCCAAAATATGCCATTTACTCGCCGTCATTTTTGCGCAAGATAGAGTTTCATAGAAGGTCCTTGAAACAAAAGCAATCGCTCCGAAATAAAAATAAATCTATTAGGCGTGTCAATTTTGTTTACTGTAAAGGAAAAAACCGCGTGTCTTGCTGAAGAAATCACATGGGTCGATAACAAGTAGAAATATTTGTACTAGTCTGGCCTTTTTGGTTGTGTGCAATTTTCACAGACTATGTGATTCTATTCGCCGGAGATTGTTGATTATCGGAGATGTCCGGAGGTTCTCGCTGTGCTTGCATAATGCCTACAAAAGCGGATCTGGAGAATGTCTACCGCCATTTGCTCTAATTACTAGTTATGAAATAGAAAGAGAAAGAAAGAAAAAAAAAAGGTATCGAATTCCGACAACAGAATACGATTGAGGATTAAACAAATTACTGATGTAGTGGATGCCCTTCCTGTCCCCTTGATACAGAGATATGGCCGTACTTTGCAATTGGAAAATTATTTTAACACTCAACAACAGGGATTGCTCGACGGGATTTAGTTGATAATATTTGATTATATTTATCTTTTTTCAGATCTTCATAAGAATGGAACTTCAAAAGTTACCATGATGAATAGTCTCCAATAATTTTTTAGGAGTGCTGCGCAGGCTCGATCCTTTGTTACTTGCGAAGCGATGCCATCGTTGAGCACCAGTTTTTTTTTTAATAACTTAGGTTCAGACGGAATTCATTCCTTAAAGTTAACCAGATATAACATTGATATAAACTTATTTACGCAACATAAGTCGAATAAAAGTATGTAGATCCTCTCAATTTTATGGCTGGGAGCAAGTGAAGGCGTAAAGTGATTTAACTTAAATAACAACGTGAGCATGAGGGGCGAACATAATGGCAGATAGCCAGATAGCAAAAGGTCATGAGCTGAGCTCACGTTTTCTTTCTCCTCGCGCTGCAAGCAAATACAACTACCTGCTCGCGAAACCAAGTTAAGGAGTATTTTCGGTAGTGAAAGGATTGCGACTATATAACATTGTGCTTCTTCAGATTAAACGAAGAGAACGCGTGGAACAGGTCACGCAAATAATAGAGGCCGGATGGCAGTAGGCGAGAATGAAACGTATATTCTCCGATATGACTCTTGCTGCGTTGCACAACTCACCCCAACCCTCTCTCCACCCTCTCTCCACCCTCTCTCCAGTAGTTGGAACTCGCACAAAACTTGAGCTGGTCCAATTTTACCAGTCGATATATCCCATAGTACTACCATTAAGTCAAGACTCGATGCGTGGTTTTACCACGAATAGGCATCTTCTAAGATTATACTTGCAAGCAAAACAGCGCAGTTTATTGTCTCCTTGACATTTCCTCCACAAATACACGTGTATTTTCCTCCATTGGCGTCCACACGTCATCTCCTCGATTGAACGGCGGTTTCTGTTGCATCCAGACACGGTACCATTCCACAGGATCCACACGCGCCGCTAATGGATCTCGTACCAAACGATGATAGTTGCGCTCATAATTGCGAAGCGTGGCTAGCACAAAAACCTTTTGTGCCACCATGTCCACAGCGTCTGAGAAAAATCTGATGGAGCAAGGAAACACCATTTAGTATAAGTAAACGATATAAGTTAACTGGAACCTCTACTAGTCTGCAGTGAGAGAAACTTTTTCTTTCTCCAGCCCAAAGTAACTGAACGTTGTCTGATTAACTCATTTGAAACCCGTGCATTTTGTAAAGTTGTAAGACCTGAGAACACGAGACATTCTAGCCTTTTTTGAGGATTCATTCGTGAAACTCTGCGAAGCAGGATTATTTTGAAAGACATTCAAAACAGAGTGGATTGTGTACCTGTTCAGATGAACACATTCTTGGCATGACGGACCATAAAGGGCAGCGTACTTCATGAATATAGCGTCGACACGCGCCACTAGATCATTATTGTACGTGCTGAAGTACTCAAGCATGTGCCTTCGCTCCTTCAATTTCTTTTTCCTCTCGGCCTCTTCAGCTGTGCCAAACACAGATGGCATGTTGCTGTAACCCCAACTAGAAATGCGGTTCTGAAGGGAACTAGTCCACTGTCCCAAGTGGCTAAATGCGTTGGAGATCATGACAAGCGGACTGCTACTTGAGTAGTCAAATGGAGCACTGCGCCACGAAGGAATCAGATTCTGGTCCCAGCTAACGAAGAATTCATCGCCATCAAGATCACCTCCCGCAGATTCGTCGGCGTGTGGTCGCCTTCCCTTCGTCGGAAACACGATGCAATCGCTGAGATATGCGTACTCTGGTTGGTTCTTGATAAGCTTTAGAACACGGATGTCACCCGGATGATAGCATGGATTTCGCACGACTATTACTTCTTCAGCCCTTTGAAAACCTTCCATTTGCTCCTCGTCAAAGAGAGTGGGTTGAAAAACGCACTGGCCATATTCGAGGGATTGGAAGGGGTCACACACACCGAACACTACCCTCGATTTTGGAACTAAAACCCGCAGTTTACATCTTGAAGTCTGTGTCACACTGGATTCATCTTCATCGGTATTTTCTTTCTGCATCTTGCGAACCTCCTTTGCACGAAGAGCTTTAAGCTGTCTTTGAAGGCGAGGATTCTCCAGTCCAAAGTCATGCAGCAAACCGAGTAATTTTTGCTCTCCTTTGATACATAGATATGACTCGGCAGATTGTCTGGCGCTACAGAGTTCTCGAAGCATGATATGGAAATTATTCTGAAGCTGTCGCAGGTAGCTGTGTTTGACTCCACTGTCGGCCAACAACATCGTAATCTGCTTATTAAGGTAGCCCATGGTGTATGGCCGGGAACACTTTACAACACCAAACGTGGTACAACTCAGGCGCACTCGCTCATCTGGAATGCTAAACTTCTTCATGGACTTGCGGAATTGAACCTGAACACCATCGTTTAACCGAGGATTAAGGACGAGGACGCCTTTAAAACCCTGGTACCTGACTTGTACCACACAAGGTTTGCTTTCAAGGTGACGGTGTACATCTTGAATTTCTTGCGCAAATGAATCTGACATAAAACCGCATCCGTCGGTGAAGATGTATTTTCCACCCTCAATGTCATCGATGACATCGTATTGGGTTTCTTGCAGAATAGTGCTTTGGTCGAACGACGAGAACAAAAGCCCAATTCTCTTGGCGCGCTTAGCGGTTGTCTTGATTTTGGAAAACTCGCCAAACTGTGCAAGCAGCTCGTAAATGCCTTCATCCGAGTCATTCAATAGAAAACAAGTTCTCTCCTTAAGTTGAGAGTTGGAGTGGCCCAGGAAGCGGTAGATCTCGCCACTAAAAAGAATATTTCTTTTTAAGATGCTTTCCGAGAAGTCTTCGTCTCTGCCTCTTTCAGGACGAAAACCCACTGTCATTAGTCTGTCGACTCCTTGCGGACCTTGCACAGACATCAGGTATTCTAGGAAAAGGTTACCTCCTCCCACTTTGTTGTACCTTATTGGCGGTCGCACCCGACCGCCGTGTATGTTAAAGTGTTTCACGTATATGGCCTTTTTTAAGTGGTCTTCGGGAGGAGTTGTTATCATCTCGGGTGGTATACAGTAGGGCTCCATCGTGATTGTTTTCTGAAAAAAATTACGGAAAAATTATGTTTAATAGCATATCACTTGTCACTTAAATAAAAAAATAAGTAATATTCCCTGCACTGTTTGGGTTTTGGCGAAATACTGGTCGCGTAATGGTTCTGCACTGTTTGGGTTTTGGGTTTTGGCGAAATACTGGTCGCGTAATGGTTCATGCACGACTAGAGCTATTTTTATTCTCAACTTTTGAATGAACTCACTAAGAAGCTCTCAAGAATGAAAAAAAATTATATACATATATATATATATATATATATATATATATATATCGTCACAAAATGTTGAAGATCTTATCGCGCGAGAGTCACTGTGAAATAAGGACCATCATTACTGCCTATTTATGATAAACACAGATTTCAGCGCAATATGAAAATGCGGTTTTGATCGTCGCGCGATTATTATCGAACAAGCGTTTGCCAAAGGGAAAACACATGTTACTCTTGACTATCACCGACTCGTGTCAAACGGGATGTACCCGTGATGCTTACATGATAATTTCACGACTTTGTCCGTGAGGCCATAATCCGTAAGTAAAGACAGGTCTTAGTTATTTGCAGAAACAGCGATAAAATTAGTCCACCACTACAATTTTGCTCGAATAGCGTATGACGCTTATCATATTTTGTAGAACTCGATTAGAGTCGGGGATAATCTTTAACCCCTCACTACTGCTATCGGTTCGGTTGTCAACTCCACTTTAGCAATTGGTCGATTGAAAAAAAGTATTTTGTAATATTTTTTTCTTGTGAAACGTCAGACCGATATGATCTTAACAGTCCGATCGTCAAGCACAGTATTCTCTGACTTGAAATTCAATTCGATTGCTAAATACAGATCACTTCAAATTTAAAATGGCTACATTTCAGAAACCAAAATACTTTCATTCAGTTTGTGAAGGCTCACAATGGTCTTCATTCGAGTTTACACCGGAGTCAATGGTTTTAGAAATTCGCAATTTTTGGCCAACACAGTTTTATTTGGCCGGTGTTGACTTTAATTTAAATACGTAAACAAAACGGCTTTTCTTTGTCTGTAGAATGACATCATGTACCTTCTCGTGTAAAATTGTTTACGCTGAAAGTAAATGTGTAGCTTGTCCTACTTCATCGACAGAGTAATTTCAAAACTGTGCTGCCTTCGCCTTGGGTTTGTTTTGAACAATTCGTGTCAGGCGAGGCAGACAAAAACAATCACATATGTACGTTTATTTTTCGACATCCCACTAGTTCATTTGTATTTATATAGTATATCCGTTGTTGGTTGAATTCAGTTGACTCACCTCTGTAATATTTCTTTGAAGAAAAGTTCCTCATAAGCTTTAAGAAATATTTCCGAAAAAAGCTCAGGCGATCTTCGTCAAAACTATCAGATGATCGTTGAGATCATTCACTGATTTGTTCTGAAGCCTCGCCAGTCAACTTCCGGCCATTTTCTAAGAAATCTGTTTCGGTCCCAGTTCATTCTCGGGTTATTGAAACTGAGCCAACATTTTAGAAGTCCATTTTCCTCTCAAGAGATTCGTAAGACTCGGAGATTAGATCTTACCTCTAGGCTAATGTTTTTATCAAATGAATAAAGGGGGTAAGTTTCTAAAGAAACTGTGGTGCTGCGTCGGTGGGAGAGTATAGCAGGTAATTTAGTGTTAACAACTGAGTTGAAAACGTAAATTGGCCATCGTAAAGGGTAAAAAAAGCTGACGTTTCGAGCATTAGCCCGTCGTCAGAGCGATTGGAGGAATTGTGGGTTGTGTGTGGGTTTATATACAGAAAGTGGAGATACGCTATTGATGGGAATATGGTGACGAGAAGACAGGAATAAATTAGTTGAATGAAAAGCGCTCGTTGATTCCGTGAGGATTAAGGGTGCCTATTTGGTAGATAAATTTTTCTTCAAGTGTTATGCGGCTTTCCGAACTGCCTAGATGTAAGGAAAGGCCGCAAACTTCCATATGCTGTTTAGAATGATTAGGGAGATTAAAGTGTCTAGCGACTGGTTTGGATGCGTGATCTGTAATCCATTACTTAACAGAAGCACTGCAACATAGAATACTAATGAAGCAAAATGTTGTTAACAATGATCCAGAACCAGTAAGATAAAGAACCAATCAGAATGAGTGTATCATTTAGCTCAACTCTTTAACCCCCAAGAGTTACTCTACATCTACTTTCTCCTTACGGTGTCTCTCCTGGATCAAACATTAAGGTCATGGGAATAAAGAAAATGATCAACAACTAAGAAGCTCTTGATTGTTAAACAAATTCTCTTGTCAGTTCCTTAGGAAATGTATACAGAACACTGTGGAGAATATGCATTTGGATGTTAGGGTGTAAAGGGTTAATATATGAACTCTCATCGACACCTTTGTCAGTAAAATGCGAGAATTTAAAAATGTACAAGTTAACCATTACGGATTAGATTGCCACGTTTTCACTCTTCTGTTTATTTTCCACCGTCGTATTTTCAGGCGAGGTTGTTAAACTGTCCGCGGAAAGAATGTTTATCCGAAAACTGTCAGAATTTCCTCTTTCAACCGTGGATCTTTGGAAATCTTTACTTCCGTAAGTATAACACAGTTGATGCTTTTTCAATAATATATGGGATACATACAGAACTAATAAAAAACGAAAAAGAACAGAATATGGAATGATTGTAGAAGTAACACTGTATCACAGGGGAACTTAATTATTCAATCAATTACTGTTAATTTTCACCTCTTTGTAAAAATAGATATTTGCGAAAAAAAATTGGATTTAACGAGCGTGCGAAACATATGTCTGATGAGTTGATGCGAGAGCAAGGAACTCCGATTTTGACAAAATGCTGTTCATAGTCTCCGGACACGAAAACTTTCTGTTGGGTAACAGAAAATTTCCAAATGTGCAGTTTTCACATGGTCAACATCGTATGAAGACTTAAAGCAGAATTATCGGGCTCCCGCTTGACAAGATATGTAAACATACTCGGGCAACTCGATACTAGTGTCGTCCCGACATTTCCTCCACAAATGATCGCGTTTTCTCTTCCATGCGCGTCCACACGTCATCTCCTGGTTGGAATGGTGGTTTCCGCATTTTCATTCGGATCAGGATGCGTCTAAAGAAATCTGGTTGTCGTGCGGATGCATCCTGGAAAAATCCACGGGGATAGTCGCGATTCAATTCCCGAACCTTAGCGAGCACTTCGTCCTTCTCCGCCAACATGTCAACGGCGTCCGAGAAAAATCTGTCGATGAAGAACAGGTGTTTTTAAGATTTTGTGAAATGCCGTAAAATACTACCCTTACTTTTTTAATGACGTTTACTTGTCTTAATTTTCTTCTTCTTTTTTTTTTTTTGCGAGACGTTTAGATTTTTTTCAGTCAAAGAGCTATGCTGGCGTCCTTGACGTGATCCGCCAAGTAAGAGATTCAGAGGTGTTATGATATGATGATGCGCACTATTATGAACTCTTGTTTAGTTTTTCTTACATACCATTAGTGACTTAACTTTACATTCTACTTGTTTAAGAGAATATCAACTCAATCAATATTCTCTTGACTTGTCTAAATGAAACCGGAAGTTAACCGAAACAAATGCGTACCTGGTCAAATAAACGCATTCACAACATGACGGTCCGTACAGAGCAGCATACTTCATGAAGACGGCGTCAACTCTTGCAACCAGATCATTATTGAAAGACGTGAAGTATTCGAGCATGTGTCTTCGCTCTTTCTCTTTTTTAGCTTTCTCGGCGTGCTCTGCTGAGCCAAACAACGATGGCATGTAATGGTGTGCCCAGCTGGTAATGAAATCTCTTAAGTAACTAGTAAACTGATTCAAGTAGCCTTTAAACGCGTTTGGAATCGCGACGAGTGGACTGTTACACGAGTATTTAAAGGGAGCACTGCGCCATGGAGGAATCAGATCCTGATCCCAACTCACGAAGAATTCATCGCCATCAAGATCCCCTCCTGAAGATTCGTCGGCGTGCGGTCGGTTCCCTCTTGTAGGGAACACGATGCAATCACTGAGATACTCGTATTTTCGGAGGTTTTTCACGAGTTTCAATACACGGATGTCACCTGGATGATAACAGGGATTCCGAACAATCATCACTTCTTGAGCCGCTTGAAACTCTGCAATTTGCACCTCGTCATAAAGAGTTGGTTGAAAAACGCACTGGCCGTACTCAAGGTCGTCAAATGGATCGCATGTACCGAACACTACCCTTGAATTTGGAACAAGAACCCTCAGCTTACATTTTGAACCATTTGTTTGACTGGTGTCGTCGTTTCCATCCTTAGGGGATTCTTTCTGCATTTTGCGAATTTCCTTATTACGAAGACTTTTGAGTTCCCTTTGTAAGCTGTCACTTTTCAAACCATCGTCGTGCAACCAATTGAGAAATTTGTGCTCACCTTTGATACGCAGGTAGAATTCGGCGGTTTGTTCACTGCCCAAGACCTCTCTGAGCAATGCGTGATAATCATTCTGCAGCCCAGTTAGGTAGCTGTGCTTAACTCCGCTGTCCGCCAACAGCATCGTAATCTGCTTGTTAAGGTAGCCAATGGTGTATGGCCGGGAACACTTTACGACACCAAACGTGGTACAAGTTCGGCGCATCTGCTCATCCGGAATAGCAAATTTCCTCATGGACTTACGAAACTGTACCTTTACGCCACCGTCTAGCTGGGAATTGAGGAGCAAGACACCTTTAAAGCCTTGGTACCTGACTTGTACCACACAAGGTTTGCTTTCAAGGTGTTGTACATCTTGTATTTCTTGCGCGAATGAATCTGACATATAACCACATCCATCGGTAAAAATATAATTTCCGCGCTCGATGTCGTTGATAACATCGTACTGGTGTTCTTCCAGAGTTATGCTTTGACTGAAAGACGAAAATAACAGTCCAATTCTCTTTGCACGCTTGGCGGTTGATTTGATCTGGGAAAACTTGCCAAACTCCGCGAGCAGCTCGTAAATGTGCTCATCCGAGTCGTTCATTAGAAAACAAGTTCTCTCCTTAAGTTGAGAGTTGGAATGGCCGAGGAATCGATAAACCTCGCCGCTAAAAAGAATGCCTCTTTTTAGGATCCTTTCTGAGCAGTCAGTTTCCGCCCCTCTTTCAGGACGAAAGCCTACTGTCATTAGCCTGTCGACCACTTGTGGACCTTGCACAGACATGAGGTATTCCAGGAAAAGGTTGCCACCTTCCATCTTGTTGTACTTCATAGGCGGTCGCACCCGATTTCCTTGTATGTCAAAGTGTTTCACGTATTTGACCGTTTGTAAGTGGTCTTTAGGAGGTATTGTTATCATATCATCTGGTATACCGTATGGGTCCATCGTTTGGATTTTCTAGCGGAAGAATAAGAATTTATGATCATTTCCTCTATTTTTCAGGTCTGTCCGGGAACTTGTAGTCCCATGTCGCAAAGTATGTCAAAAAGACTGGACAGCTTGGTCATGTTTTGCTTTTAAAGTAGATCGCAATTATTAGGCTTTCATACGCTACTTTCGCTAAGTGAGGCTAGCATCTCGCTTATTCTTGCCCCAGGTAGGCCGCAAAATTGTTGTGAAATAGTTCATCAATTCGCTACATGTCAATCCGTCCTCGTGATTTTTTGCCTAAAGGAAAGATACTAACACGTACATGCAGTCGAACGAAGAACTTGGAACTACTTTTAACTCCCTTCTTTCTTTCTTTTCTTTCATCTCTAAAGACGCCCTTTCAAGACGCCGGTGAATCAAAAAAATTTAATTCCCTGTTTAAGGCTCAAGGCCCCAAAACCATTCCCTGTTCGGTCCTGTCTGGCGACACACACCGCAGTTAGCGCCAGATAAAGGAGTTTTCCTCCCCTTCCCCTCCCCTGCAGGGTTTGCTGGTGTATACTTCTTGTTGTTGTCTGATTTATGCAGAAGAGGCAAAATGTAAACTAACATGTCAGCGAAAATTGTAATGTATACAAATTTCAATGAGGTTTAACGCAGAACTCAACAGCTAATTTTGACAAAACTAGTACAAATTTACAGAACGGAATAGAGGCAGTTTGTTCGACGATTGTAGCTCGGCGTTCAAAATGTGATCACTGAAAGATGTTAGGTTTCATCTTTGGTTCGTCCACTGCAACAATTTTCCTCTTTCGATTTCCGCTTTTTCGTATTCCGGTGTTGCCGTCCGATATGATGTTTCACAAAAGCCTTGTAATTTATTTTGACGAGTGATTTTCTTTTTGTATCAGCTCCACTAAGTCAACAATTTTGTCCTTGTGTTGTGACTGAACTGCTCAAACATCCGCTTCAGTTGTTCGTCGCATGTCGTTTCGCAGATGTTGCTGATAGTGACAAACTACTTCGCCGGACAATTTTGATGATAATAGCAATGCTATGTCTTTTAAAAACAATTTTATAGTTCTCCGATGATTTTCTTCTGCCGGGAGTTAGTAATGGATGGCATTTCGAACCTTAAAAGCTAAATCTCCTAGTTACGAAATTCAGACATTTATTTCCGGATATTCCCATGCGAATCCGCTTTAATTTTCCTTACCTGCCCTTCGGGATCTTTCTCGCAGGTAGACTTTCCCAAATTTTCAGCTAGTTTAGTTCCCAGCTAACTTTCAGAGCAATATTTTGTGGATAGTAGCTCGGCATATACCAGACACCAAATTGGACATGCATGGAGTAACGCACTAAATGCATGCAGATCATTGGAGCATTCAAAACCTTCTCAGAAGTCTTTTTTGACTTCCGGTCGTTTTCTGAGAATTCCAAATTTCCAAATTTGCCCCAATAAATACCCCTCGCACATGTGTCATGGTGACCGTCTCCGATTAAAACACCACCTTGTCTGAACAGTGAAAAACTTAGATCTGTTTTTAATGCAAACAGTGTTCTATTATAATTTTGGCCGTGGAAAGTCTTGCTCCTCAGTTTTGTGTCTGCTGTTTATCTTGGCAATTTTTCCACGTTCAGAAAAGAAATATTTATTCGGAAATGTTAAAATGTGTTAAATACTGAAAGTATAAGTTAGCAGACTTATTTCTTATATTTTGTTAGTGTGTTTCAGATCCCACAAGAAAAGAAGGTCGTAAACAATAGAAGTACGATTAGAACACAACCACTCGGGCTGATTAACGCAAACAAGGATTTCGCTGCCAAGATTTTGTTCACTATCGATTGAAAATTTGAAGTTAAACTTTAACACAAATGAGTCAAACTAAGGTAAACCTCAACTGACAGCAGTTTTCACGAGCTGATCTGTTCTGTTCTGCTCTAGGCTTTCCTTCTTTCAAAGTAGTCGCCATCCTTATTTTAAATGGACTTTCTTCAGTGTTCCGATCCCAAAACTCCCCACTGATTAATTCGTTTTCATTTTGAAGTTCGATAAATTGTTACCCTCTATTTTTCTGGCAATGTGATGCTTTGAAATGTGATGCTTCGAATTTCTCTTGACAAAAAAATTCACCGTTTTTAGCTAGGAAGTTTTTTTCTATGGACTTCATTCGTCTTGCATGGGGAAGGTTGAGGCAAAAGAGGCACCGTGAAAAGCGCGGTCAAATCTTCGCGACTTCGCCATTAACACCAATTACCACTGTACGTCTCATCAAAAACTGTTTAATTCAAACATTGTTCAGGTTTACATGCTGTTATGATTATGCTCAGTTCCCACCGCCCGCATATAACTCTGAAATCGGAATATTTGTTTCCCTACCTAGTTCACGAATTAAGGCAATAACATCACTTAAATGCATATTTAGTTTTCAATTTTACAATAATACCAGCTTTGCAAAGCAATTGATAAAGATAACATGGCTATACGTAACATTTTTTTTCTACATTGCAATGAATTTAATATTGAAAAGGGTTAAACACTCCAATATCACTCGCTTGCCGCTTTACAAAGACGTCACGCTAGCCTTTTATTTTAAAAGTTACGTGAAAATAAGCCTGACAACCAGAAAACACCTGCTAGGGCGATAACACAAAACACAACAGGCTTCATTTGTACGATTAATCGGCGCACTCAAAGCCAATAAAAGTTAACACAAGTCTCTTATTTATACATGCACTTTTCACCGATGATACTAAATACGAAAGTAAAAGGACAAAAAAAAAATCGAGCTGAAAAATTCTTTCAGTTTAGCCGATAAAAACTATACAAAATCTAAAGCAAATTCCAAAATAGTCCTATATTAGCATATGATTCAAAACAACGAATATGCTTCAAAAAAGGGAAAGGGAGTTCGCCCTTGGTGATGAATCTTGTATAAATAAAAATTATATGTGGAAAATTATCAACAGGAATACTCTCGTACACACTCTTTTCCAAATATCGTAACTGGTATGTACAGAAAGGTAACAATTATGATAAGTGATTGCGAGATGAAGTTTCGTTTTCATAAGAAATATTACCTAAGAGTTTGCCTGTTGTCGATTTTCAATCTATAAACTAACTATTATCAGTCCATGTTTAAGCTGTGCTGGATGTCAGGAGTTCTTGTGAACCAAGCGTCAGAAGGCGGGAAAGAAAAAGTATCTAAACTTCCAAAAAGTGTTTTTTAAAGTGATGTTCTATGAGGTAACGCACATTCCCAACTTTGGGTTTTTAAAGTTTTTATCTTTTTTGTTCCACTCAGACCGCTAGATATCAATAGGTGGTATAAAAAGCTACTGCTCTCTTTCTCACGTGGGCCTAAGCTTCGCTCTTCTTTGTTTCAAATTGCATTCGCTCGAAGAACTCTTTTGCCTTACTGTCGATTCTCCTCATTATTTCATTCACAGATTCTTTCTCGCTCATGGCAAACACGCACGATAGCCTGTTAGGTAGTGAATTCGAGGGCAATTCCGAACTTGTCGGTTGTTCCGTTTCTTCAAGTTGCTTTTCGAGATCATTTGCATCTTTGGTGAAATTGGTGGCTTGGTATAACATCTTACTAAGGTGTCGGCATTCTTTCGATGATGGGCCGTTGCCAGTTGCATATTTCATGTATTCTCGTTCAATCTTAATCTGTGTTTCATCAGAGTATGTAGCAAAGTACTGCATCATTTCTTCACGATGTTTCACCTCTTTGCCATTGTCATTTTTCTTGAATTTCTCAGTTACCTTTGCGAGCGATTTAGACGAAGTTCGACGAATTGTAGCTCCCTTTGTGGGCGAGTAGTCGCATGGTTTCTCGTTGCCACTTGGAATGATTTTCTTATCCCAGCAAACGAAGAACTTCTCTCCACTCAAGTCGCCGCCGGAACATTCAAAGGCATGAGGACGTGGACCTCTGGCGGGCAGCACCAGGCAGTCCTTCAAGTTCTCGTACCCTTCGCGATCATTCGTCAATTTCAACACGCGTAAATCCCCTGGGACGTAGCACGGACTGCGTGTCACCAAAAACTTTTGGCCGTCAGAGAAATTCCTTGCTTCTTCACTCGGGGTAGTAGGGTTGAAATAACATTCACCATACTTCAGCTTGTGTAGAGGATCGCTCACTGCAAACACCACGCGGGATTTGGGAACAAGTACTCTTGTGTAGGCAGCCATTCCCATCTCGTCTAGCTCTTGCTTTTGTAACAATTTCAGGCGATTTCTCACACCACTGTCGATTCCATTCTCTTGAATTTCCTGCAGAAGTCGAAATTCTCCTTTGAAGGAAAGGAAGTATTCTGCGGTTTCTTTGCACATGTTTTCCACTAGTTCATGGAAGCCATCTTGTAAATCTTCCAGATTCTCTGGGAACACACCACGTTCTGCCAGCAACATGACCATTCGAGAATTAAGGTAACCATTAACGTAGGGACGCGAGTGATCCACGACATCGATGAAGTTGAACGTGTGAGGCATATTCTCGTCTGGTGTGAAGAACCTCTGCATTGATTTGTGAAACTGCACCTTAACTTCTGTCAAATCATCTTTGAGACACAGCACGCCTTCGATTCCTCGATATCGTATGTGGACGGCGCTCGGCTTGTAATTCAGTTCAAAGATTTGTTGAAGTTCTGAAGCAAAGTTTGGAGACATGAAACCACATCCATCGGTGAAAGTGTACGACCTAACTACTCCACCCTTTTTATCTGGCTCGACTGTGTACTCGTCTGCTCTCAATGGCATGGTTCTGTTCAACCTTGAGAAGAGCATGCCGATTTTTCTAGCCCGCTTTGCTAAGTTTTTCTCCTCCCAAAAATTGCCAAACTTTGACAAGAGCTCATGAATTTCTTCATTAGAAGCTTTCATCATGTAACACGATTTTTCTTTCAGTTGTTTATCCGAGTGACCCAGGAAGAAGTACGAGCTTTGACGACAAAAAATCCCTCTTTCTAGCACGCTTTGGCAGAAGGCATTCGCTTCATCGACTGGTGTAATATTAAACGTCAACTTCATAAGTTTTTGATGAAAGTCGGGCCCATCGCGTTGTTTCAAGTACTCTGTCAGCAAAGTGCTTTCGAGCTTTTCATACTCAACTTTGTAATCGTCTCGATCGATCCCATGAAATTTGACGTGCAGTATGTGCGCTTCGGCTTGGTGGCCTTTTAAGGGAACATTTACATCTGACAAGTCTATGCACCGGTGGAAAGCCATCAGATTATTCAGGTTGGACCGGACGTAGTCTTGTCTTCGTTTCCTGTGAAAAAACATACCAGCACTCAATTAAGGTTATGCAAAGGCTCATTGAAATCGTTAATATTTATTAGAAGTCTGTCAGGAAAAGGGCAAGGCAAATTGGAACCTGGCCAACCACGAACACAGAAGGGGTCTGTTAACCAGTTTTGCTCCTCAGAAATGCAAAACTTCGAAACTTTATCGCCAAAATAAAAATGTACACCTCTAGCGAACTGGTAATTATGGGGTTTCAATCGAACCTATGGAATTCCCCGCATGTCAGTAATAACTAGTACCTGCTGTTTTGTTCATTAAACCGTAAAACTGCATGTTTCACGTAAGATCATAACTACAATTAGCGTTCAACTGTAAATTGGTTTTTTGTTAAACTGCCAATCCACCTGTGGGATCCTGAAATTATTCAGTGACTTAGAACAGGTTTTGCTTTGTCCAATAGGAACTTGCATTTCTGTTGATGTTGACGTTTATGAAACAGCGTCCTCATGATTTGATGTAACTGGGCGTAGTGGTGTGTTCTTTCGCTCGAGCAAATTTCATTTTGTCCTCCTGAAAAGGTTCTAAGAGCTTCCTTAATGAAAAAAATGTTATCTATAGAAGACGCTGGTTTAGGATTCGCGATTAAAGAATTTTCATATCTAGAGATCGCAAAAGAAACTCCCGGCGGTGATAGAGTCGAGAAAATAGCCACAGGAAGAACAGAAGAAAACCTCGGTTTTTGAGAGGAAGTATTACAGTTGAAATTGAAAAAGCACAGGTCGAGGAAAAGTTACTAAAAAGCGCCGAAACTATAATAAAAATCACTCAAAACAGAAAAAAGTACCTGGAGGATTCCCCTTTTATTTGGTAGCTTGCGTGACCTTTTTCTTAATGAATTTTTATGATCAGTAATACTTTCAATGAAAAAACCATGAAAATTTACCGAAGATTTAAAAATAAAGCTGAGGAAAGCTGAGATTTTCAACATTTTATACGATGAATCTGGACTTCAGGAATACGTGCCAGATACCATCTCATAACATTCCTGCCTGTCAAAATATATTATTTGACGATCTCAGAAGCCAGCGGAATTATATGTTTTAAACATGCGACTGATAAATTGTAGTAATATTGTGTCTCGAATGCAGTAGTTAGCGTGAATACTCCCTTAATTTCAGTTGAGCTGAAACCTTTCTTCCAAACCAGTGTTTGCTGCTCTTGCAATAAATTGTACCACTCAAACGTCATTTAAACTCGATTTTCTAAGCTTTCTACCCTGTTCTACTTTCTCTTTTTAAGGGATAAGTTTCTAAAGGAACTGTGGTACTGCGTCGTTGGTCGAGGGCTAACGCTCGAAATGTCACTTTTAAGAGCTTCGTTTATGGAGACCAATTTACAGTATCAATTCAGTTGATAAAACCAAATTACTTTATTAGTAGCTTCCAGTTTGTCTCAAATTTGCCCTTGGTTGGCCGAATTAGGACCAGTGAAATATGTCAATATTTTTTTTAGCGATATTGTAGTGTTTCGTTGCTTCTTGAGACTCTATTAACCCGAAGTTTCTTCTTAAGTTTGAAAATGATTGTCCTCGCCATAACACCTACTTGATGTTTGAGCAGTAAGTTGTGTGTACCGGTAAGTTAAACTTGAATATGAAGAACGATGCAAAGAATATGTCTATTGATATTGGTATAGGTGCGGAAAGGGCGCAACTGTTTGAGTAGCCTGCAGAGCAGGCGTAATTTTGGCGAGCGAGTGCTCAGTAATTTCATAACGAAAATTATAGCCGCCATCTTTAGTTCTAATGACAGCGAAAGGCTGGGGAGAGAAATAAATTTGTACCAAGGGGGCGATCCACGGTCAAAAATGAAGAGGGCAGGAGGGGTGGGGGAGCCCTTTCCCCCGCCCCCTACCCCCACCGTCCACTCTAACTGCAAATCAAACATAGCCGGTCGGATAAACGATCGCGAGCTTATAACGTTAGCTCGCACTCATAAGACGCCTGCAGGCTACTGTTTGAGGAAAAAAAATATGTATGAAGACATCAAAACTGAAACTTTTCGATTGCGTTTTTTTTCTGTCAGTACAGATGACTCGTAGATAAAAATTCGATCTCTTAGAGCGAGGGATTATTTCAAGTCGAACTATCCAAAATTTCCCATTGCCAATTTGGTAAACAAAGAACCTTGGGGAAATCATGTGCATAGCACGCTTTAGAGAGAGGATGTGTACCAGATTTCACGCACTCATTTCATTCGTCAGCCGGAATCTTTTAACCTCATCGTAAGGAAGAGTGATGTTTTACTTTACAGTTATAAAATCAATTTCCCAAACCTTGAACCACTTCGTTGCCCATTGCATCAAAATCAGGGCAAAATTTCAATTTTTAAACCAAATAAATTTCGAAATACTTTAAAAAGTAACACGAAAATAAAGTTTTCGTGTTATATAAGCCATGAACATCACGCAACAAGTGATGATAACAAAATGGCACGAAAATGAGTGGTCATATGCACAACACGCTTCCGAGCTAAAATTACATAACAGAGATAAAAAAATTTTTTCGGAAGAACGATGTTTCCACTATCACGTTTTTATAATATTGAAGATTTGTCTCAAAAGGTTTAAGTTTATGATCTATAAGCCGAGTAAAACCTCTCAGGCTTTCGTTAATCTCATCCCAACATGGGCCTGTTATTGCCTGTTTGTTTTGTTTGAACAAAGCTAAAATCGACAGATCAGCAGGCAACTTTCTGAATTTGATCTGTTCTTTGCCAACACGACTGCATAATTTTCTTTAATTTGATCTGTTCTCTTCAACATGGCTGCATAATCTAGCTTTGTGGCGTCAAACCATTTGTTTCTACCTTTCGTTATATCACCGAGAAATACTAATAACCGGGTCTGCATTTTCCACGTCTTACTAGAGCGAAGCTATGTGGTATTCTATCATTACGTAACCCACATTTGTTAACTCAATGCAATTGTCCATGTTAGTGACACATACGCAGTAATCCACTTCACAGGAAGATGATAGAAGAAAATTATTTAATTTAAAACGGAAGAGAGCGAATCACAAGACCGAGAGGTTGATAGGTTACTCGGATGTAATCTCTCATCTTTTAAACTTAAAAAACATCGCAACTATCATTTATTTTCTATCAGTTGATCTAAACATTTATCATTGTCGAGTCAAGGGCAAATTCCGAAAAAACTTGTGGCAGGATTTGCTCCAAAGAACCGTTTTCTACCTATGCATTTCAACACAAATAGTCGTAATTTATAATAGACTTAATCAAATGTCAATCGAAACTGAATTTTTAACTTCATCGTTATCAGTAATCTGGCTCACTTACTGCTGTTGTGATCTGAAACAATATGATTACTTGCCTTAGAGTCGTTTGTCTTTGTTCTTAGACAGTTGTTCTGGAAGCTGCATTGTCAACGAACTGAATCACAACAGAGACAAACTCCAATTGACCATCACGAGGATCGGTTATAATCAAAGGTCTATTAATTTGAAAAATTATTAGAATTATTTTAATACTCTTGTAGATGTAATATGAAAACGAAACAAGTTTTAAGAACAGTAATCATATGATCATCAGACACTTAGGAGACGAATGGAACAGTGCAAACGGAATAAATAATTTCTGGCTCTGTGATAAGACGCTTACGTTTGACAAATTTGGTGTTATGTCCGCTTCTGACACGATAATAAAGCGAACGTTTTGCTCTTTCGAAAGGAAGTTAGCCGAGAGTTTTAAAATTGTAAATATTTTTCTCTGAATGGGAGAATTCATTTATATTTTATGAAAATGTTTGGCGGCTTGTACAGATAAATACGTTCCCTAACAATTCATAAACGATGTATTGTTTTCAAAGTGCTTTTGTCGAGAAAATTGCGTTGTCATCACTCTCACGGTTTGCTGTACCACCGCGTTTTTTGTACTCATACATGAAATATTGATAAAATATATTAACAAATTCTGATCCTTCCAAAAAAACTCATCTACGCCGACGAAATTCTCCCGATCGCAACACAACAGAACTCTGACAAACAAAAAGGTGAACTATGAACAAACAGGTATGTTGTGTGGATTGATCAGCAATTGAAATTACATTTCTAAGGAGAACCGAAAACTTCGTAAGTCTTCTCTTTAATTTTCCTTAGACAGCGAACTTTTCAAATAATCCTACAGTGTGATTATCCTCATTTCTTACCTTACATAAAAATCTTAAGTCCTCTTAACCATCTATGGACGTATCGTCAAAGCCCAGTAATGTTTTTAGTTTCTGGGACCTTTGTCCAACTGTCCTTTGTGAAAGGTTCAAGTTCACTTGGTGTCTATTATAGCCAAATGACGTCAACGACAACAAAACCTTCCTTTTTGGTGTTCCCCAGGCTCCCTGTATAAGGTTGTCCACGGCCGTGACCGCGCCTGGGTACGAGACTGTGGTGTCAACCCGTCTGTTTAGGCATTTGGTAGTTTTCAAGTTCTTTGCTTATCATCGATTTTATCAATCACCATTTTGTCTTGCTAGTGTCTGGAGCCTTTGCTTATGACGTCCACGGAGCGCTCGCTCTTGGAAATTTCCGCTCATTTAAAAAAGGAACAAACCTTAGAGCAGTCGGCCAAAGTTTGATGATTTATATTTAAATATTATACTTTTGATAAATGCTGACAATTATTTGAAATAAAACATAACGCCTTTTTTTATTTACTACATCCCCCTAACAAATATCAGTGTTCTATTTTCGGCTCACATGTCGAACCTAAAGATCTAGCATCCCTACGCAGTTTCCTCCGACAAGGCTACGCTATACTTGAGAAACAAAAGCGCTGACTATCTATGTGGATGTCTCATTTATATCATGTCTATCACTATTGGGGTAACCCTTTGTGATGTTAAGTAATGTAGTTCTATTTCAAAGCAAAGTTGATTTGTTTTCTACGCATGTCTTTACCGCTGACATCTGACGTGGCAAATTTCGGCTCCAGCGTGTCATTACTGATCCTTACTTTGATATAGTAAAACCTCTTGAAATTTTTGCTCAATCCTGTCGTAACGACAGGAAAATTTAATATCAAAACAACAGTCGAATACTTTAAAGAGAAAACGGTGAATCCTTACAAACGCTAAAGCCAACTCATTTGTCTAAATTAATGTTTTGTCATACAAAGAGATATTCGTTTTATTGCACACTCATTTTAAGACATTACTATCGATTTTTTCGACGAGTGAGGTTATAATATCCAGCAAGAAATTCCTATGTATACTGTCTTTAAAACCCTATGATAGAAAGTAAGGAAACTTTCAACAGTTCAGAGTATATCTTTTACGTTAATTGTAGAGTTAGATGATGATAGGCCGAGTAGAAACTGTTGCGTGACCATTCAGCGACGGTGTATGCGTGACCATCCAACAAAGGTGTAAGCACAGCAAGTTCATATCTGTATAGGACACGCTGGAAAATTATAGTTTCGACCACTAACGCAACTTCTTTTTTCTCAAAAAATAGTTTTGCAAGAAAAAAAGGTATGGCAATGTATTGTCAAGAGTAGTTATGATTGGGTCGCTATAACAAGTAAACGGCTATTATGAGCCACCTCCAATGAAGTGGATGTCGAAAACTGCCGTCATTAACTCTCCCTGAAATTTACACGACGATCTTCCTCATTTCACGCTGCATACGGTGAACAAATTCCTTGGCTTTGTCGTCAATATTTTGCCATATTTTGATACCACGGTGACAGGAATCTCCTGCGCTACCTTCGCATGCAGTCGTCGCGGACATTGTGTTGTGTCTGAGTGACTGCCGCTCCTCGAAATCCTCTTCATCGAGTGATGAATCCAAACTTGCCGCTAAACTTGTAGACCGACTTCCGGTAAGGCTCACTTGCCTTCTTGACGGTCCACTGATTGTGCTTAGCTCATGCTCTATCTCCGGATTTTCATATGCATGCTGTAGCTCGTGGTCAATTGGTAGACCTGTGCTCTTTCCTGAGGGTATCTTAGGCTTTATGCTGTTGAGCTCTTCCTGCAAATCCTGAAGATCCTCTCCAGGGATGGTAACTTGGTACAACATCTTGCTGAGATGTCGGAATTCTTTTGATGAGAGGCTCGATGTCGTTGCACATTGCAAGTATGCCTGTTCGATCTCTTTGCTTATTTGATCAGAATATGTGGCAAAATACAGCTCCATTTCCTTTCTGTCTTCCACTCTTTTGCTTGGGTTGGTTCTCTTGAATTTCGAGGTAACTTTGGAGACAGAGTGAGCCACAGCTGCGGAAATTTTAGCTTTAACGGAGGGCGAATAGTTGCATGGTTTCTCTTTTCCACTCGGAAGGATGCTTTGATCCCAGCTGACGAAGAATTTTTTTCCGCTCAGGTCACCTCCGAAACATTCAAACGCATGGGGGCGTGGGCCTTTGACGGGCAACACCAGACAATCCTTCAGTTTCTCGTACCCTTTTCTTTTGTCAGTCATTTTCAACACACGCACATCTCCTGGATGATAACATTGGCTTCGCATCACTACAAACTTCTGGCCGGCAGTAAAATCTCGTGCCTTGTTACCAGGAAGAGTGGGATTGAAGTAGCACTCACCATAGTTCAACTTGTTGAGAGGATCACACACAGCAAATACTTCGCGAGATTTGGGGACAAGAACTCTTGTGTACGTAGCTTTCTCCATTTCTTCCAGCTCGCGCTTCTGTAAACGCTTAAGTTCCCTTTTTGTGCGACCGTCAATTCCGTTGTCTTGGATTTCTTGCAAAAGATAAATTTCCCCCTTTAACATTAGGAAGTACTCAGAGTCAGAGGTTCCTTTGTTTATGCCTTCCAACAACTCATGGTAGTCATCTTGTAAGGCCTCAAGACTCTGGGCAGAAACACCACGTTCTTCAAGCAACATGATCATTCGAGAGTTAAAATAACCATTGGTGAATGGGCGTGAATAACCGATAACATTGACGATGTTAAAAACGTCAGGCTCTTTCTTATCAGGGTCCAGGAACTTTTGCATTGATTTGTGGAACTGCACTTTAATGCCACTCAGATCTTCTTTAAGAATTAGCATCCCCTCGATGCCTCGATAGCGTATGTGGACGGCGCTAGGCTGGTAGTCAAGATCTAAGACTTGTTGCACTTCGGAAGCGAATCTTAAAGACATGAAACCACATCCATCGGTGAAAGTGTGCGAGGGGAAAACTCCACCTGTCACATCTGGTTCGACCTTGAAATAATTTTCATCTAAGTGGACAGTTTTTATTAATGGTGAAAAGAGCATGGCGATTTTGCTGGCACGCTTTGCCACGTTTTTCTCACCAGAAAAGTCTCCAAACTTTGACAAGAGGTCGTGGATTTCTTCATGTGTTGCTGCGATAAAGTAACAAGATTTTTTGGCAAGCTGCTCATCCGAGTGACCAAGGTAGATGTATGGGCGCTGACGACAAAATATCCCCCTTTCCAAAACGCTTCGGCAGAAGTTATTCGCAACTTCGACAGGCGTGATATTAAAAGTCAGCTTCATGAGATTTTCGTGAAAGTCAGGCCCATCACGTTGTCTCAGGTATTCTGTCAGCATGGTGCTTTTGAGCTTTTCATACTCAACGTTATAGTCCTTTTTACCATTGCCATGGAATTGTACATGAATTAGGAGGGCATCATCTCTGGTGGTCTCTGCTAGCCTAGGAGCGTCTGGCACGTCTATGCAGAAATTAAAGGCCATTTGATGTATTTTATAGACTGACAGAGCTTGGAAATCTTCGACTCTATTTCCTATAATGAAAAAGATTCAAAACTTGAATGAACGAATACACTTACAAAAATTGTGAGCGCCGCTGAGATACCCCGAAACACTCAGACAGTAGGCTCATTTCAGGAAAGGGCCGTGCGTGTCATAGAATATAATAGTCTTTCCTTGTTATTAACTCAAGTATGTATGCCCTCTTCAAGACGAGGAGTAGTTAAATCAATACCCGGCCCGTTATACAACGATTCTTCATATCAATACCATTGAGGAATTATCAATTTATCATATCATGTAACATTGCTAAATTGGACGATGTTTGTATACTAACTTAAACACCCTGTTTTGAAATTTTAAATTAAGCCGTGGGATTTTACATTTTCATCCAGTTGAAGTAAGTCTGGTGAGGTGCTCTAAAGGAATTCGTGTCACACTCTAGTTGAGATGAACTAAGATAGATGTAAAACAGATGTGCGGAACACGATCAGTCAACAGGGCTGGAACTTGATGCTCGGCAATAAAATCTACAAAAAAGATTATTCCAAACCGATAATGATAGTAATTGATTAATTTCAGTAGCTGATTATTTTGTCCCTTACCCTACTTTTCTAAACTTCTGTTCACCAGGTACACACGTTTAAATCCAAACCTTCTCCAGAGTTATTATGAACTCAGTTCAGGTGCCTCGTGAGTACATTAGTTTAATTTACATACCGCTTAAGGTTAAAAACGGCAGTGACATTCCCCTTCAGGCAGCTCATGCTATACGGAAGTTGAATGCAGCAAGTGCACATCTACTTAGGCTTCAAGCTGTACAGAACTTGGCCACCCGAATCATCAGCAACACCAGGAAGTTCGATAACGTAACCCCAATCTTAATAGATTTACGCTGGCTTTCAGTCAAATCACAGCTATACTATCGCAATGCTTTACTCGCATTCTAAAGCATGTCTTGTCTAACGCCCCCTTACCTTGCCTCGCTTTTCTTAAAGCGAAGAGAGGCAAGTGTCGGGAAAAAAATATGTGATGCTAAACTTGATTATTTTGTGATTAAATATTAATTAGAAATTGACATTTGTAACGCAAAGAAGTTAGATTTCGTGACCTTAGATTTCATAATAATGTAGACGAAGTCCGAGTATATTTATGATATAAAAAGATGGGATCAATATCTATAACTGTATGCATTTTCTTAGGCTAAATGAGGTGAAAGAACGTGCGATTTTTGTAATAGTTACTTAATTTAGATACATTACAATGAGAACTTTTACTGTACATGTGATTAATGTAAAAATACTGCCTTAAGCAAGGATAGTGGTAAGTGGTCGCGTCACTCGAAATTCCCACCTTCTTAAGGTTCCATGTTTTAAAAGCGCTACAAGACAAAGGACCTTTTTATATCGGACAGTTTCTTTATTGAATGATTTAGACGATACTTTTCAGTTATGTGAATCTGTTTTTATTTTTAAAAGAAAATAAGAAATAAACTCTTGCGTGAATTTTTAACTCCTTAACACATTTTAACGTATTTTATTGTAATTTTATGGCGATTGTATTCCAATTTTATCTTATTCATTTTAGTTTTAGATGATTAACACCGAAACCCCCTCTATAGAGTGTTAATAACGTTTGTATTGTATTGTATACTAATTTTTGCCTCAGCAATTGTTGTAAACGTTGCAAGATATTTGGTAGAACCAATGCGGATGTACCATGCAGAAGGCATATTATTGACTCAGCAGGGGGTGTGCGCACTCTGATTACGTTGCATCATGGTCGTAAAACGAAAAGCGAGTCATTCGCATCATGTGGCGGTCGAGTGAACATCTTTGGTGGCAGCTAGATAGCGTTATTAAATGAGGAATGTAATGGGGATTCAGTGTCTGTTGCCGTTCATTCGAAAGTTAAAAAGTGTTTGCGGAACAAAGCGACTTCTATTATTCCTCTGTGACAAATTTGTTGTTAGGAAGCAACTGAAGAGATTCAGAATGAATCCAAACTGCAGTCTTGCTCAAGAATCTATTCATTTGGTAACAGTTACACTCAAATCCGATGGCTGTATGAATGATATCAAATTCGCGAGTTATTTAACGGGGAGTCGACCCTCGACATGCAAACGCATTACAAAGAGACAGCGACATTCTGATACACGGATTATTTTTCATGTCATAGACTTTAAAGCTTAAATACGGGATTCGCGAGAGGAGAAGCCTTACGCCTCCTAAGACCAAATTCGTCACGCTCAACGTTTAATGAGAAACGTATAGAGTTTCAAATATGCTTAAAGAATAGAGAATACCTAGAATAGGGTTTTAAGAAACGGATCTCTGGAATTGTTTTCTGCGGGAGAGACAGTATACTCGAAAACAATTAAAATAGCGCGCACACACGAAAATATTATCTTTTGTAACACAGTCTCATCCGGCTTTGCCAAACCGCAGGAACATACAGATGGGGAAATGACACCTTAAAATTAACCCTTATTTTCACATCGAAAACGAAAGTCATTAAAATATATCTTAATAATAGCCAAGCTTTCAGGTCCGAAGATTTAAAAGCGCAAGCGAATGGCAGGAGTCGCACAAGCCCATCAACACCTTTTAACGATCGACTGCCTTTTGCTTTCGGGCTTACCGACGTATCGCCGTGTGCATTATAGAGTTATTCATTGGTCAAATGAAGAGATTCATTGCTCTAATTCAACTATCCTTCTTTCAATGATCAAGATAATAGATTGATGTTACAACACTCGCAATTAGTTAATTTGCTTTTACTTAGGAAAGTAGATTTACAACACAATTCAGTATATGATAGTAACGCTAAGTAACGCAACGATGGGCCTTTTCTCGGCCATAATCGGTCTCAAACACCAGCACTTAAAATGCGAGGAACACATGAACGGCTGGAGAGCATTTGAGAGCGTTTGGTCAGAGCTGTTGAAGAAGGATCAAAGCGGCCATCCAAATCTTCGAAAGGCTTCAAACTACGACGTACATCAAATTCGACCTTCTCGAAAACCGGTCTTAAGTTACATACTAAAAAAACAGTGATTGCGTTTGTCCCTGAGAACCATCGAATACGTGACAAATACGTACAAAAATACTTTTAAACATTCAGAATAAATCAAACTACATTTACCTATGGTGAAAGAAAAAAGGAACGGCCTATCTTTTACGGAATGTTCAGTCAAAATCTGCCAATTTCTGCCACTTTCATCGCCATATTGAAAATAACGCTACCACAATTCAAGACAATCGGAGTGCGCACACCCCACCGTTGTAAACGTTGTGAGATATTTGGCGGAACCAATCAGGATGTGCCATGCAAGAAAGCTAACTTTTTTGTCCTGCTGTGTATTTCATATCTTCGGCCTACAGAATTTGAAGCGTCATTGTCTGGAAAAAAAAATTCCAGCAGTGTCATCGCTTCCGGTTTCCTTCACCGACCATCAAGCTATTACGCTTGCTCAAAAATCGTTTCTTATTGGATTGTCTTGTTCATTATAGCGAAGGTTTAACTCTTAAACATTTAACAAATATGAGTTTTTGAGGAATGACGAGCTCTAACAGGGTTAAATGCGCTCGATCGAACTCTCACCGGACATGATTAATTAATTCTATACATCATCTTTTAAATAAGGGTTTTTCTGATAAGTGATCAACTCTTGTTGTGACAAATAAAATATATCTCTCTCTCTCTCTCTCTTGCAATTTGTATTCGGAATTCTACAATTTTGAAATCCAACCAGTTCGAACGAAAATGAAATTTTAAAGCGAAAGTATAAAGTAAACATGTGTTTCAATTGATTACTTGCTTCAGTGATTAAATTGCAAATGAAGTTCGTCAAGCTAAGCTTAATTACATACAAATTTCCTGGTTCACTCAGAAGGAAAAACACCTATGATAACGTTAACGTTTCATTGTCGAAAGATGTGAACTGCGGTTGTCGCAAGCGTTGAACAGAATTCATGAATCGATGACTCCAACATATAAACTTCCGCCTGCCGATTAGTTATTTGAAGTCGGAAACCATGGCTTTGCGACGGCACGAACGAATATTTTCTAAGAGAGGCACTAGATTCACGTCATCACTGGATAATTTTTTCGTGATGAAAGAAATTTCTATACTCCTTTAGGATCCTGTTCTTGCTGATAAAGAGAAGCCGCGGCCGGGATAAATTCGCAATCTGTTTATTTCGGTTTCTTCGTTGCAAGCTTGAGTGTGTGCTAGACCGACAAATATTGATCTTAGCAGGTTCAACTGTCCTTACCCTTTTAGCTTGTGCTCATGTTTGATTGTTTGTTTGAGCGAAAGAGACTGAATTTTTACAGACATAATCAGGGGCGAGCGTAAAACTCGAAAGTTGCTTTAGTCTTCGAGTTGCCTTTTAAGAACACCAAATTCGGCTGTCTCGTCGATTTTACGACTTTTGGTTCCTGCTTTGCCCGGGGATTTGTAAAGCAAGCCAACTTCTTACTTTCCTACCTTGCAACTTTGCTGGTAAATCTTCTTTCCCCTCAACAGATTCTCCAGGTATATAATATTGACTCAGTGTATTTCCGCAAACGAAAACGTCACGGCCTGGTTCATAACCTTTAGTCCTGGTTCTTCGTGAGAGCTATATTTGGATATGACGATGTGTTTATAAGATTTCTTTAACCCTTTAACTCCCAGAAGTGATTAACATCTATCTTCTCCCTGCAATATCCATACCTTATCCAGCAAACAGGTAATGAGAATACTCAAACACATCAAGTAGAAGTTGTTGTCTTGATCTAACACCAAATTCTTGTAACTAATTTAAAAGTAAACATGTTGTAGCTGCAGGGGAGAATTGACTATCAGATCTTGGGAGTTAAAGGGTTAAAGCATCTAGGGAAGTCGAGCATAGTTCCTTCCATCAATTAAAAAAATCAGGTAGCTGCATGTTGCAGTACTCTTTTTAATAAACTTTTTGTGCTATATTTCCTGCTTAATATACCTGCTTGCTTGTAATTGCAGAGTCTCGGAAATACCACAATCAGGTAAACACGTCTGAGAAACTGATGTTAGACATGCGAGTTGTTAGGGAAAAGGATCATCAATTGCTTACATATATCTAAACTTCTTACAGCGTGGAATAATCACACAAGAGGTTTCGCCGAAGAACAATTATACAACTTGAAAAATATCCACCCTCACCCCCTTTAACTTTCTCATGGTTCGTCGCTTACCGATTATGTTTTCACGACTGGTCGCCTTTTTATTGGAATGTCATGTCGGTATTTCTTTTCACATGCCAGGACGAAAGGTTTTAATCTCAGAAATTTGCACTTGTTTTTTACGAATTTGGAATTTCTTCGCATCGACTCAATCGGCGTTAACGTTTCCCATCAACATGTTAACATATTAAAGGCACCAAGAGAGAGTCACAAAATGGGCCCTTAGCCAAATATTAGAAAAGTATGTCCATGCTTAACTGCAGTCAGGGGATTCCCCCGAGTTTTGCTTTCGGTTTCGGTCCACTTTAAAAAAACAAATTGGTTCACTGCATCAGTGTAGTTCGCTGCACTCTACCGTTGAAGGAAACAAGATATGGGAAGGGACGTCAGAATGAAGGTATTTAGCTATTGTCTAGCGACATAACTGACACATTTACTACCTTGTTCGGTGAGAATGAACCTGAATAGAGTGTGGACATACACAGAAATACTCGTTTTATTGTACACTCATTATATGACATTACTTATCGATTTTTTCGACGATGAAGGTTATAGTATCCAGCAAAAAATTGTTATGTATATTGTCTTTAATAACTTACGATAGAATAAAAAGAAGTATAGTATATCTTTGACATTAATTGTGTGGTTGGATGGTAATAAGCCGAATAGAAACCGTTCCGTGACTATCTAACGAAGGTGTATGCGTGACCATCCACAAAGATGTCAGCGTAGCAAGTTTATATCTGTGTAGGGCACGCAGAAAAATCACAGTTTCGATTACTAGCGCATTCTTTTTTTTTCCTCACAAATGTTTTGCAAAGAAGAAAATGTATAATGTGTAGTCAACTCAGTAATGATTACGCTACTAAAACAAATAAACGGCTATTCTGAAAATTACACGATGCTCTTCCTCGTTTCATGCTGCATGCGAAGAACAAATTCCTTAGCTCTCTCGTCAAGCTTTTGCCATATTTTAATACCACGCTGACAGGGATCTCCTGAGCTACTTTCGCATGCAGTCGTCGAGGACAGTGTGTTGCGTCCGAGTGACAGCCGCTCCTCGAAATCATCCTCTTCATCGAGTGATGAATCCAAACTTACTGCTAGACTTGTAGACTGTTTTCCGGTAATTTCGTGGTCAATAGGTAGACCTGTACTCTTTCCTGAGAGTATTTCTGGCTCCATGCTGTTGAGCTCTCTCTGCAAATTCTGAAGATCCTCTCCAGGGATGGTGGCTCGGTACAACATCTTGCAGAGGTGTCGAGAATTTTGGGATGAGAGGCCCGATGTCTTTGCACATTGCATGTAAGCCTGTTGGATCTCTTTGGTTATTTGATCAGAGTATGTGGTAAAATAAAGCTCCATTTCCTTTCGGTCTTCCACTCCTTTGCTGGAATTGGTTCTCTTTAATTTCGAGGTAACTTTGGAGAAAGTCAGCCGAGAGCGAGCCGCAGCTGTGAAGATTTTAGCCTTAACGGAGGGCGAATAGTTGCATGGTTTCTCTTTTCCACTTGGAAGGATGCTTTGATCCCAGCTGACGAAGAATTTTTTTCCATTAAGGTCACCTCCGAAACATTCAAACGCATGGGGGTGTCGGCCTTTGACGGGTAACACCAGACAATCCTTCAGATTCTCGTACCCTTCTCTTTTGTCAGTCATTTTCAACACACGCACATCTCCTGGGTGATAACATTGGCTCCGCATCACCACAAACTTCTGGCCGGCAGGAAAATCTTCTCCCTTGTCACCACGGACAGTAGGATTGAAATAGCACTCGCCATAGTTCAACTTGTTGAAAGGATCACACACGGCAAATACTTCGCGAGATTTGGGGACAAGAACTCTTGTGTACCCAGCCTCCTCCATTTCTTCCAGCTCGCGCTTCTGTAAACGCTTAAGTTCCCTTGTGCTACCGTCAATTCCGTTGTCTTGGATTTCTTGCAAAAGATGAAACTTCCCCTTTAACATTAGGAAATACTCAGAGGTTTTTTTGTTTATGCCTTCCAGCAACTCGTGGTAGCCGTTTTGTAAGGCCTCAAGACTCTGGGCAGAAACACCACGTTCTTCCAGCAACATGATCATCCGTGAGTTAAGATAACCATTGGTGAATGGGCGTGAATAACCGATAACATTGACGATGTTAAAAACGTCAGGCTTTTCCTCATCAGGGTCCAGGAACTTTTGCATTGATTTGTGGAACTGCACTTTAATACCACTTAGATCTTCTTTAAGAATTAGCATCCCCTCGATGCCTCGATAGCGTATGTGGACGGCGCTAGGCTGGTAATCAAGACCTAAGACTTCTTGCACTTCGGAAGCGAATTCTGAGGACATGAAACCACATCCATCGGTGAAAGTGTGCGAGGGGAAAACTCTACTTGTCACATCTGGTTCGACTTTGAAATCATTTTCAGCCAATCGTACAGTTTCGGTAAATGGTGAAAAGAGCATGGCGATTTTGCTGGCTCGCTTTGCCACGTTTTTCTCATCAGAAAAGTCTCCAAACTTTGATAAGAGGTCGTGGATTTCTTCATGTGTTGCTGCAATAAAGTAACAAGATTTTTTCGCAAGCTGTTCATTCGAGTGACCGAGGTAGATGTATGGGCGCTGACGACAAAATATTCCCCTTTCCAAAACGTTTTGGCAGAGGTTATTTGCAGCTTCGGCAGGCGTGGTATTAAAAGTCAGCTTCATGAGATTTTCGTGAAAGTCAGGCCCATCGCGTTGTCGCAGGTATTCTGTCAGCATGGTGCTTTTGTGCTTTTCATACTCAACTTTATAGTCATTTGGATCAGTGCCATGGAATTGTACATGAATTAGGTGGACATCATCTTCGGTAGTCTCTACTGGCCTAGGAGTGTCTGGCTCGTCTATGCAGAGATGATAGGCCATTTGATGTATTTTGTAGACTGACAGGGTTCGGAAATCTTTGACTCTATTTCCTATAATTAAACAGATTCAGAGCTTGAATGAATGAAAACACTTACCAGCATTGTGAGCGCCGCTGAGATACCCCGAAACACCCAAACAATAAGCTCATTTCTGGAAAGGACCTCGCGTGCCATAAAATATAACCCTTTTTCCTTGTTATTAACTCAAATATGTATGCTCTCTTCAAGACGAGGAGTAGTTGAATCGATATATGACCCGGTCCGTTAGACAGCGGACAGACAACGATTAGTCATTTACATACCATTGCCGGAATTATCGATTTATCACATCATATTGTATAATATTGCTCAATTGGAGGCTGTATGTATACTAACTTAAGACACTTTGTATTAAAATTTGCAATTAAGCCGTGGGATTTTATATTTTTCACCTAGTTGATGTAAGTCTGGTAAGGTGCTCTGAAGGAATTCATGTCGCGTTCTAGCTTAGATAAATTAAGATACTGATCTAAAACAGATATACGGAACACGATGAGTCAGCAGGGCTAGAACTGGATGCTCGGCAATAAAATCCACAAAGAAAGATCATTCCTAACTGATAGTGATATCAATTGATTAATTTCAGTCACTGATTATTTAGTTCCTTACCCTGCTTTCTCAAACTTCTGTTAACCAAGCGGTTAAATCAAGCGATTTTGTTAACCAAGCATTAAATCCAAACCTTCTCCGGAGTTATTATGAACACAGTGTGCGCCTCGTGACTGCATTAGTTGAATACGTATGCTGTTTAAGGTCAGAAAAACGATAGGGACATTCCCCTTTACACTAATTTTAGCCTCAGCAATTGTTGTAGACGATGTAAGATATTTGGTGGGACCAATCAGGATGTGCCATGCGAGAAGGCTATCTTGTTTGTTCGGTTTTGTATTTCATATGTTCGGCCTTTAGAACTTGCAGCTGCATGTCAGCAAAAATTCCCGCAGTGTCATCACTTTCGGTTTCCTTTCACCGACCATCAAGGGTTTACACTTTCTTAAAAATTGTTTATTATTGGATTTTTTTTTTCCACCATATCGAAGGTTTAATTTTTAAACATTTGACAGATCGGAGTTTTTGAGGAATGACGAGTTTTGAAAGGCTTAGATGCGCACAATCGAACTATCCAGACAAGAATAATTAATTCTATACATCACCGTTTAAATAGGGGTTTTTCCGACTGGCAATCAACTGTTGTTTTGACAAATGGAATCTCTGTTTCTCTTACAATTTCTATTCGGAATTCTACAATTTTGAAGTTCAGTCGGTAAGAACGAAAATGAAATTTTTATGCGAAATTATAAAGTACACATGTGTTTCAATTAATTTCCTGCTTCAGCGATTGAATTGCAAATGAAGTTTGTCAAGTTGAGGTTAATTAAAGATAAAGTTGCCGATTCACTCCGAAGAGAAAAACCTATGATAGCGTTAACGAGTCATTGTCGAAAAACGTGCAATGCGGTTGTCGCAAGCGTTGAACAGAATACACGAATCGCTGACTCGAACTTCCGCTCGCCGATTAGTTATTTTAAGTCGGGAACCGTGTCTTTGCGACGGCATAAACGAAGATTTACCAAGAGAGACATTAGATTCATGTTATTACTGGAGTACTTTTTCGTGTTTAAAGAGATTTCTATATTCCTCTAGGGCCCTGTTCCTCCTGATAAAGAGAAGATGCGGCCGGGAAAACCCGCATTTTGTTTATTTCGGTTTTTTAGCTTGAGTATGCGCTTGACTGACAAATATTGATCTTAGTAGGTTCAACTGTCCTGACCCTTCTCACGAGCTCATGTTTAATTGATCGTTTGCGCGAAAGAGACTAAATTTCTACAGACATAATCAGAGGCGAGCGTAAAACTCGAGAGATGCTTTAGTCTTCGAGTTGTCTTTTAACAACACCAAATTCGGCTGTCTCGTTGATTTTGCGACTTTTGCAAACTTCTTACTTTCCTACCTTGCAACTTTGCTGGTAAATCTTCTCTTTCCTCAACCGACTCTTCAGATAAAGTAATCTCGACTCAGTGCATTTCCGCTAATAAAAACGCCACAGCCTTGTTTACACCCTTTGGCTACAGTTCCCATGGTGCTGAATTTGTATATGACGATGTGTTTGGGAAATTCCCTTATAGCGTCTAGACATTCGTGCAGAGTTCCTTCACGTAATTGATAGGTTTCTTTGTTTTTATGTAGCTGTATGTGGCATTTTTTTGATGCATCTTTTGTGCTTTATTTCTTGTTTAGGTTCCCTGCTCGTTTGCAATTGAAATACTTTTTCGAGAACAGACCATTGACGTCAATTAAGAGGTTGAATTTCTCGGAAATACCTCAATCAGATAAACACATTTCTAAGAAACTGATATTAGACATGCGAGCAGTTAAAAAAATATCATCAATCGTTTACAGCTGTCTAAACTTTTTACAACACGGAATAATCACGCAAGGGATTTCACCGAAGAACAATTATACATATTGAAAAATTCCTATCCTCATCCCCCTTAACTTTCCCATCGTTCGTCGCTTACCGATTCTGTTTATTTACAAACTCAATCGCCTTTTTATTGCGATATCATGTCGGTATTTATTTTCATATGCCAGGACAATCAGGTTTTATTCTCAGACATTTGCACTTGTTTTTTACGAATTTGGAATTTCTTCGCATCCCTTACCAAGTTTTTAATTGATGTTAACGTTTCCCATTGTTGTGAACATGTCAACATATCAAAGGCACTAAGCCGGAGAGAGTTACAAAATGGGCCCTCAGCCAAATGTTAAAAAAAGGATGTCTAAGTAATGTTCAATTGCGGTCAGGGGATTCCCCCAAGTTTTGCTTTCGGTTGCGGTCCTCTTTCAAAAAAACAAATTGTTCACTGCATCAGTGTAGTTCCTTGCACTCTACCGTTGAAGGAAACAAGATTTGTGAAGGGGAAGTCAGACTGAAGGTATTTAGCTATTTTCTAGAGACATCACTGACACGTTTATTACCTTGCTCGGTTAGAATGAAACTGAATATAGTCTGAACAGCCATTGAGGTAGATTGTTCAATAGCCAAGCTGACTCAACTAGCTATGATCGAATAAGTTCAGGTTTGCTCTTGCCAGTGAAAAATGAGGTTATCAATCAGGTTCATTGTCAGTATAAAGAAATTGATGGAAACATCAGCTTCCTTCCATCTTGCCCTAAAACAGATAAACTTGAAGTGGTACGTTTAATTTGCGAACAGCTGAGCTGTTTACGGAAGAATACTTCTTCTTGACTAGTATATCAGTCGGTCTCGTTGCGACTTACAGAATTTGACCTCTTACTCGATATACATAGCTCAGCAGTATCGGCGATAAGATTGATCGAGTTGAACTTAAAGTTTGGTATCTTAATGTTTCATGGAGAACGATTCGTTGGCATTTTGTATGATGTTTTCTACTTCTGGATTCTCTGGCGTTGTTTATATTTTGACTTGCCCTACGGGCTCGTCAAAATACGACGCAACTCGTTCAAATATTCAGCGATACTACACACCAAACCATCAAGTGGAATATGAATATATATATTCCCATAGTTTTTCTGTGTTGTACGCGTTGGAAACATAAGTTTATGCACAGTTATACTGTCGAACGCCATTTCCCATGTCTGTAAATTAGCAGCGTAAATTTGACGTCATCGAGTCTAGTTGCAATATTGAAGCTTGTTCAGCACTCTTATTTTTCAAATGTGCTATTCGCAAACACATCGGATCATTTCCAAACGTAAAATCTTTTTAAAAGTGCTACATGAATGACAAATTTTGAAAACATGTAAGCTACAATCAAATTTACAGTGGCATTGGAAAAGGTCAATTAACAACTCCTTGTCTCCCTATCAACAGCAATCTTACGATTTCTTCGCGATAACTGGGTCTCATGGCTTATGCTGTATGCATCAGTTTCCAAGACAACATCGCTCCTCCCACCGATGATGAAGTTTACATCAAATACGTGGAATTTAATGGCGAAGACGAAACACAATACAAGAAGGGGATTGAAAAACTCGATAAAACCCTTCTGTTTGAACACATGAGGCAGAAGGACCCATCGTTTCCCGAGAAGCTGATAGCCGTCTCTTTCAACACAAAACTGACGGAAAAAAATAAGAAAAAGACCTTCTGCGAGGACGTCTTGAAGCGAGGCATATATTGTGATGGCAGTAACAGTGGTTGGTATCGTTTCCTTGGACATTCCGACAGTCACCTCTGGGAGAGAAAGTGCTACTTTATGAACGCCTCAGATACTGAAATTCACGATCTCCTCGCACGGTTTGGCGATTTCGCTAAGACAACAAATGTTCGAAAACGCGCCAGTGAAATTGGCTCGTTATTCGTTCCATTTGAACACTTAGTGAAGCTTAGTGAGGATGATATTGGAGAAGAGCCTGATGTGAAAGGCAGATTCTTTGAAAAGATGCCTCGCCCTTTCACTAACGGTCGTGGTTTCATGTCTCCGGGATTCACCCTCAAGGTGCGACCCAAGCTTGGCGTGGATCACCCTGCACCTAGTGCCCTTCAAGTGAGCAACCAAGGCCTTCAGGGTATTTTGGTAGTTCGAGAAACTCTAATGAACGTTTCCCTGGTCCAATTCCGCAAGTCCATGCGCTTGTTTTCCACTCCCAGCAAGAAGGACAGCGAGGCAATTCCTTTTATTGGAATTGTTGATCATTCCGCTTCTGACGTGAACGGCTACCTTGATTCTCGATTGGTCATGTTTCTGGCAATCAGAGGTGTGTCGATAAACTATCTCAGGTCACTGCAGAATGGCTATTTGACTCTATTGAAGAGTATGTGTACGAATTCAGCATCTGGCAATTATTTCTGCCAACTTACTGGACGAAAGGCAACAACCGAAAGAGAAGTTTTAGCCAGTCTGCAACGAGGTGAAGTAGAGAAGATGCTTGCTCAGTCTTTCGAGAATGCAAATAATGGCGAACCACAAAGACGTCGCGCAGTACGTACAAGAATTTTGGTACCCAAAGCGAGAGTGGTGTTCGGGGTTGGTGACCCTTATGGGAAGCTTAAGAAAGGAGAGTGCTACTTCAAGCCAACCCTGCAAAATGACGAAGAATTTGAAGAGCTCGTGGTTTGCCCTGACCCCTGCTATCATCCCGGAGACATACAAGTGTTGAAGCTAAGCCAAGAGAGGCTGGACTATGAGAATCTCAAGGACTGTCTCGTGCTACCCGTAAACCACCGACACGCGTTTGAAAATTCTGGGGCAAGTAAGTTTTTCGTCAGCTGGGATCAAGACCTGATTCCAAAGCAGAAAAGAGATACACCCTGTCGCTATCAGTCAAAACGGTTCAAAGACGTCACAACCACTGTTATAATCTGGTTTCAAGGAATATTTTATGTTCTTTAGAAAAAGAAGGAATATCGAGAGGAAACTATTTACTACTTTGCCCGTTTTAAGGATGACCTACCTCGAAGGATTAGCGATGTTTAAATGAAGTTTGCAGAGACGCATGACCCATATTCTAAAGAATGCACTAAGCTGAGCAAGATGAACCATCAGGCTGCAAACTTGATGACAAACAGTGATGATTTGTCGAAAGAGCTGGAAAGGTTGAAAACCTTGCTACAACAAAGACCCTCTATTTCTGTTAATTATCCTTCAGCGGAGCGATCACCTCTTTTAGGAGGAGGAGGAGGAGAAGAAGAAGACGTCGATGATGTGCACGAAGACTCTGCCGTTTCGATCACCACCCGAATACGTCGTTCCTTGCCCGGTCACCGAAGGAAGCCGGCGTCGCCCCAAGTTTGGACAGAATTTGACAGGGAATCAGAAAAGTTCGTCGAAGAATTTTACGAAAATAGCCGCATTTAGCATAAGAACTACTTTAGTCTGCGATCAATGCAGACACTTTCCAGTCTCAGTGCTGTGACTGATTTGTCTTAATGAAACTATACATTCGTTTTGATTTGGGTTGTTGCACTCACTGGCTATGAGTTCAGTGCATAAGTTTTCTCTTTTTGAACTTGAGACGATTAGGTGACAAGGATAACTCAGCTTAAAGAGTTATTGACCCATTTTAAAGAGCTTACATCAAGAAAAATCTTTCAATGTGTTTCAAGTCTGATGAAATAGTCATTCGTCCTAAAGAGGACTCGTAACAAGTCTGTACTCAACTTTGACTGCTAGAAGTTCGTAAACGAGAATCCTTGAGTTGGTTGTGTTTTTGTCGAAACTAAAAGTTGTTTAAATGTTGCGTAACAATTGTTACAAAATGCATTGTGATGGGTGAAAATGATATAAACAGAAGAGATGAAGAGCTAACAAAACAATAGATGAATAAGTTTTTTTGTTCCGCTTCCAAAAATGTCAAAACGAGACTAACTGCAGCAAAGCCTATTTTTAAAAAAACTTTTTGGCTCTGCTTTTTGCTCTGCTATGTAGAGTAACGTGAATACTGTGTTATTTCAAATTATGTAATGAAGGTAACAAAAGTGGCTCATTTTAAATGTTAAATATAGTAAGCCCACGAGTAGCAGTGCTTTGTAAGTCCCCATGTAAGGTACATATTTGTTCCAAAATGAAATGAAATGTACTAAATGTCTCCTTGCAATGTACGTTATAGACAAATGTAAAAGAGTGGTAAATGTAGTTGTATGTAACGGTTGAAGTTAGGGACTAGTCATTATCAAGCGAATGTAAACTGTTATAGCATTAAGTGTTCGAATGGTGAGGCAAACACTTATAAATTTGTTTCGATAGTGAGTGGTAACAGCTTTTAAAAACTAATTTAAAACGTGATCACCGAAATCTGCAAAGACAGATGATATCGAGATCGTTCGCAGCGTTATCATGCGAGGTATGAATATGGATAACTTCCCGGCGTAGCAGGAAATTTAAAATAGAAATTACCATGGGTCACGGGGATAAGTTCTATCAGTTTCTCATCTCTTGTCATTATATATCGCCGTAGGATTTTTGTTGTGTCGCAACTAGATTTACCTTTTTCCCTCTATAAGGTAGCCTGAGGTGAGGTGTAATTTTGGCGGGCGAGTGATCGATATTATCTTAGTGAAAATTGTGGTTGCCATCTCTGAATTTACAATTTATCAAGGGGGTGAACAATGGTCAAAAAGAAGGATAGGAAAGGGGTTGGAGCAATGAATATTCTTATGATTCCCCCTCTTTGTAATTTGCAGTTAAATTTCTGAAGTCTTCCTTTAGCCTTTGTTGGTGACGACTGATCTTTCCCCCTCCCCCTCCCGACCATGAATAATGACTAGTCCCTTATGTGGGTTATTAACCCTTAAACTCCCATGAATGACCAGGACAGAATTTCTCCTAACAGTATCAAATTTTAGACAAATGTAGTAAGTATCTTAAAAGGAACAAAACTCTTTAACAATATTATAGAAAACTATGAAATTTTGATCAGTTCATCACTTCAGAAAGACCTATTCAGGAAGTCAAAATCAAGATGAAATGGTTAAACTGTACTTAATTATTAACTTCTGAATTTCATATCATAAAATGGGAGTTGCTGTCTTCCCCCCATACTTTTTTTCCTACAGAATTAATGGAAAAAGGTTATAACTTCTTAGGCATAACTATCATGGATTAAACCATGATCCTATGGAGTGGATTCCAGATAGGGTCTTTGGTGCCACCATGGCAACCAAACACTTCCTTATTAGGATGTTGATCTAATATCTCCTTAATGTTTAACTTAATCTAATTTTGCTTCATAGGATCACAGTGTACATCAAAAGGATAGCCTGTGCCAATTTTCACAACAATTGGTCATAAATTGAAGTAAAAAAAGGTGGGGGTAGATGGCAACTATCATGAAAGGGCAGTTTTGAGAAAACTGCTGTTAAAGTTGACACAAGGAAAAAAATACCTCCTTTAACCAATGCCATGTCACTTGAAGGTACTTATAGCATCATTAAGCTCCAAAATATCACTCTTCAACAATTTTGAAATGAAAAGTGAAAATTAACTATTCCTGGGAGCTAAAAATTAAAGGCTCCAGCCTCATATGTTGTGCCTTCTTTGTTAAGTCTCATGTTCTCATCCCTTTTCCTTGCTTGGCTCTTGGCAAGTCTGTACTTTTTGTGTTGTCCCTGAATTCTTTCCTCTGTTTGTGACACTCTCTCTCAATCTCTCTTTTTACTTCCTTTTTTTGTAAAGGTTCCAATACCAATGCCAGCCTTGGCCATAAAATCGTGTTTGGTCCTTGTACCACTGCTAAAATGTAGTGCTGCTGATGCAGATGCAATTGTAATTCTTTTCCTCCCATACCAATTTGTGTTTTGGACAAATGTCCCAAACCAGAGCATTATTGACTCATTTGCATTCTGTGTACATCCAGGAAGACATCTGGTCAGAGGAGCTGGTTCACTGAGCCTACTGTAATAGGTTCTAGATGTTTCACAAAAATGGCATCAAGGTGATGGGGCTTGTCAACATCTTTTAATCCCTTCTTGAACTTACACCATGAATTTACGGGACAGTATTTGTGTCTCTCTATCTGGGAGTTTGGTGCAGTGAAAGAGACCAGCTTTAATTTCTATTTCCATATTTTTGACCGCAATGTCCCTTTCTTTAGCACTTGTCATATCCCTTGTCACATTGTTACGTATGGCTTTACCATAGTACTTCTTCAGCTTTTCGATTGCTGTTTTAGTTAGCCTTCCCTGCCTCCCCTTAACTGGCTTTCCATCTTCAAGTTTGGAGGCTGACATTTGGAATTCATAGAGAGCTTTGCCCAACCTTTTCTACACATGGCCAATGCAGTCAAGTTTTATAACACGATTACAATCTGCTGTCCCTGTGAGATGACTGTTGTCCCATTCTTTGTACTCTTCTGTTTTTTGCCATTGTTCATATTTTTTGGGGGATTTGTGCAGTTCTTTATTTTTGTAACACAAGTCACAAACACCATAGTAATTCTAAACAGAACCATAGGATTTAGAGTCTCCATCAGAATTCATGAACTTATAACGTCGCTTGTAATCTTAACGTCTTCCCCAAATCCTTTTGGCAGCCTTTAATTCCATACTTGGGCTAGAGCCACCAAAATTGCCATCACAAGCATGCTGATCATGCCATGCCTCGAATTCTTCCTTAGACATAGTGGCCTTCTTCTGGGTGCACATACTGCAAATCTTTGAAAGACACTCGTAGTCGAGAACCTTTCCAATTGAGGCAGAAAGTATAAAACTAGTACAATGATTAGCATGTTTCGTTTACTGGGCAACCTGGCCTTAGAAAGTTACTTTAAATGCAGGAATCGGATAGGGACCTCTGGAAACAGAACTCAGAGGGCGTTGATTCGAGAAATCTCTAGGACTAGGGTCGATTTTGAATTCTATTTCCATAGCAACCGATCATCATTGATAGACATAGTTACGGAAATTGCGTTTTTTCAGCTTTTACCGGTAAAATTAATTGAAAAAGACTTCAAAACCTCAAATTAGATAGGTTAAACTATCGATTTAAAGCGAAAACCAAAAAGTGGTTGAATGACCAACCATTCGCAAAAATCTGACGAGTGAGTACGCATCACCATCTAATCACTGATGTCAATTTAAAAGTTGAATTTCTAGGAAATACCGCAATCAGATTAAGACATTTCTGAGAAAGTAATGTTAGACTTTGAGTCAATCATTGTGTCATCTCAGTGACATGCTCCTCCCACTCAACTGACATTTCTTTTGAAGCTTTTCACCGCACGGATATTTTTGTCAATATCGACCTCACGAAACGACCCTTGGTAATTACTGGGATACCTGTGGTAGCCCAGTCATAAAATGCCTTTGTTTTTTTGTCGTCTTTTTTTTTTTTTTTTTCCTCCGCCGCAAAATGGAAAAATTGCGCAATAGTACCCAGAGGTCATTGGGCTCTCAACAGCATGACAACTAACTGTGATCCAATAAGGTGTCACATGCTGATCACGCGTTTATCCCTCAACAGCATGACAACTGTGATCCAATGAGGTGTTCACATGCTGATCACGCATGTTATCTTGATGAGGATTGACGTTGTCATGCACAGACAGGGCCGGGTCACATGAAGAATCACGAGATTTTGCTTGTAAAACTCTTTGGTCAGTTGTTTTGTATTTCAACGTATTTGGATTGCAATCTCCTGGAGCATTATGGCGCAAACGCGCAAAATACTTACAGACGCATATACAAGTCGTATTCATCGCGGCTAATCCACACTGAAAGATGTTATTGAGCGGTAATTTTGGAACGGATTGAGTCGCGAACGCTTGAAAGCCATGAAAGCCTTGAATGCCTTGTATGCTAAGTATGTCAATGTCTTAGTTGAAAAACGTTACTTGTTGTAAAAAGCAAAATCTGAAACAAAACTGCATATACTCTATGCAATCTATTGAACAACACTACTACCGCGAGACTGAAGAACATAACTATAATGGATGCAAACTGCTTGTGAAGAAAGACGACATGTTGGATTCACTTGATGGCAAGGAACGTAGCTACGATAACAGTACGAATGGTATTAATTTCACGATCAGAAAGGTGAATCTTATGTTTGTTTTCATTGTAGTTGTATGGATACTCTTTTTTAATAAATACGTGATCCAAAACCTTGTGTTTTTTTGTGTAAAATGTTATTATGTTAAATATTGTTTACGCAATTGTCTTGTCACAAGCGGCCCAAGCTCACGTCTCGAGAAAAAGCCAACGATTAATTCATGAACGCTTCACGCGTTGTGTGACTCGGTGTTAAGTTACGAGAGGAACTGCACGTTATAAGGAATAGTACAGGGAACGAAGTATGGTCGATTTACAACGATACATATTTCAAAATATGAACATTTTTCTCGTAAAATCAATAAAACTTACTCATACCCTGTGTATCCGTTGTATTTTCTGGCGATTTCTGCCGTTTTAAGCTTGCTTTACCATCACTGTTATTCACGTCATCTACTTTTATTACGTTGGTAAATCTGTACAGACATCACACCAACCAACTCGCGCGCAAAGTAAGAAGACTATATTGAAGGCTTGAAATAATATTGCGATCGATTTTCATCAAGAAATGGGCCAGGAATATTCCACAATAGTGCAAATAATCGTGAAGGCGGATCGCAGAAAAGCGATTGCGTGACGCTCGGTAAGCTGTAAGATGACATGTTATTATATACCAGACGTAAAAACTCTTCAGATTCTTAGTCTGCATTTTGTACCCACTCTGCAGTCTGCAGTCTATATTTTGTATCCGGTCTGCAGTCTGCTGTCTGCATTTTGTACTAACAGGTATCCGTGGCACCAATACAGTTTATTTTTGGTTACATTTATTCGCAAAACACACATAATCTACCACAAAATACCTGTGAGTGAGGTAATTCGACATTTTCGTTCTTTCCCACATTAATATTCTTCTCTCCTTTTGTAAGAATGTAGACATCACTCACAATGTTTCAAGTAATCCACCCACCCTACAAAAAAGTAACTCTTGCATGCATAGCATGCCTATGTTTTGAAATAGGTCTATGCCCTTGGCCAGACTTGAGCGCACTATTTCAGTATACTAGTCCTACACCCGTAGTATCACTACACTTGATTCCAAGGATCCAGTACCATCCAGGTATCCCAGGTACCCTGCTCACAGGGTCTAGTTTCTATTTGAGGGGGTAGTGATTGGGGAAGTGAATGTTAACTGAAAAAAACAAAAACTTATTCAGCTAAGAAAAATATTATGTATTATATACAGAAATCCAAACTTTCTCCCGCGAGGAAAGAAATATCGTGGGAGGTTACCTCCAGAAAAAAATAAACATTTGAAAAATCCTCACCATCACCCCATAACTTTGTTCACGGTTCATCGCTGCCTTTCAAGAAAGCCGACTGCCTTTTGTTTACGTTGTCATGCAACTATATCATGATATATATCAGGTCAACTAGCTCTTTTTCACAGAAATTTACCTTAGTTTTCAAGGAATTTGGGAACTTTTGTTGCATTCTCCCCAGCTACGAAGCTTCAATCGATGTTAGCGAGCTTTTGCCATAAATCCTGAACATGCTATCGTATTGACAAGACATTGACAGAGGGGTCATAAACTGGGCCTCTGGCCATAGATAAGAAAAGTATGTTCGAGTAATTTCTAAATGTAGTTTGGGGACTCCCCCGAATTTGGGTTCTATTTATATACTTTATATAAAGCTGAGAGGAATTGGTTCGCTGCGTCGGTCTCGTTCGTTGCATTCTATCAACAAAGGAAATTTGGAAAATATGTAACAAGGACACGAGAACGTAAGTAGAAGTATTAAGATGTCAAATGACATCATTGACGTATCGACTCACTGCTCGGTCAATATTGAATAGCTTTATGAACAGCTTTGGTAAGTTGTATGCAAAGCCTATCGATGTTAGCTTTAATACTCCTCCATCTTCCCTCCACCAATGGTTTATCTAATGCACCAAAAGTTATGGAAGAAATCTTGCTACTCGACGAACGTAACATTGTTACTGCGACCAAAGGCAGAAAAGAAAGGAAGTAATTTCCTTGCCACGCCAAATCTCATGATAGATCTATAATTTTCACTTTTGAAGAGTAATTAGAGAAACAAAAGTAGGAAAAATCTGCGCGCTCTCTACTTAAATGTTAGCGGAATCGAATTCGCGTACATTGACTAGCTCGACTAACTGATTGATAACATGAACACCTTTGTCGTTTAAATTTTATCGTTCATTTCGTTAAACGAGGTAGTTCTAGAACATTCTTTGGAATCTGATCATCACGTAGCAGTGTTTACGATTTTCGTCATACCCGGAAAAAGCTTCGTGACCTTTCGATTTCGGTTTTGTTTGGATTAGGGAACAAGGTTCTTCAGTGAGAGATCTTAGTGTTTTTTTTACTAGCTAGCGCCATGACTTAGAGAGAGCAAGGCTGCATTGTGTAATCGCTGTCAGAAAAGACTCTCTTTGAAACAGAAATCTTTAACAAGTGTTTATGTTGAATGAGTTTTTTGTTTTCTGTCACAGCTTTTCTTCTTAAATCTTGACCCTAGTTCTCCAAACTTGTCTCTTGTAGTGCATGTCAATGTTTTCCAATCTTAAAACCATACTTGACTGTTTTAATTTACGCAGAATTTGTGGTTTCATTTGTTGCAAAGTTGATTTTGACATCAGCAAACCGTGACTGAATGACTGAAAACTTCCTTGTCACTCGTGAATCCTTTGGGCTGCGATTCATCGACTGCTCGATCATTCCGTCGGTGATCAAAATGCTAAGCTAAATTCACACAAACCATGAATAAGTAGTTTTGTAAGAGGCAGGAAAGGCATTTTCTCTTTTTCTTTAAATTTTGGCTGAGGTTTGACTTTCCTCCACCAGGTGATCCCTGAATTAAGCTGTGATATGGCAAGGCCTCTCCGTATTCCATGTACTGAACCATTGCCGGTGTTTCCGTCTGATGGGAAACCTTACGTAATTCACGTCATCATTAAGCCTGAGGAAGGTGACCAGGAATGTCTGCTATTCAAACAAAAAGCGGAACAATTGAAGAAATGTTTAATGATTGATCAGCTTCTCTCCGAAGGAAATAGGCAAGGAACAGATTTAGAGAAAACTGTATGGAAGAAGCTCTTGATGCTCGAGTTTTCGTCTTATCCTAGGGACAAAATTAGTAAAATATTAGCCAGGGATGTCGAATACAACGGCTCAAGGTATTGCTTTCTAGGATTTTCAAAGTCACAGTTAAAAGAAAAGAAATGCTTTCTAATCGCCGAAAACGACATGCAAATCCGTGAAAGAAGAGCAATGTTTGGCAACTTAAGCAAGGACATCTCGATTGCTGAACGCGTAGCTAAGGTTCAAGACATGTTTGAACCTTACGAACTAAGCTTGGAATTAGCAGAGGGCGAGTTTATATTCGAAACCAAAGATGAGAATCCTGAAGAAAGTGGTTTTATGGCGCCTGAACTTGCCCAAAAAATCAATGAAATAGCAACACTCAATCTAAGTAATGATCCCAGCGTTGTTGAAGTTATTTGTCCGGGATTCGCAGGTAAAATGCTACTGTCTGACGAAATTCTTGCCAGAACGACGGGTGACAAACATTCCCGCGTAAAGGCCCTTTTCAAAACTTCTGCAACATCTAAGGACCACGGCAACACACTTACACTGTGTATTGTTGACTATTCCAAACCATTTGAGGTTGGCTACCTGGATATTTTCACTGTGATGCTTCTGCATTGCCAAGGTGTAGAAAGTCAATATCTACTGGAACTTCAAAGAGAACATCATAACCTTCTAAAAACACTGGAAACCGATTTGACCTCTGCGAAGTACTTCCTTCGTGTGAATGGAAGAAAGGAACTTTTGGCCAAAATAGAAAACGGAATGACTCCTGAAGCACGGGAAATTATTTCCAAAATAAAGAAAAAGGAAATTAGAAAAATGGAGAAGAGCATAGATGGCCCGGAAGAGATGAAAGTCCTTGTGAGTGAGTCGCGTGAAGTTTTAGGAGTTGTCGATCCAGATAATCAGCTTCAATGCGATGAGTGCTTCTTTGCTCCTAACTTGGATTGCTTGCTGTCCTATGAAAAAAAACGTTTTGAATCGGCAAAACAGGTTCTTGTTATTCCGCAACCGTGCTACTCTGCGTCAGATATCCAAAGGTTCAATCTTTGTCGCCGAATTGAAGCCTACGAGAAATTGAAAGACTGCATTATTTTGCCGTCGCAAACCGAAAAGCGAATTGTCTCCAGAAAATACATTGTTTGCTGGGATAATCGCCTAGTGCAACGATTCCATTCATCCGCCTGGAATTTTTCCGAGATTCCGAGTCAAGTTTCAAAGTTTTTCCTTGGCGTCTTTCAATGTTCGAATGTGAAATCTTTCTTGTTGAGTGGTCGTTCTGAAGACACAGAAGTTATGGTCAGCGCCGAAGCTGAAACAAGTGAAGGAATAACGCCGTCCATGACTTCTCTTGAGCCGCACGAAGATGCATCGTTTCAGAAGGAGCTGAAGAAGCATTTCGCTGAATTTAAAAGCAGCGATGACTTGATTTCAAGAGCAAAGTCACTTTTCAAAAAGTTTGCACTTCTTGAAGGATCGACGTCATGTTCATTTTGCCAGAAACTCGGAAAGTATTTATCTCCGAAATTTGACTGGAAAAATGCTAAGAGAGGGAAGATCGACAGACAGTTGAAAGATCTTGAAAAGAAATGCGAGAACCTGCGTTCACAGATGGAGGAAAGCAAAGAATCTGCAGAAGAATCGTCTACTCAAGATCTGAAAGGACTGTATACAGCCATGACTAAAAATTTGAACCATTTTATCACGGACAGAACTGGAGGGCAGTGTTAAAACGCTGTTTCTTTTCAAACACTCAAGTAAGACTCCGATTTTATTAATGAAATGTTGTGACAAACCTCATGAGAAGTTTTGGAATATTTTAAAGGTGTTACATGCCTGCATACGCTGCTGCTCTTGTAACAGTCATTCCGGAAGGCGCTGTAAAAACCATATTGCTCTGCTTTCTAACCCTTGACGAAAGTCAATTTATTTTAGAGGCCTGCAAATGGTCTACGAATATAGCATGTCTGTGGCCATCAAATTTCCCAATCAGTAAGTACACAACAGGTCATTCATAACAGAATAATCTGAGGCTGTAGGACATTTATTTAGGAATATCTGAAAATAATCTACATTCTGTTGAGGTCGCCGCTTGTATCAGCCACAGAAGTGGAAGTACTTACCCAACGAGCATGAATCTCCTCTTCTAAAGAATGCAAGTGACACTTTCAATTCAAGATTTCAGACGTTGTGATTGTAATTAAGTGTATAAAAATTAGACCTCTAGAGAAACAATTCTGACACAATGGGGTATGCATTTCGCCCATTTTTGAGGGCTGACGAGTATCATTTTATTTTCTATCAAAATTGTCCTCAACTAACCCTTAAAGTCAAATTTACGCATTGGTTTGGAATAGTCAAGTTTTTGAAGTTGCTTCGTATCAAAGTGCTTCGCATTTTTTTCGTGCTTTACGTTTTCCCTTTCTATATAACGTTATTGTAAAGGCTTGAACGAAGTCACTATATCAGCTTTCATAGCATGTAAAAATAAAATTTTGCGATAGCTTTATTTTTCAGGTTAGTGTCTTTTTGCGCGGAGATATCTTTTTTGATTTTCAATCTATTTGCGTCTTTTTGGTTTAGTTTTTGTTGTTCTTTATGTCTAAGAAATAGAAAATTGGGAATGAAGGAAACGTGATTTTAAATTTTAAAGCTCGAACGCTTTCTGCATCAAAGTCATTTCAGTGAAATCTTTGAAATAACTGAAGTGAACTGAAGCAAAGAGAAACAACAAAATCAAACAAAAAGCCTACCCTTATATACTTTCCTTCCATACCGAGTTTTTTTGAGAGAGGAATTTGTTTATAAGACTGAAGATAGCAAATGTTTTGCGTTTAATTTTTTTTCGGTGAAGAGGGCCTTTTTTGCAGACAGTTCATGAACGGTCAACTAAATCCACCAAAATAACACAATGCTCAAATTTCCCGCTACAAAGGAATCTCTCAACACAGAGAATCTCGCCAGTGGATTAAACTGGTCTTTATCTTGTCCAATGAAGAAGGGAGGGGGGTTGAACGCGAACAGTTTTTGAGTTCCTGTATCTCTATGTTGTACGCTTCTTCAAGCTGCCTCAATTGTTTTTTAACTTGATCGTAACGCTCGCTCCAGCCAAAGTCTTGAGAAGAGCCTCCTTGAGAAATTCGCATTCGGTACACGTCGAACCGAATAACGACGCATACTTTACAAATAGCTCTGAAGCTTTTTGGCGCGGATATTTTTCCTCAATATCGACCTCAGGAAAGGACCCGTGGAAAATTTCTACTTGAGGGGGTGGTGGTTGGGGAAGTGAATGGTAACTGAAAAAAACAGAAACTTATTCAGCTAGGAAAAATATTATGTTTTATATACAGAAGTCCAAACTTTCTCCCGCGAGGAAAGAAATCTCGTAAGAGGTTACCTCCAGAAAAAAAAATAAAAAAATTTGGAAAATTCCTTACTATCACCTCCCTAACTTTGTTGACGGTTCATCGCTGCCTGTCTACGAAACCGACTGCTTTTTAGTTGCGTTGTCATGCAACTACATCATGATATATGTCGGGTTAACTAGCTCTTTTTCTCAGAAATTTATTTTATTTTTCAAGGAATTTGGAAACTTTTGTTGCATTCCCTCCAGCTACGAAGCTTCAATCGATGTTAACGAGCTTTTGCCATAAATCCTGAACATGCTGTCGTAATGACAATACACTGACAGAGGAGTCATAAACTGGACCCTTGGCCATAGATAAGAAAAGTATGTTCGAGTAATTTCCAAATGTAGTCTGGGGACTCCCCCGAGTTTGGGTTTCTTTATTTAAATAATTTATATAAAGTTGAGCGGAATTGGTTCGCTGCGTCGGGCTTGTTCGTTGCATTCTACCAACAAAGGAAATTTGGAAGATATGTGACAAGGACACGAGAACGTAAGTAGAAGTATTAAGATGTCAAACAACATCACTGACGTATCGACTCACTGCTCGGTCAATATTGAATAGCTTTATGAACAGCTTTGGTAAATTGTATGCAAAGCCTGTCGATGTCGGCTTTAATACTCCTCCATCTTCCTTCCATACCAGTGGCTTAGCTGATGTACCAAAAGTTATGGAAGAAATTTTGCCACTCGACGAATATAACATTGTTACTGCGACCAAAGGCAGAAAGGAATGGAAATAATTCCCTTGCCATGCCAAATCTGATGATAGATCTATAATTTTCACTTTTGAAGTGTAATCAGAGAAACAAAAGAAGGGAAAATCTGTATGCAATTTTGAAGGCGGAATCGAATTCGAGTACATTGACTAGCTAAACTAATTTATAATGGTTATTGAACAGAGTGGAGTGCAATTTGGGCTGAAATCATACGTGTGATTTCAAAATCGAACGAGCGCACAGCGCGAGTTAGATTTGAAATCACAGGTATGATTTCAGCCCAAATTGCACTCCACTCAGTTCAATTACCACTTTATTACATCCATTTTGAAATCGCCCAAGTACAAGACTTAGCCAGTTCAAATATTTTATTGATGCAGTACTGAGCTAGAATGAAATTAAATTCATCCAAGAGTTTTGGAAACAAAGGTTGCAAAATTTGTCAAATGATACTCTTTGTCTTTCATTTTCCTGCAATTACATTGGTTACTTTAAGCAAGCCTTGAAATCTGATTGGGTGTTTTGTTTTCAGTGTAGCTTCCTCATTGGCTGGGAAAATGATGCGACTTAAAGCAAAAAATGGTGCGGTTCGTGAATAAATCGCACCAATTAGAGCCAATCAGATTACAGGGACCACTAGTGATTTCAAAATGGGTGTGATAAATACCATTAACACCTTTGTCGTTTAAATTTTATCGTTCATTTCCTTATACGAGTCAGTTCCAGAACATTCTTTGGAATATGATTATCACGTAGCAGTGTTAACGATTTTCGTCATACCTAGAAAAAGCTTCGTGACCTTTCGATTTCGGTTTTGTTCATTTCGGTTGTGTAATCACGGTCAGAAAAAACTCAATAAAACACATATCTCTAACAAGTGTTTATGGTTGGCTGAATAAGTTTTCAGTTTCTCCCACAGCTTTTCTTCTTAAATCTTGACCCTAGTTCTCCAAACTTGTCTCTTGTAATCGATGTCAGTGTTTTCCAATCTTAAAACCATACTTGATCGTTTTACCTTACGCGGAATTTGTCATCTCATTCGTCGCAAAGTTGATTTGACATCAGTAAACTGTGACTGAATGACTCAAACTTCCTTGATGTCACTTCTAAATCCTTTGGGCTGTGATTCATCGACTGCTTGATCATTCCGTGATGCTACGCTAAATTTGTCATGGCCATCTAGTCGCCCGTCAATCACTTATGTTACGTCACAATTACAAAGTAACTAATTACTTCACTGTCATTGTACAGTTCAGTTTGGTTGATAATAAACTCACTCAGTCTGATCAAATATCAGCGAAATATCTCTGGAAAAATTCAAACAAACCACGAATAGGTAGTCTTTTAAAAGGCAAGGAGGGCATTAATTTTTGCTTTCAAGTTTGGCTGAGGTTTGACTTTCCTCCATCGGGTGTTCCTTGAAATAAGCCGTGATATGGCAAGGCCTCTTCGTATTCCATGTACTGAACCAGCGGTGTGTCCTTCAGATGAGAAACTTTACGTAATTCACGTTATCATTGAGCCTGGGGAAGGTGACCAGGAATGTCGGCTATTCCAACAAGAAGCGGAACAATTGAAGAACTGTTTAATGATTGATCAGCTTCTCTCCTAAGGAAATAGGCGGCAAGGAAAAGATGGAAAGAAAACTGTATGGAAGAAGCTCTTGATGTTTGAGTTTTCGTCTTATTGTAAGAACAAAGTTGGTGAAATATTACTTAGGAATGTCGAGTACAATGGTTCACAGTACTGCTTCCTAGGATTTTCAAAGTCACAGTTAAAAAAAAGAAATGCTTTCTCATCGCCGAAAACGATATGAAAATCTATGAAAGAAGAGCAAAGTTTAGCAAATTAAGCAAGGCTGTTTCGTTTGCCGAGCGTGTAGCTAAGGTTCAAGACATGTTTGAACCCTACGAATTAAGCTTGGAATTAGCAGCGGGCGAGGTTATCTTCGAAACCGAAGACGGGAATCCTGAAGAAAGTGGTTTTATGGTGCCTGAACTTGCCAAAAAAAATCAATGAAATAGCAGCACTCAATCTTGTTAATGATCCCAGTGTTGTTGAAATTATTTGTCCAGGATTTGCAGGTAAACTTCTATTGTCTGACGAAGTTCTTGCCAGGCGACGGGTGACGAACATTCCCACTTAAAGGCCCTTTTCAAAACTTTTGCAATAACTAAAGACCACGGCAACGCACTTACACTGTGTATTGTTGCCTACTCCAAACTATTCGAGGTTGGCTACCTGGATATTTTCACTGTGATGCTTCTGCGTTGCCAAGGTGTAGAAAGTCAATATCTACTGGAACTTCAAAGAGAACATCACAACCTTCTAAAGACACTGGAAACCGATTTGACCTCTGCGAAGTACTTCCTTCGTGTGAATGGAAGAAAGAACTTTTGGCCAAAATAGAAAACGGAATGACGCCTGAAGCACAGGAAATTATTTCCAAAATAAAGAAAAAGGAAATTAGAAAAATGCAGAAGTGCATAGATGGCCCGGAAGAGATGAAAGTCCTTGTGAGTGAGTCGCGCGAAGTGTTAGGAGTTGTCGATCCAGATAATCAGCTTCAATCCAACGAGTGCTTCTTTGCTCCTAAGTTGGATGGT